TGCAAAACTGAAGGATCTGTCGTTCTGTAACAAATATAAAAAAAGAAAAAAAAAAAGTAAGAAGGCACTACACAAAGCAGGCAGCCATGTAATTACACTAATACAGCTTAACATTACCTCAGTAACACCAGGAAGCAATGTGAGCTAAATGGAGCATGATTCTATCAATTGCCTGCCTTGTTTGTGTGTGTAAGGGCATAATGATGTATGGTAACCGTTACATTTCAGTTTTATATACAGTAAATGTGGTTGCAGTATAAATACCGCCATATGTTAAACTAAAATTTTAATGATAAGATTGCTTGCACCAAATTTAGAAAGCCAATGTGAAATATCTGTTTATAAGTAGTTTTGGCCTTCAGAAAGCATGAGGATATTTACCAAAAAGTGTTCTATTCTGGAAAGTGGTGCAAAGATGTAAAAAGTAAGAGTCACCAATGAATGTACCGTTTTGTTCCATGGTGATTGTTAGAGTTGTGCATGACCAAAAAGATTTTTTTTTTTTTATTATAATAAATTTGGTTTGTCTGATACCAATCATCATCATGATCATCATCTTTTCCCCCCCACCTCTTGACTGGACAGGAGATACAGCACACATGACTGGGCAGACCTTTTGCCCTTCATGGCAAACTAAACTGCTATTTTGCACCCACCTCCTACAAAAACAACAACAAAAAAAAACTAATTTTCCATTTCCTGTTTATTTCATAAGCATATGTTCATATGTTGGGCACTTCTTAGAATATTACAAAATATAAGTTCCCAAAATGTGAATAGCAATTCTTTTTAAACCTAATGCACAAGTCTAATGATTGTCCCACTTTTAGTATTTTGCACCAATTTTCAGAACAGATTATTTTATTTATTAATTGAAAGGATTATAGTTTACATTAAAATTGTGGTATTCTCTATGGAGCCGTTTATAATTCTCAAGATTACATTAAAGGGACACTATGGTCACCAGAACAACTCAACTACAGCTTATTGTATTTGTTCTGGTGAATAGAATCATTACCTTCAGGCTTTGGCTGTAAACACTGTCTTTTCAGAGAAAATGCAGTGTTTACATTACAGCCTAGGGAATAACTCCACTGGCCATCCTCAGATGGCTACTACTACTAGAGGTGCTTCCTGGGAGACTGCTGCACACTGTGCAGTACTGGCATTCAGTGTCTCCACCCTCTGCATGGATACACTGAACTTTAATCATAGAGATGTATTGATTCAATTCATCTTTATGAGGAGATGCTGATTGGTCAGAGATGTGTTTGACTTGTGCTGGCTCTGACTCTGATCTGCGTCATTGACAGTCTCAGCCAATCCTATGGGAAAGAATTGTGATCAGCAGACAGATCAGGGGTAGAGGCAGCAACTGCAGACTTGAATATAAGTAAGATTGTACTATATTTAGGGAAGTAGATGGTGGTTTTAACACTATAGGGTCAGGAATACATGTTTGTGTTGCTGACCCAATGGTGTTCCTTTAAATTCTGGTAGACAACCATTATACGCAGTCTTAACCCTGCAATGAAAACATTACAGTTTCTCTGAAAGGCTGTGCAAGTCACATGCAGGGAGGTGTGACTAGGGCTGCATAACAAGAGTGATTTAACTCCTAAATGGCAGAGAATTGAGCAGCGAGATAGCATGGGCATGGTCTATACACCATAACTGCTTCATTAAGCTAAAGTTGATTTGGTGACTGTATTGTCCCTTTAATCCAGTAAAAACACTATTGCAATACATTTACAGTATAGTTCCCATATTGCAGGATTTACTGTACCTTTCAAGGCAGATACAACTCATCTCTAATTGAAAATAGATTAAGTGGTTTATTACATACATTATATAGCACATATGATGTTTATATGTGTAAACATATTAAAGAAAGGTAAATATTATAAATGATTTTAGGTTTATTGGCAGAACCAGCAAAGGTGGAGAATACACAAGCCAGTTTCAAGTGCAAGACCAAAATTGGTAACCTGTGAAATTCTCCAACTATTTGCTTCAGTTCAGCTATTTTAACATAAAATCTGGAATTCCCTTCCACTATTTAGTGAATATACCTCACAAACATTCCCAAATTTAGTCAGAAATAGTACTTTCAAGCTTAAATTTTCTAAAAATGTTTGTGATTTAAGTCTAGGAAAGCAAATAAATAAATAAACCGTTTAAAAAAATGTGTTTTCCTTTAACCCCTTAAGGACCAAACTTCTGGAATAAAAGGGAATCAAGACATGCCACACATGTCATGTGTCCTTAAGGGGTTAAGGGGTCAAAATCACATGACAACCTGCAGAAGAAGGTATTGACTAGCCAAAACTAAAGTTGTAAACAATACTGAAATATGGTTGTGAATAATTCATGGTGATTTTCCCCCCAAAACATGATATGGCTCAAAGTCATAAAGTTAAATAAGTATAATTTAACGAATTTCCAGATTAAAAATATTATTTTGTTACGGTTATAGGGGAAAAAAAACAAAAACAAATAAAAGCTTGCAATACGGAATATGTGGTGTATCTAAATTAGGTAATCTAGTGCTGGAACAAAATGCTATATTTCTAAACCTACTCATACAAACATGTATTCCTGTCACTATAGTTTTAAAATCAGTTTTTAGGTTCCCAGCCCCCCTCTTCTGCCTTAAAAGGTAAGTTTACTCACTCGATTTCCAGCGCCGCACGGGAGTCGTCTGGCTGGTTCCACCACACTCCACCTCTTTGTCGGAGTTCATTTAACGTGACGATCTCAGCCAATCCAATGCTTTCCTATAGGAGATTACTGGGAGGCTATTGTGCATGCGCGGCAAAATACAGCTCTGCACAAATCAGCATCTCCTCATAGAAATGCATTGAATCATTTAATGTGACATACATACAAAATGTGAGAAATGTTCAGCACCTCCATGCAGAGCGCAGAGACAATGAACGTCAGAGTGACTGCCATGCAGTGTTTACCTTAACATTCCTGCAGGGACAGGTTAGAGACACCAGAACTACTACATGAAGCTGTAGTTATGGCGATTAGTGTCGAAATAGATAACCAAGTCATATTCCAAGCACCAAAAACTTTTGTGTCCTTTTAAAACACACATGGTGCATTATAGTACAAGAAGGTCCTCTTATATAGTACAGTAAATAAATAAGAATTAAAAAAATACAATAAAAACTATATAAAATTTAAAATAAATAGAATATAAATAAATCACTCAGCTCACGGCAGAAATACAAAGTCTTAAGTATTTACAAGGATTACAAATTTATTTAATTATTGTTAATGGATTAAGGTAACAAAAAGAAGAACAGTCTAATGGAGGACATACAGCTGCATTAAATTTCTTCTTTAAAAGGGACACAACCGCTTTGGGCACTTGCCTCCTTCTTGAATTTAGCGCTACTGAGCTAAACAATCAAGAGATAATAGAAGATAACAGGAATAGTTGTGTGATTGACAGTTGTGTGATTGTAACAAGGCTAATTTATAAAAAAAAAAAAATTATCTTTAAATTTGAAAAAAAAAAAAAATTCTATTAATTTACAAAAAAGACACATAAAGCAATTTAGCAAGCTTAGGTGCTTTAGGGGTCTAAACTGTCCCTTTAAGCTCTTGCCAACTTGTGATGCCCTCCTTGTCAGCAACTTGATGTATGTTGTTGCATGTCCAATCTTAAAATTACCTCACAAACTTACATACTGGACCAGATATAAAAGGGAATTGTCTAATGTTTTTAAATGGTGCAGCTGTAGCTGATATAATTAAAATTATTTCAATGCAATGGGAAAGTTTATTAAACTGTCACATTGTTTAGAATTAAAATAAATGTCACACTAGAATCAGCTCTCCAATGTACGCCTCACAACTCTATTACTTAAAAGGTTATCGAAAAGAGACAATGAAACCAGGACCAGGTGCCACAGGACATCTGAGCAATCCCAATGGGTGCTAAATAACAGATCAGATACAGTGAATGTCATCCCACTGTTATAAAAACATAAAATAAATAACTTTGTTTACCACCAACTGAAATATTTAGACTTGAGGCACTCCCGCTCTCCTGCTAAAAAGGGATAGTACTGGTAGAAAGGAACAGTTGGAGGGCTAAAGCTTGACAGCACATCAGAATTGTAAGCCATCTCTTGAATCACTCATGGTAAATAGAACGATTGAAAACACTTGTCAGCGTGAAGACACTCTACAGTGAATGACAGATCTACAGGTTACACAGCAATGTCCCACCGAGATAGCCAAATTACAGCTCCGCCTTTGACAATGCATTCATATCCAGAAGACAGGGTTGACAAATACTCTTCCCTATCCTTGCATGCATAGAATTTGCTAAAAATTTTAAAACTGTCTGACAGGAGACAACAAAACTCCCACTACAGTAGGTCTGGATAGCACGCACAGCGTCATTAACAAGGAGAAGCAATAAATATGAGCGCTGCTCACGAAACGTTAACACAGGCACTACTCACGCAAACCAGACAAAGAATCATGGATCAACTAAAAAGTACAGCATTCTCACACTCAAACAGTGCAAAGGTGATGTAGTTCACATGCACAGAAGACACAGTCAAATGCGACATGCACCAACACATAAAAGGAAAAACTTGACACATGGAATGCAGACAGCTTATGAGAGTGTACTCGTAAACATAGCATACAGACACTGCACACGCAGAGCAGCATAGAACTTCAGAAATCGTGTACAGAAGACATATACAGCATTCTACACACATGGCGAATAATACAGAAATTCACTCACAATGCAAATACACTGTGATAAATACATATCATTCTATATAGTATTCTGTATTGTACAGAACCGTAAGCATCACACAAATAATGAGAAACACAGAAATATACAGAGATCTGCCACAACATACACACTGACACCCAGGCTCACACACCACTACCGGGCTGGCTGCAAATGGATAAGGAAATGGTTTGCATGTGAAGCTTGTATGCCACTTGTCCGGTCTCCTTCCTTTTTACTTGCTGGCAAACAGAGCTCCCACTGTCATCAGAGCTCCCAGGGCAACTGCTCCAGTCAAGATGGTCTTCAGAGAAGCCCAGTTCCCCTCACGCTGTCTTCGAGCCTCCTCTATAGCGCCGTCTCCATATAGAGCCAGAAATCCATTCTGAAAGATAAAAAGACAGTCACAAGTGGCAAATAACTGGGATGGAAATGCATATTAAGGGGATTTTCTATCATAATAAGAGAAGCATATAAACAGAATGATGTCAATTGGTGTGCATCATCTTCCCTGGGAATTTGTACTGCATGCATGCATGAATAGAACAGGGGGAATTCCTCACCCATCCCCCGTTGCTTTGCATCCAGTCTCTCAGGTGTGTCTCGAGATAGATCACCATCCACTCTTGGATTTGTGGTAGAAGTCGTGACATCTCCTTGTTGACACTTTCTGCACAGAGAGCTGCTCCAAACACAAAGAATGCCACCACTCGACCCCAGTTCACCCCACCTTGGAATAGGCCACCTGCCACCTCTGCAAAACGTGTGTATGCGGTACCAGGTGTAACATGGATCTGTGTGGATATTTCGCTGAAGGCCTGACGGAAACGTTCCTCAAATTCATCACCAGCAGCACGCATGGCTGAATGTAGAGCACAGGATGGTGCTCCAACGGGCTCAGAAACTAGGCCACGCTGGTAAAGTTTATAGCGTACAAAATCCTCCACTAGGGGACGAGAGCCTAGGTCAGACTGCGCCATCCAGCTTCTCTCTGAAACAAAACAAAAAACATATTTATTCATTGTATCTGTCACAAGAAAAAAACAAAACACATAAACCCTTTCAAGTGCCCACATAACCCTGAATACATAATGAATTGCATAACTAGTCTGCCCAATGCAGAAGACATGGAGGACTGTTTTCCCCCCTTTTCAATCAACAAATCACTATGCTTCTGCAGAGCTGTAATTAAACAACTTCCTTGGCATATACCTGCAGAACACCAATAACCCTCATTTTAAAATCCTGCAGAACAATAATTAGCCATCTTGTTAGACCTTTGCAGAGCATTGATTAACAACACCCATAACAAATGGCTGCAGAGCATTAACCACTGCCCTGCCAGACAAAGCATTGCACATCCTCTAGCCAGCTTTGCAAAGCACTGATTAACCCAATCCCTGCCAGCACCCTGCATGGCACTGATTAACCCATTCCCTGCCTGACACTGATTAACCCATTCCCTGTCAGCAGGCACGGATTAACCCATACCCTGCCAGCACCGTGCATGGCACTGATTAACCCATTCCCTGCCAGCACCCTGCATGGCCCTGATTAACCCATACCCTGCCAGCACCGTGCATGGCCCTGATTAACCCATTCCCTGCCAGCACCCTGCATGGCCCTGATTAACCCATTCCCTGCCAGCACCCTGCATGGCCCTGATTAACCCATTCCCTGCCAGCACCCTGCATGGCCCTGATTAACCCATTCCCTGCCAGCACCCTGCATGGTCCTGATTAACCCATTCCCTGCCAGCACCCTGCATGGTCCTGATTAACCCATTCCCTGCCAGCACCCTGCATGGCCCTGATTAACCCATTCCCTGCCAGCACCCTGCATGGCCCTGATTAACCCATTCCCTGCCAGCACCCTGCATGGTCCTGATTAACCCATACCCTGCCAGCACCGTGCATGGCAGCCAGCCCTGCATGGCCCTGATTAACCCATTCCCTGCCAGCACCCTGCATGGCCCTGATTAACCCATTCCCTGCCAGCACCCTGCATGGTCCTGATTAACCCATACCCTGCCAGCACCGTGCATGGCCCTGATTAACCCATTCCCTGCCAGCACCCTGCATGGCCCTGATTAACCCATTCCCTGCCAGCACCCTGCATGGCCCTGATTAACCCATTCCCTGCCAGCACCCTGCATGGCCCGGATTAACCCTTTCGAGGTCCATATAGGATTGACTAACCCCTCCCCTGTCAGAGTATTTCCACACACCCCTACCAGAACCCTTCAGAGCTTTATGACAGACTCCATTTCCATCACAGGCAGAGCAATGATTAACTACTCCCCTCCCAGAGACCTGAACAGCACTGGTTAACCCCTGCCCTGCCAAGCACTGCTAACACCATAGTGGGCGGGCCCTGCGGTTCCCTCACCAATCAGGTACTGCTCGGGCCACCCCCGGACACAGCTGCTTCCAGTTTCATTGTGTTCCTCTCGGTCCAGGACCTCTTGCCATTACTCTGCCTTCTACCTTCATTCGCACCAACTTCCGGTTGTGTCATGGCGACGCCCGACGACATTACGACGAAGGCATTCTCTGTCTCCTGATTGGTCAGCCAGGCGGGGCGGGGCCCAGGATGTGCTCGCTGTGGCTGTAATGCATGGAATAGCTGCGTAAAGAGGCGGGGCTCTGATGAGGTTCTTTAAACGGTGTGACGTCGGATGTCGTCATAGCCTGGGAAGCTGTATTACACTCCAGACATGGTGCCCCACCGGGGACAGGGCTGCCGCTCACCCGAGTCACTGGGGGTCATTACTAAGCACAGCAATGCTTATTTACCGGACTGTGAATGGTTGGTAATTCTAACAGGGCTATTTACTAATGTCCGAATGACCCGTACTAAGCGGGGCAACACCGCGCCAGAATGTGGTCTGGATTTGAGTCGGACTGAATGGCGCTGGACAGCTGGAACCCGCACCGAATGCATCAAACCCAGCCAAGACTGAAAAATAAAACTAACTTGATCTCTTTGCCTGCTGGCAGTGCTAGCAACCAGTGAGCAAATAGTTAAACCCCCCCTTGCTATCCAGCCACCAGACTCTGAGGATCAATAAAGCCCTTGTATTACTACACTACCACCTGCGTTAAAAGGTTGTCTGCTAAACTTTAGAACTAGCTACCTGGCGGTCACTGCTGCCCAGCCGCTAGGGATGGCCCTATCCCTTACAGATGGGGCCTGTGAAATAACGGGTGGGGCTATGCAAAAACCCTGATTTTAATCTGGACACCCAATGCAATCGGGCGATTGCTGAAGATTCGCTTCGGCCGACCAAATTTGGCTTTAGTAAATACGAGAATTGTGGTTGGAATTCTGTAATTTTAACTCGATTTTGTCCATCCCGACAAAATATCGTGTTTAGTGAAAAATTCTGTGAGTACATTTCAAATTTTAGGGCCAAATATATGCTCTGACTAAACAATGAATTTATAGAGACTTTAAATCGTACTAAGGTAGACTTAACCCTGCAATGTAAATATTACAGTTTCTAAAATAAAAAAAATGTAATGTTTACATTAATGTTTGCAGGGTTACGTCAACCTCTAAAAACTTGTCCCTTTAATTTTAGTAAACTGTATTTCAACATTTAGGCAGAAATATCCAATCTTCAACTAAAGCTTAGCAGGCCTGCCAAACTTGAAATTAGGAGAGGGATAGAGATTGAGTTATGGGGTTTTCTGCAAAGACTCAAAAGCAGGAATAAGAATGGCAAAAGGAGGATACAATATGCAAGACAAACATGCACTTGTCTTCGCCTGTGTAGCCAAAAATCCTTGCGCTGGCATAAATTGTGCAGTTAGATTTTCACTTAACTATTGCTTGGTGTTTAATGGATGAATCCAACATTAGTGAATAAGCCATTGGAAAATAAAGGGGAATATTCAATTTGAAAATACATTGCTATTTTGTTTTAAATATTTTTTTATTTTGAGCATAATATAAAGTTAAGTTGACTACATTATTTATATTTTAAGTAAACTTGCCTACACAGAGGCTAAGTATAACTATAAAAAACATGGCATAGTATTGAGCTGTCAGATGCCATATGGGTTTAGATCAACTCTGCCACAGCAGCGGTAATAAGGTTCACACAGTACTTGTAGTAATTATAAAGTGGCTGGTTATGGTGCTGTGAAAATTTATAAAGAAAAAAATTAATAGTTCCCTGTAATTTCAACAGAAGAGGCAATTATTCCTAAACTCGTAATGTATCTCTATTGGCAAGATAACTAAATGCTTAGTTGTAATGTATCTCTATTGGCAAGATAACTAAATGCTTAGTTGAAAACAGGAGCAGAGTAGAAAAATGTGTGACTTTCTACAGGTAGTAAAAAATCATGCTAAATTTGTTCACGGATGTGATAGTGGGAAGCTCCCTGAGCAGAAATTAGGCATAGCAAAGAGCGAGAGCTCATACCTCCGTAACCCAGTCTAGTAAGCTACAATAGTATATTCAGGTGGCGAGGTCGAGGAAAACCAATAATGGTAATATTAATTGCAATGAGACTGCCTTATGTGTTAAAAGGTGCATCATACAATTCTGTGGCATATTGTGTGCATGCATGTGTGGTTAGCATGAATAAACATCCAAACTGTAAAGCCTAAACATGGCTAAAAATAAAACTATGCAATAAAAGAGGTCTATCTGCAGCAATTTTATATAATAAAATTGAAAAAAAAATTTGGGGGTAAAAGTTATAAAATAAAAACACATATATACTGTGTCAAAACCCCACCTAAGAGGGACTTGTAAAATGGAGGTAGGGCCTATCACGTGAGGGCCCTCTTTCGGGCACCAAGTGGAATACATCCTGGCAATCTATTATAAGCATTAAGGAAATTGCAGAATATTAATGGTTGGCTCCCAATGTTTCCTGCCCCCCCAGGCCTACACATGCCTTCCCCTTCAGGTCCTGCAGCAGAGTGGGCACTCAGAAGCACCACGAGTCTACTTGATCCCCCCAACCAAGAGTCCACAGATCCAATGCCTCCTGCACCTCCCAACAACAGCAAGGCCCTGGCAGGTTCAGCTGGATGCCTCTGCATGCCTCTCCCAACACAGGCCACATAGTGAGGGAGATGGACACTCCACCTCGCAGCTACTGGTCTGCAGGAGGCCAACACAGTCCCACCATATAGGGCTCACAGTGGTGGGGACAACTCTCCTGGTCTCCCGCTTAACCCGGAGGCTGAGGATCCAGTGTTTTGGCATGCGGGAAGCACAACAGTAACCACTCACCCCTGGGGTCGCATTTGCAGCAGAAGGTCAGGCCTTAGGTAGTGTAAACTTAAAGGGACACTATAGTCACCAGAACAACTACAGCTTATTGGATTTGTTCTGGTGAGTAGAATCATTACCTTCAGGCTTTTTGCTGTAAACACTGTCTTTTCAGAGAAAATGCAGTGTTTACATTACAGACTAGTGATAACTTCACTGGCCACTCCTCAGATAGCTGTTAGAGATCCTTCCTCGGTCATGGCTGCCTAAAATGCATCCAAACATTCAGTGTCTCCTCCCTCTGCATGCAGACACTGAACTTTCCTCATAGAGATTCATTGATTCAATTCATCTCTATGAGGAGATGCTGATTGGCCAGGGCTGTGTTTGAATCATGCTGGCTCTGCCCCTGATCTGCCTCTTTGTCAATGTCAGCCAATCCTATGGGGAAGCACTGTGATTGGAACAGGCCACCACTTCTGATGATGTCAGCAGACAGCTTGTTTTTGTTCCTGACCCTATAGTGCTGATTTAAGTCTCTTCACTTCATGTGCACAAGGGGTGTAATTGTGAATAGTCGCTATAAGCATTGGCAACCAATCTGGGCCTACCATTCCTGTCAGCAGGGAAGGGGGAGTGGGGGCGCAACGTACTCCCCCCCCTTCGTTCGCCTGTGTAGTCAGCCTATCGAACCAGCCAGGAGCCGCCACCACACCAGCAGGCTCCATCCGGCCACGTCAATAGGGCCGTGAAACATGTGTGAGCCTGTGAGTAGTCCCAAACTGCTTGTGTGTCCGCATGACTGAGGTCTTTCGTTCCTCGCTAGTTTTAGTGTGAAACTGATTGGTTCCCCCTGCAGAATCTGTCAGTGTGGTGGCTGGAAATGTGGCCAATTTGTGCTTTTCTGGCTTATTTTGGGGGGTCAAGAGTGGGGCAGCTAGAAATGGCAGCCATTCGGCAACCTTCCCTTCCCCCCTACATTACTATTTTAGTATTTACTACATGTAGGTTTTATTAGTTTTTTTTTGGAGGTTTGCCCTGAGTTTGTATGTTCATTTTGGTGTCTACTAAAAAGTAGACCAAAAAACTAAAAAATCCACACAATATATTGGAATTCACACATTCATGATCATTAATTTGTTTCCATAGAAGGTGGTGTATAAGAGTTCTGGCTTTTTTTTTGGACCAAAAATTTGATTTCAGTTATAGTTATAACTTGAATAAATTGAATGTCCCAATAAAATGCAAGAAATACTGAATCCCAAACCTATTCATGCAACTCAGTGATCAAGATTTTTTTTAAGGAGTGGGGTTGCACCTGATTTAAAATATGAATCACCAAGTGGCTCAGCAAGTAGGTGGGTAGTGGGGATGGGTTTTGTTTTGGGGTCTGCCCACGCTCCTCCCCCGCCAACATCATCCAGCGGGGGAGACCGATAGCGCATGTGCGGCAGCCGGTGAGGGAGACCCAATGTGCATGCGCAGCAATACTGCGCGCGCGCATTAGACCTCTCCATAGGAAAGCCTTGAAATGCTTTCAAATGGATATTTCAGTGACGCTGGAGGTCCTCATATAGCGTGAGGACGTCCAGCGATGCTCTAGCACAGAAAACCAGGAAGTGCCCTCTAGTGGCTGTCTAGTAGACAGCCACTAGAGGAGGAGTTAACCCTGCAGTGTAATTATTGCAGTTTATGAAAACTGCAATATTTACAGCTGCAGGGTTAAGGGTAGTGGGAGTTGGCACCCAGACCACTCCAATGGGCAGAAGTGGTCTGGGTGCCTGGAGTGTCCCTTTAATGGTTACTATTGCACATCACAAGATACTAGAGTAAGAGTGGGAGAGCAGTCTACCAACATCCCACTGCACATAGAGTATAGCTATAGGAGCTTTAATGCTAGAGCCCATTGGTTTGTACGGGCACTAGATAATATGGGCCATTCTGTAACAATTATAGCTATTTGGCGTTCATGAAATGTTAAATAATACTTCTGTGCCCATCAATCCCAGCCAGTCTCTAACTGGAAATGACTGCAATGACTGTGCTGTTGGCAAATAAAGAAGGCAAAGCAATCCACAGCTTTCTCTGGCTGAGCATTATGGCATCTAGCGTGCAGGATATTTTGTATATCCTTTTTATTACCACTGAGTTCCTCGCTCACTTTGCCTTTTTTTCCAGTTATCACTTTCACGGAGGTTACCAGCTGCTCCTAATAATGTCTGCACACAATGAGTTGTGCTGATTGACTGACCTTCTACACATTTCTGCTATACATGCACGTGATTGGTGTGAATTCTAGGGAGGTGGGACACCCAGTTACAAATACTACAGACAATAAGATGAGAGACTATTATGGTGATTACGGTAGTGGTCCATGGAGCCCTTGGATGCAGAATGAATGAGATGCAGTGTGGGAGGAGGGGGAGATAGATGGTAGACTGATGGGAGGTAGACTGCCGCACAGGAGGTGACGGGGAGCAGAGGCGTTTGGCATGTAAAGGGTGCTGTGAGTGGCTGGTGTAAATGGAGAATAATTGCAGTGTTCTATTTAGAATGCTGTGCTGCAGCTAGTGTCTGTGTGATCCGTACAGTGGGATAGCATGGTGAGCTTGTGATATAGGGATAGTGCTTTCTGGGCATATTATATATTGCAAGGGGTCATGTCTCGCCCCAGCCGCCCCCCCTCGGGGGATATCCCCAGAAACCTGAGCTACATCGCCGGCCTGTATGAGCGTGCCTATTACCGCACAGCCAGACCCAGTTTGGAGGAGGAGGTGGAGGAAGTTGAAGATTGCCCTTCCAGCACCCAGCAAGCTCCCCAGGCTCCACGCCGCTGGCGCTCCCGCTCGGCTCCTGCCCTGCGAGTGCCCCGAGAACAGAGGCAGCGCAGCCCAGAGACCAGGAAGAGGGTGCGCTTCGCGGACTCGCTGGGACTAGAGCTGGAGTCTGTCCGGCACTTCAGACGCGAGGACATGCCCTGTATACCCCTAGCTGTCACCCATCGGCTGCAGAGAGAGGCGACTAGACGGGTCTTGAGTTCCTGCATTTCCCGGGAGGAGCCGGTATGTAGTGGGATTCTAGGGCCCCCATTTCCATAGCATGCAACACCCCTGCACTCCATACAGAAAACCTCTAACCTCATACAGTAACAACCCTGTACTCCATACAGCAAACCTCTAACCTCCTACAGTAACACCCCTGTACTCCATACAGCACACCTCTAACCTCATTCAGTAACACCCCTGTACTCCATACAGCAAACAACTAACCTCCTACAGTAACACCCCCTGTACTCCTTACAACAAACCTCTAACCTCATACAGTAACTCCTCATGTACTCCATACAGCAAACCTCTAACCTCATACAGTAACACCCCCTGTACTCCATACAGCAAACCTAACCTCCTACAGTAACACCCCTGTACTCCATACAGCACACCTCTAACCTCATACAGTAACACCCCTGTACTCCATACAGCAAACCTCTAACCTCCTACAGTAACACCCCTGTACTCCATACAGCAAACCTCTAACCTCATACAGTAACACCCCTGTACTCCATACAGCAAACCTCTAACCTCATACAGTAACACCCCTGTACTCCATACAGCAAACCTCTAACCTCCTACAGTAACACCCCTGTACTCCATACAGGAAACCTCTAACTTCCTACAGTAACTCCCCTGTACTCCATACAGCAAACCTATAACCTCTTACAGTAACTCCCCTGTACTTTGTACAAAAACCTCTAACCTCATACAGTAATACCCCCCTGTACTCCATACAGCAAACCTCTAACCTCCTACAGTAACACCCCTGTACTCCATACAGCAAACCTCTAACCTCATACAGTAACACCCCTGTACTCCATACAGCAAACCTATAACCTCCTACAGTAACACCCCCTGTACTCCATACAGCAAACATCTAATCTCCTACAGTAACACCCCTGTACTCCATACAGCAAACCTATAACCTCCTACAGTAACACCCCCTGTACTCCATACAGCAAACATCTAATCTCCTACAGTAACACCCCTGTACTCCATACAGCAAACCTATAACCTCCTACAGTAACACCCCCTGTACTCCATACAGCAAACATCTAATCTCCTACAGTAACACCCCTGTACTCCATACAGCAAACCTATAACCTCCTACAGTAACACCCCCTGTACTCCATACAGCAAACATCTAATCTCCTACAGTAACACCCCTGTACTCCATACAGCAAACCTATAACCTCCTACAGTAACACCCCCTGTACTCCATATAGCAAACATCTAACCTCCTACATTAATACTCCCTGTACTCCATACGGAAAACTTCTAACCTCCTACAGTAACACCCTTGTACTCCATATTTCATATCTTCATCATGTTTACTACTATTGACTATTCATATGTTAATGTCGGTTTTGTGTTGTGTTAAATATTTTTCAGTCTCATGGTTATCCACTAACCTCCAAATTGGGGTTCAGTTAATAACCCTTTTAGATTTTCTTTCTTTACAATTGATTGTGAAATGTTACATAATTTCCATGGTTCTTATGTTTCAGAGCTGGTGTGAGGCTCGCCATGTCTTATCCCCTTCATGGCTGTCTGAGCAAGGAACATGGGAAAAGCAGTCATGGGATCGAGGTGCATGGGATGAAAAGACATGGGATCAGCGAGTGTGCCTGCAGAGTATGCGCTACGAGAGCTGCTTCCTCTGGGGCTCTGTGCGAGTGCTTGACTTGGCATATGAGAAACAAGTCACTGTGCGCTATTCTCTGGATGGATGGCAATCTTATCGAGATACACATGCTTTGTATGCTTCACGACTCTGCCATGGTGGATCTGGGCACCCTGGCACAGATCTATTCACTTTCCGCCTTCCTCTACCACCCAGGGACCATACACACTCCTCATCATTGCAATTTGCCATCCGTTATCAAGTGGGTGAGGAAGAATTCTGGGACAACAATGGGGGTAAAAATTATAGGTTAATCCCCCCAGAAGCTGATCCTCCTGCCGTGACACAGGATGCAGAGAATGGATGGATACATTTTATATAGTAGAATGGAGAGGCTAACACATCTTCAATATCAATTCTCTATTCCAAAATAACACCAAAGAACAAAGGTCAAATATACAATGAAAGTACACTAAAAGGGTGGTGGGAGGGAAATCAATGCAAAAGACAATGGGGCAGATCAGAGGTAGGCAATCTTCGGCACTTCAGATGTGGACTACATACCCCATAATGCTCTTACAGCCATAATGCTGGCAAGGCATCAGGGAAGATGTAGTGCCGATGGTTGCCTACTCCTAGGATAAATGAACACAGGACAGGGACCAAATGGTATAATTGTGGGGGAAGGACAGGACACGAAGACAGATCTGGTAGATTAATGGAGGGAGGAGAACATGAGACATAGTGACATTTATCATGTGGTCATATTACGGTGGTAGAACATGCTGGAGTTTGATTCCTTTGCAAGTATATGCGGTTGTAAAACAGGTCATATTTCCAATGCTGTGGGCACGACATGAGTTTATTATTTAAAATATTCCTTAATGTGTTTGTTATAACAGAGAATAGAGCACCCTTAGTTGTATTGGAATACACAACAAGGGCTATCAAGGTGTATGCCACAAAGATCAAATATTGTCATCTGATTTCTAGTCTGAAAATATTCTTGGCAACTGGGAAACGTACAGTTTTTTTTTTTAATGTAACAAATTAGATGTATTTTTCCTTATTAGCAGATGTATCAGTGAACAAAGTTGTCATGCTTAATATACTGCCTTAATAAACTGTTGAGAAGAGCACATGAGCCAAGGGCTAAGGTCACAGATTAGTACAGCTGTGTAAATTAATTGAATTCATTCTGCTAGATTGAATTCATTCTTATTTTATAAATCATAAAATCCTATCTCTACGCTGTGCTAGCAGATTTCCTAGCAATTGTATAATTTGGGGGGGGAACTATGCAAAAATAAATCTTTCTCCCACCTGCCAGTCAATTCATAATCATAGACTCCATGGCAAAGAGTTGACTGACAAGGGAGAGCAGAAAAAAATCTCCCACAGGCTGTCCTTCTGTTCTCCACATTGTTATGAGGTCGAAGGTTTGAAAAGATTAACACCGAAGGGGCTCCCCAGACATCTGTACAGCCACCATACTGAGCAGAGAAGGGATACATTGAAAAGCATTTAGTGTCAGTAATTGACTGCGAGCATCAGCTGACACTCTCAGCATATCACTGGCCGCCAATAGCAAGAAAGAGCATGTACTATATTCTTAATGGGCCGCCTGCTCCCAATGCTTCTCAATGATTAAAGGACCACTCCACACACCAAAAGCACTTCAACTTGCTGAAGTGCTTTATGGGTGAGGAGTACCCTCATTTAACCCAGTTTATAAAAGTGCTGATTTCTATGAGAAATCAGCACTTTTATAAACTGGGGAACAGCCAGTAAGGATTCCTTCCTACTTCCGTTAGCTCCCCTGAGCTAACGGAAGTGGCAGGCAGGCTCTACTTGAGTGTGCTTTCCTCCCCCTCCCTCCCTGACAGACTTTAGACCAGCTTCAGCAGTGCACAAGTGGCGGGCGCACGTGCACCCCGCTGTGCGCGAGTGTGCCCGTGCAAGTTGGTTTGTGCGTGCGCGTGTGGACCAAGTCAAAGGCTTCTCAATGAGAAGCCTCTGATTGGTTATTTCCCTGTGAAGAGACTAAAAAGGCTCTTCGGGGGAAAAATGGAAGAGCTTATAAAGGCTGCAGTCACAACAACTGCAGCTTTTGTAATCTATTTTAGACTATACTCCCAATGAATACATGCATAAAAATACACATGTATGTATTAATTGGGGGTATATCTACTAAACTGTGGAAATTTTTTTTTGGGGGGGGGGGTTGGAAGAGTGGAGTGGTCCTTTAAGTTTTCTGCTCAATATGGTAGCCATGCAGAGGAGAGATAGGAGAGTGTCAGGCTTCACCCAAGGACTCCAGCTTCATTGAGATTAATTTGTTTTCAGGGGAGAAAGTTCCTTTGAGAAAAAACAAACTTGCTGCCTGTGTGGGCTGTCATGTACAAACATAAAATATATGCTTTGTATCAGCTCACTTTTTGTACCATTTGCCTTCATTTCGAGTAAACTTATGTCTCCCTTATCGAATGATGCTTAAAACAACAACAAAACACGTTGTAGACTCTTATTTCTGAACAAATTATGCAGCACATATTTTAAATGGCATCTCTTAAAGAAGAACTAATGCCCATCTTTCAGCATTGAATATATATTAAATATTCATGGGTTCTGCATTTTGTAAGTAATCCCTGCATTGATGTTTTACCTATAAAAGGACTGTCTCCTCTTCTTTGGACAGGTACTATAGTTCGAGAAATAAGTTTAGAATTTCATTAACCCAATAATGAAGCAGTGGATGACACTATACTGTAAAATAAGTTTAGGGTTTTTTTTTGTTTTTTAATGAAAGAAATTATTGTTTTTATGTTAATTTAATTTGTTATTTGTAAGCAGTGGATTTTTTGAAGCATGTCATTTTGTTTTTTGTCTGATGCTCTGCTTTTACAACAGCTCATATGTACCGACTTTTCAAGCCTTTATTGCATTAGTCAGATTTCACCAAAATGCGGTGATGTGGAATGATCGCCTAAACTGATTCAGGAAGAAATGTTTTATCCTCTGGCTGCAGAAGTGGTGAGATAAGGATTGTGACTGTTATCTGCAATGAAAATTGCTTGTTGCTGATTAACTGATTATGTAACAATATATTTATTTTTACAATGTACACAAACACTATTAGACAGTGAGAGAATATGTGTGTGTACATATGTATATGTATATATTTAAAAAGTCTGTCTATAAAAAAAAAATACACAATTGGTTGCAATTTTTTGGGTAATAACTTTATATTGCTGGATAGATTCTCCCTTTGCCTCTGAACAGGCTGATGTTTTGTGGTGGCATCGATTCAACACATCACTCAAAATATTCCTTAGAGATTCTAGTCCAGGATGACAAGATGGCATCACTCAGCTGCTAAAGATTTTCCAAATGCATCAAGTGCACTGAGATCCACTGAAATCTTTGTTACTTGTACAACTAGATAGAGAGGACATGTACTTTGTGACATTTTGTCTTATTGTGTTGGAAGTAGTCATTAAACATGAGTAGGTTGTGGCCTTAAAAGGACGCTCATTGTCAGAAATATTACTCAGGTAGGCTGTGGCATTTCAGCGATACTCAATTGATATTAAGGTGCCTAAATGTGCCAATGAATTTTCCCCACACCATTACACCATAACCATTGTGAATCACTGACACAAGGCAGGATAAATCCATATATTCATATTGTATATACCAAATTCTGTTGTAGGAGAAACTGAGATTCTTTGGACTAGGAAACATCTTCCAATCTTCTACTGTCTGGTTTTGGTGCACCTGTGCCCACTGTAGCCCCAGTATCCTGGCATGATAATGTACTCTAAAAATAAAACCATCTGCACAAAACTGCTGCTGTCATTGTACTGTGTCCATTGAAACATTTTACCAACCTGTCATATATAAAAGTGAGTATAACAACATTTAGAAACATGCTCGGATTGTTTTCTTGGGGAATGCTGAGCTGGAGTTATGGTATATCAATTTAGCACTCCTCAATACTTTCATTCTGGAAAATATGAACGACAGTGCAAAGTAATAGAAGTTTCAGTGTGGTTTATGTCCGGGTACAGACAGTTTGATATATATTTATTATTTTGTCATTTATTTTTTATTTTAAGAATTAAGCTGTAGGTGTTTACTCATGTGTGGGGCACAGAATCTAACACAGAAAGATATGAAAAGGCCTGTCCATGGTGATTTGTCTGAATGCAGACTGTGTGTGTCTATACTGTACAAGAGCTTGTACATGCAGGATAAAGCATATATCCTTCCTGTGATGTCATCAAGCATGGACGTGACTATAGCTGCAGCCATTGTTTGTACCAGCTATAAGTAACAGAATGATAGGAGATATAGGCAGAGGAGCTCCATTCACTATAATCTGTTCCAAGATCATTGGTGTTAGATGTGTTAGAGGTTCTTGGAGGGTTGCTTTAACGATGCTAACACTTTTATTTACATTTGTTGTTAGGGCTATAATATAGAGCACCCCATACATAGCCAAAAATGCATATATCAAGTCTAAACATCCGTGTGGGTTATTTTATTTAAAGAATGTAAAGACACCCAGACAGGAACATGAGAAGAAACAGAAGATAGGTTTACATTTGTTTGAAATGTTTATACTGGATGCTGCAGAAAGCCAAGACAGACTTGTAATGCAAAGAGAAAGGGGGAGGGGGGAAAGTTGTAAAATAATATTACATTAGAGTGAGAGATTAAAGGTCTAATAGTGCAATTGTCTGCCCAATGTCTTTTCGTTCTGAAGGCAAATATTGCAGTGGACTAAGGAAAGAATAGAAAGGGAGTGTAGTGTATATTTCACAATGGTTTTCACTAAATACTCAGTTATTCAATGCGAATTCAGTGTGCATTTCAAATGTAAACCATAATAGCCAAACAGGAAAAATTCTCTAATTCAGCTGTGCTTTAAAGGGACACTATAGTCACCAGAACAACTACAGCTTATTGAATTTGTTCTGGTGAGTAGAATCATTACTTTTAGGCTTTTTGCTGCATTCAGAGAAAATGCAGTGTTTACATTACAGCCTAGTGATAACTTCACTGGCCACTCCTCAGATGGCTGTTAGAGATCCTTCCTAGGTCATGGCTGCCTAAAATGCATCCAAACATTCAGTGTCTCCTCCCTCTGCATGCAGACACTGAACTTCATTGATTCAATTCATCTCTATGTGGAGATGCTGATTGGCCAGGGCTGTGTTTGAATTGTGCTGGCTCTGCCCCTGATCTGCCTCTTTGTCAGTCTCAGCCAATCCTATGGGGAAGCATTGTGATTGGATCAGGCTACCACTTATGCTGATGTCAGCAGGCAGTGGGCAAGTCTAAAGGAAACAGGGACAAAGAAGCAGCTGCAGGCTTGAATACAAGTAAGATTTTTACTATATGGAGGCATGAGAAGGAGAGGGGGGCTAGATGGTGGTTTTAAAGGGACTGCGCATTAGAGCTCTCCATAGGAAAGCATTGAAAATGCTTTTCAGTGGTTTCCTATGGGGAATTGAGCGATGCTGGAGATCCTCACACAGCGTGAGGATGTCCAGGGATGCTCTAGCACAGAAAATCTGTGCTATAGACATGGAAGTGCCCTCTAGTGGCTGTCTTGTAGAGTGGAGTTAACCCTACAAGGTAATTATTGCAGTTTATAAAAAAAACTGCAATTACAATTGCAGGGTTAAGGGTAGTGGGAGTTGGCACCCAGACCACTCCAATGGGCAGAAGTGGTCTGGGTGCCCGGAGTGTCCCTTTAACCCTAAAGGGTCAGGAATACATGTTTGTGTTCCTGGCCGTAAAGTGCTCCTTTAAGTTCAACTATTTTGGCCTTCAATTTGAAATTTACTTTAAATTCCCAACAATTTTCACTTTATTAAATAACCCTGTCAAATGAAAGAAGGAAGATCAGACATTTAATGTAAGATACAGGAAAGAATTCCTGAGCAAATGTTATTTATATAATCTAGGCAAGACTGAATCTACCACCAAATTTGTAATATTAACAGAACCAGGGCTGTAACAGCGTCTATTGGACCGTAAGACCAACCCTAATATTCCACAGCTAAAAGTGGAAGAAAAATTCTATGTTAGATCATCTAATTTTTAGTGGCAATCATAGGCTGAGATTAATGGGGTAATGCAGAAGCCACAGTAAAGGGCTGGGATGCAGGTGTTGGGAAAACAACAGTTCTTATAAACCACTGAAAGCAATTTTACAGAAAATGGAGTAAAATGGCTCTTTCACCATAACCACTACATTGGAACAGGAGCAGAATGGAGATTGGGAAGGGACTGTGAAATAGCATATGGGAAATTATGTGCAATATGGGGTGACTTGGCAATTTGAATATATGTGAATATAGCCAGTATATACTTTACAAAAGCACATGAGAAATATATATACAGTATAATGTATTATTTGTTTACTTTACATGTCCTCCTTTATGAAAAGTCAGGATATTTTACAATGTTTAATAAAATTATTTGAAATGGACATAATGTACACATTGCTTTTGAATAATAAGGGATATGTTTAATGTTCTTAGACTCTGTGTGTAAATTGTGAATTTAGTTGTAGGATTGACAGATGGGTGTATAAAACAAGCCTGGTATATACAGAGAGGGAGTAATATGCTCATTATATAACGACTATTTGTAATGTACCAGTCTAGGTAGAATGTTTGTTAAATGTATGCTGACGGTGTGTAATGTATTTTCTGTACAAGGTCTGTGTAGAATGTGTTCTCATTTTAATAGGATTGTACAATGTTTTCTCATGGTATTTAAAGAGTAGGCAAAATGAAATATTATGGCACTGGATGCATTGTATGAATATTATCCCAGGAAGTAGTTTGAAGAATTAATGTAAGAAGGCGCAGTGGGATATGTGCAGCGGTCCAGAGCTCAATGTTTATGCATAGGCAAAGTAAAATGTATATAAGAGTTATAAAGAATATGTGGTTAGAATAAGAACTGGAAGAGACTACACAATGATTGGGGTGGGTAGTATGAATGTAGAGTGCAGCGTACTATTGGGGGTCTGAGTAAAATATATTTGCTGTACAAATTTACACAAAGGTAGGAAATAATATGTGTAATGTACTCTTGGAAATGTGAATGAAATATACAACCTGCTGCATAGGTGGGTAGGATGCAATAAACCCTCAAAGGGTGGAATATAACCTGGGTGGGATGCAATAAATGTAAAAAAAAAAGCAGGACAGAAAATGTGCTTAGTATATACGAGCTTGGTAAAATGAATGCTCAGTATGAAAAGGCTGGATGTAATGTAATCTCCCAATGCCTTGGAAGGATAGATATTTTTGGGGGTTATTTATTGAGAAACCATGAGAGTGATGTACCTTCCTGTCTCTGGTAAAGCTGCCACTGTGTGTTCTCCTAAAAGCCTTACTATTGCCTTATTACCCATATAATTACCTCTTGTACGAGCCATGTATAATCCAGGAATGTAATACTAATAAAATATGCATCAACTGCAAATTAAACATCTTCATGTATTCTTTGTGTAATATTATAATGTTTACATCACACTTTGTGCCATAAATAGTAAAAGCCCTAAACTTCTGCACCACCTGCATCTGGAAACCACAAAACAGGAAAATATCTACGTGGTTTTATAACGATTGATTTCATAAAATTCTGAGAAGCATTCGCCTGTGTTTTACATTTTGTTCAAAATCTCTTTCATATATTTTCTACCCTCCCCTTTCATGAGCCACAGCTCTCCATTTTTCCTGGCTCACGTCCAGACTGTAATCTTTCCCACATGTTCCTTATTTTTCCTTCTTTCACTCCCTGTAAAGGATCACAGTTTCCTTACCTCCCTCTATCCACCCACAGCCTCCTTTTTGTTCTGCCACACACAGTACTCTCACTCCTTCAAGACACAAACTACGCTCTGAGTGGACACAGCACAGTTCTCTGCAGGACAAGACCAGGCCTTTGAGCTCTGAACTCTGCAGTTTCAAGATGAACAAGGTAAGGGATTGCTGGAGTCACTTTTCTGTGGCCACATTGGTAATTATCAAGGCCACATACACCTCTTCCTAAACTTTGCTAGTTCTGTCTTTTCCAAGCTTTGTAGGCTTGAGCCATGTAGGATGGGAAGAAGCCAAAAGCTGGCTATTTCTTACACAGACTAGGCTGCATGCAGCCAGAAGTGTAAAATTGTTTGATGTATTTAATGTTGTCGGTGTTTCATTTCATAGTGAAATAAGTCTAGAACACAATCCTTGAGAGATGAGGCCAGTCCAGTTTTAAGGATAAATCTGTTCAAACACAAATGCATCAGTGAGCAAAGTATATTTTATCGCTGTGTTTAAATATGCACATTTATGCATTCTGTGCTCAGTTCAGCATATTATAGGGCACAGCAGGGGGTTCAGAAAGGATGGGAATGCAGAGATGAGCACACTTCTTACTGCAAATATGGTTACACTCTGATCCATCACTCTCTTACAGATTTTGGCCCTTAGTTTTGTGGAGAATATCACGTAATAGATGTATCCATGCCCACATTTGTTTGTTTATTATTTATTTTTTCAATTTATGCTTTTTATCTAAAAGTGGTTTAGGGGATTTATGAAGAAAACATGTGCAAGTACTTAGCTAATTCTAGCTGCCTTATAAACACAGTATGATCACAAGGTTTTGGTGCAGTTTTCTTGATGAGGTTGCACTGCAACATTTGTTTTGTCATTAGTAGAGTCCTTCCATGATTTTCCAGGATTCTTGCTGCAGAATAATAGAACAGAGACAGAGTTCAAGGCAAGCCAAACTCAGTAACAGTATAAACAATCCAAAGGCAAAAGTAGTGGAAACTAAATATAAGAGGCAAAGGTCTGAAAAATAGGTTTCTAACATGATGGAGTCAGGCATTAGCTGTAATGTAAAGCTCTGAAGTGAAAAATCAGGTAATTCACTTAATTCTAGAATACAGAATGAGATCAGGTGGTGAAAAGTTGGGGATAAATGAGCTATCGATCAGTGAATTGAAATCAAAGACAAGAAGCAGTTACTTTCAAAGATTCCTGGGGAAGAAGGCAACAAATATGGTGTCTGAGATACCATTCTAGGATCAATCAATGCCAGGGGAAATGGTACTGAGAGATTCACTGGATAGCACCTGGAAAAATGTTTGATGATGGCCTTGTAGCTGACACTACCAATTACTGCTGAGCCCCATGGCATGAAGTAAGCCCACGATGTATACATTGACGTCTCTCTGCATTGTGCCAAGGCTGTCTAGCCAAACTCTGTTGCTGTTCTGGTGCTTTAATAATTGCAATAGAGAAAGGGACTATCTAGTACAGAAAGAAAGAGATACACAGGGGAGCAGAATTGTGAGACACATAATAGGGCATGGAAATTGGGAGATCCACAAGGTAAGGGTTGCTTAGAGAGTGATATAAGGGATAGGGACATACAAAGAGGGCGCATTGTAGAGTTGAATGGAGAGCAAAAGAAACAAAAGAATGAAACATGGGAACTTTGCAATTTTAGAGTGTTAGATTCAGTTGCGACTGGTGAAGACACAAGATGGAGGGGTACTAGATTATATCCCAGGGGTTTGACTCTGCCCACTTGACCCCATGTAGGCATGTACTGAGCCTATACACATATGGGAACCCAAAATCTGACTTCACTCACTGATGGTGTTACACCATGGCATCCCTAGAAGACAGAACAATATCCAGGGTGATCTTTTAGCATGCATATGACCTGATTGACCATGCAAAGTGAACAGGATGCTACATAAAATCCCTTTAGAGCAGACTAAGCATGTCTGAAGGGTATATACACAGAATATGGGGCAACTGTTTAAAAATGCCCCAAATCTCAATACGATTAGTTGCTCAGCCTCTTTGCAGTATCTTAAGTCTACAGGAAAACACTGCTAAACATTTCATGGCAGAGAGAATGTAAATTTTATTACAAACTTATAATTAGTCCTGGCAACACCAATAGATAAGTCTCCACTTGCGATGTTGATTATTTGTTGGGAAGGGCATGGGTAAAAACCTGAAGGCAGGGGTGTCATTAATACAGAGTAGGAGGGGGGCTTTGAGACAATTTGATATGAGTATATGCCAGGATTAGGTTCGTGGTGTGCTTAAACACGTGAGGCCTAGAGAAGGACATTTGATTTATGGGCAAGCAAGTGGAGATCAACAGTGATTAAGGGGAGCAGCTTAAACAGTGGTAATGAATTAGGGAGAAATGGCAAGAGAGGTTATCTTTGGAAACAATATACAGAAGGGATGAATTGGGGGAACTGTAATGGAAGTGGGCAGGAACTAAATTCATTAAGGTGATATGGGACAATGGAAAAGGTTCATATCAAATAGGGAAGCAGGATATATGAATTACATGATGCTTAGGAGTGGAGTGTGGAATAAGTAGGGGGCAGGAGAAGGGGAACATCATTTGTATGTGGCCTCAGAGGAAGAGACATATCAATGAAGTAAAGTTTTTGTTTTTTACTGGTTTGGGATGTACATTGTGTGGTTGTTTCTTCAGGAGGCCGAGCTGCGCAATACTTTGGATCAAACCTGTGTTTTGATATTTAAGTGGTAGAAAACAGCTGGTAATGTTGCAGATGCAAACTGAGAGTCCATTGTGGATTAACTGCATCAATGCATACAGCAGTCATTTTAATAGATGTTCAGTAAAGAGGATTTAACTAAGGATACCTCTATTGTGTCTAGATAAATAATTCTCTTACTGCACAGAGCAAGAAGAGATTGTCGTTGACCATCAGTACTTTGTTTCATACACATGCCCCATGCATAGCAAAACAGGGCAATTACTTCAAAAATTGCTCCTCAGAGTAAAGGCAATATTTTTCTTACTCTTTAATTAAGCAAACAATAACACAATTTGAATAGTTCTATGTTTGTTCTCAGTGATTGTCACACCTTAACAGTACGAAGGAGGAAAGACGTCATGTATTTAATATGAATATGGAAAATTAGCAGCACTTTGCCATATTGGGGCACTTCAGTACTGACGTACAGCGGCTGAGATAATGCGATAGTGTTGTCTAATAGCTGTTTGTATAGTCTGGGTTCCTAAAATTAGATGCAATATGTAGCTAACTAGTCATACTGTATGTATGTGTCAGGGATGAAAAGGAAAGAAGTAAAACATAATGTGTTGTGACGAATTTAGGCATTTCCAAACTAAATAAACAAGTCATCATGCAGGCTGTGTAATTATTTTAATAAGAGGGAAAAATATGTTCACTGTTGCTTGCTGTTTAATTCCATATGCAGAGGGTTAAAGTTTTAAAACACGTGCAACGCTCTCTAGGATTTTACTGATGCAGGAAAGAAGTGCAATAGCATCAAATACAATTGCAACATATATGTCAAAATATCTGATATGGAAAAATGCACACAGTAACAGACGATAGAGCTCGGCCCCTAGGAGGAAGAACATAATGTAAGTATATCTCCTTTTTTTTTTCTCCCGTCATGAACCACCTTCAGAAGATAGGTTACCATAAAGAGTACTAGCTACCTGATGAGCTTTGTAAAAAAAAAAAGAGAGAGAGAGAGAAATAGCCCATAAATAAGAAGTGTGCTTTAAAGGGACATGTATTCCTTTAGCTTTCAATAAGACAGTTGCCTTACTCTGTAGGATAAAAAAAAGCCTGCAACTATGATTTACCTGCTTCTTTTTGATTTATCTACTCGTTTTCCTGGCACTATAATGCCCTGAGGGTGCCCCCACCCTCAGGGTGGCTCTGGGGAGAGAAAAGGGGTAAAACTCACCTTTTTTCCAGCGCCGGGCGGGGAGCTCTCCGCCTCCTCTCCTCCCATTCGGGTGAATGCGCACGCACGGCAACAGCTGCGCGCGCATTCAGCCGGTCTCATAGGAAAGCATTCATAATGCTTTCCTATGGACGCTTGTGTGTTCTCACTGTGATTTTCACAGTGAGAATCACGCAAGCGCCTCTAGCGGCTGTCAATGAGACAGCCACTAGAGGATTTGAGGGCGGGATTAACCCATTTATAAACATAGCAGTTTCTCTGAAACTGCTATGTTTATAAAAAAAATGGGTTAATCCTAGAGGGACCTGGCACCCAGACCACTTCATTAAGCTGAAGTGGTTTGGGTGCCTAGAGTGGTCCTTTAAGCTTTCTACACTCACTCCAGGGAGGACACTGATCTACCCATGCAGGTAATCCTAATGCTTCTCTATTGGGACATTCAGCGCGTTCATGCATAGCGTGGAGACACTGAACGTCGGTACTGTGCACTGTGCTGTCTGAGTGACAGCCATTAGAGGTGTTATTAGTCAGCAATGTAAACACTGCTTTTTCTCTAAAAACCATGCAGGGAAAGGCTATACACACCAGAGCCATTAGATTAAGTTGCAGTGGTTCTAGTGACTATAGTGTCACCTTAAAAATTATATTTTTGTCATTGAAAATAAAGCTTTGTTGGTTTTAAAATGAAAACCTGGCTCCTAAATTTTCTAGCTGGTTTCTAGATTAAATTTGTCAAGCCCTGCACTAAAGGTCAAATTCACACTATGGCTCCTATAAACACCCACTTTATCAGTGTCTTCAGCCTCTAGCCATACATACTACATCACAAACACAACATATCTGAAACCAAACCATTTACTCAAACCCCTACACCACAATCATCTCACTCTACACACAGGCAATCCTGCAAGCAGCCTACAAACACATGCACATTATGCTTTCCTGGCTCTTTTAGCTTCAGCTTTGCCACGTATGGAGACACCAGAGACAAGTCATAAGACTCAGCGAAAGCGTGTCATTAAATTTGCTTGTGCTACAAGGTCTGCCCTGGAGGAGCATTGAACCAACATGGTCATACTGAGAGGCAGGGCCGCCACCAGAAATTTTGGGGCCCCTAACTCAGCTCAGGGTCTGGGGCCCGCCTCCAAATACCGCCCACAGGGTCCGCCTCCAAATACCGCCCACAGGAATACACACACAGACACAAACACACACACTGATACCAAGGGACACAGATACATACTAACAGACACACATACAGGCATACATACTGACACACACATACTGAGACATACACACATATACAGACACACAGGCATACATAGCGACAGACAGACACATACTAACATACATACAGACACACATGCATGAGGACATAAATTCACATACATACATACACACTGACATACATACAGACACTGACATACATACACACACACACACACACACACACATACATACAGACATACTGACAGACATACAGACACTGACATCCATACACACATAAATTCATAATGGCATAGAGACATACACAGACATACATTCATAATGGCATACAGACATACATACATACATTCAGACTGACATACATGCATATATACAGACATACTGACATACGTGCATACAGACATCCATACACACAGACATACATTCATAATGACATGCAGACATACATTCATACATATATACATACATACATAATGACATACAGACATATATTGATACTGGCATACATACATACAGACATACATGCATACTGACAGACATACATTGATACTGGCATACATACAGACATACATATATACGTACATACTGACAGACATACATACATACAGACAGACAGACATACATTGATACTGGCATACATACATGCATATATACAGACAGACATACATACAGACATACATGCATGCATACATACATACAGACAGACATACATGCATGCATACAGACAGACATACATACATGCATACATACATGCATACAGATAGACATTCAGACAGACAAACATACATACAGACAGACATACATGCATACATACATGCATGCATGCATACAGACATACATATTGACAGAGATACATACATACATACAGACATACATTCACATACACACAGCTCATTTTCCAGCACCCTCCTGTCTCTTACCTTGTCTCTGCAGGAGGGTGGCTGGGGCTGATGGGAGTAGTCGGCATGGCTCTCCCTCACTGCCGGGTGCGCGCTCCTCCCACTTCCTCCCAGTAGCACTTGTGCTGCGTTTTTTTTTTTTTTTAAAGAAGATATGGGGCCCATCGGGTGTCCCTAAGTACGTGGGCCACCCGATGGGCCCCGGTGCAAGTGCACCGGCGGCAATTCCACCGGGCCCGTGACAACCGTTATGGTTGTCACCCCCTGATGACGGCCCTGCTGAGAGGGGCCATGCTTGTCATTGGTGATAGTAAAACAACTCCAAACATCTCTGACCCACCCCCTCTTCACTGGGCTACTGTGAATTCAAAATGCCTGGCACTGAGTGTAATCATACAGAGCAGACTCCGGTGTCAAGATTCTCTCGACTGCTGGTTGCCCTGTTTCTGTCATTAGTAGACTGATCTGAAACTGAGATGGGTTGGTAAAGGAAAGGGGGGCAAAAGAAACTCCCCTAATTGAGAGACATGCCCCATAATGCAATCTGACCAAGTTCATAATACGTTCATTATATACTTCCTTTCTTTATTTTAGTTTGTGGATTTGTTTAAAAGTGTTTGCTTGCTGGTTTAAAAAAACAATTGTCAAGTGATACATTTGCCTTTAAAGTAATCAAATTGTTCTCAGCCCCTAACCACACACCATCCACGTGAACTTTTTAAAATGTTGGACAGTATTAACATGCGCGTTTCTTTACATCTAATGACAATACAGTATTCTATTGTAAATGTACACAGCTCTACCTCTCTCCAAGCCTTACATCTCCTATCTTTTACAGGAATATGGGAATGGCAAGCATGGGGTCTCCCAAATGCAGCAAAGCTGGATGTGGAACTCTGTGCTTCTCGTATTTGTTGTTGTGTGCTGCTCAGTGATACCCTCTGTGATTGGATGTAATAAAGCTCTCTGTGCAAGTGATGTCAGCAAATGTCTGCTGCAGGTGAGAAATTGAGAAATACAATTACTTGTTGTATATACATACATGTGTCTTTTACCAGAGCAACAAAGCAGACAATATATTTCATATTGTGGTCCTTAATTAAACTGTTTAATAGGCCTGGTTTCACATCTTTAGGTATCTAGATCATCTTAAAGGACCACTCCACAATTAAACTCTTGAATAAAATAAAAATCACTGTTTAGTAGATATACCCCCAGTAAACACATTTTTCAAGCATGTATTCATTTTGGGTATATCTTAGATGAGCTTGCAAAAGCTGCAGATCTTATGAACTGCAGCCAATGCAAGCCTTCCCCAGTTTCCCCTGAAACACTGGGAAATAGTTTATGAGAGGCTTCTAACTGAGAAGCCTTTGAAGCTATGACTCATGCGCGCACACATACCCTGCACAGTGTTCAGAAAGAACGCTGGTCTGAACTGAGGTCTGAGGGAAGGAAGACGCACTCAAGTAGAGAGTTAGATTGACAGCCGGGGGCTTTATTAATTAATAACAAAAGTGCGGATTTCTCACAAAAATCTGGACCTTTATAAAGTGCCTTTTAATAGGATACTCTTCACCCATAAAGCACTTCAGAAAGCTTGGTGTGGAGTGGTCCTTTAAAAAGTTACTTCAAGTACCATGATAACTTCATATGAAGTCTGTATGGTGTAATTCCATCTTCACCAGTGTCAATGGGTCATCATTAGTCACCCGGAACAGGAGTTGCAAATCCCATGCACAGAATTTAATTCATTTAGTGAGAGTGGTCAGCTGATGCTCTCATTGAATGAATGGCCGGCGGGTTCTGCTTCTTCAGCTTTGCAGAAGTTGGATACATCACATCACATCACTGGTTCCTGGAGGACCCTCAGCGCCCAGTGGGACCCAGATAGGAAGGCAAACTATTGTTACAAATGGAAAAGGTGACAGGATACCCTTAGGATCATAACCACTGCAGCAGATGCACCTCAGCTTGTCATAGGGTTAACTGCATGTCCCCTTTTTACCAATTCATAAATGTAACTATTTTAAGGGAAATTCTGAAAGTCTGAATGAACTTAGAATGCCCACATGTTGTCAAGCTGATAGCTAGGACGGCTTCTTGGTTCACCCCAATTCAACAATCATTCACGTGGAAGTGAGTCCTTGATTGGTACATTCCTGGCAATTATTGCACATAAGCCATTTTTTTCTGCACAGAAAGGGAGACGGTCATTGCTAACATATTTACTCATACAAATATTTTGGATTGGGATATTTAGGCATAAATCTAGAATATATATACTTGTTGGCCTTGTAAATTGCTAGTTGGTGTATAGATTGAATCCTCTTCAACTAACACAAGCCTAATGCTGTGATTTTTCTGTTATCATGCACTGTTAATCAACAACTGATAAAGACAAAATATGGTCATTTTCTCTTACAGAAAATGTGTGAATAACGTAAGGCCAGCTTCAGAGCTCAAAAACATTCCCCATCACGGTTACAGAACCAAGCCTACTCTTGTGTATATGGAAGCTATTACTCTTTAGACAGGTTTTGCTCTGCAGCAGTTTTATAAAGAGCACACTAGCTCAGAATAAATTGACCACCTTCATTTCCCTAGTTTCATAAATCATACATTTCAAAATATTAAGTAAAAACCAGGGATGTTTATTTTAGCTTTAAAATAGTGTATATTAAGTATTCATTGCACGTAAATGTGTTTAGTGGCTAGTTTCCAATATTTTTTATGGTCCCTTTAAGCTTAACAGCAATATACAGAAGCACTGAGTTTGTTGTATATTTTATTTATTTGTCTTGGGACCAAGGAATACACTGTATAACAGATAACATAATATAGAAGATACGTTAATTTATTAAAACTGTGGTTAAACCATCTACATAGAGTAAGAGTTTGTCCTCAGGTAGCCCTATTTATACAAACTGATTACTTTGTTCTAGTGCCAGTCTTGTTTTTTTTAGCTGCTTTTACCTTGTCCAATCCTTATTAAGTTTGACATCTTTAAACAAACCTCACTGACTGTTTGATGTATTAGCTCTGCTGTATTATTCATTCCTAAGAGGCAAGAAAGTCTGCATTCAGTGAAGGCTGGTCAATAATGGCTTAGAGGCCAATTAACTAATCGTAAATATTTCGGAATTTTGAGAGGGTTTTTTTGTTATGCCCTATTTTCTGGGTAGACATGCTCAGTCTGCTGTAACAGGATTTCTGACATCACTAACTGAATTTGTATTGGGCCTTCAGATTCTGCACTCCCTAACGGGGTGTTGTGTATTGTCCTGCTCACTAAGGCTGTTATTGGGTAAGAGCATTGTAGAGTAGAGTTGGACATCTTTAATGTGGTTTTTGTTTCCCTAAATATGTGTATCTAGAAGTGTCATGAGATATAACACTAAAACGCAGAGGATCGGATAAGTATTGGTAGAACAAGTTTATGGTGCTGAACAAATCATCACCTCTTAGTGGGCTGTGGGTAAATGGGCAGTGCCCAACAAACTCCACTGACTGCTGTAAATCACTGCTCTGAGGTGTGCCTTTCCTCTGGCCTTAATTTTATACTATTAGGTAAGCTTTCCAAATAATTTAATATTTCTCAATAAAGATTTCAAATTACTTTTTCAACATATGAAATTATCAAAATACAAAAAAATATGAAAATGTTTTAAATACTAACACATTTGAATATTTATCATAATACTAAGTCATTTTAAAAGTTTATCCAAAATTATCAAATCATTTGTAAAGCTTATCCAGAAATATTAAATTAAAGCTTTATATATCCACCTCAGCAGACCCATCGCTGAGGTCTGCTGACACGTTTGTGGTCAGAAGCACAGAGTATCCCAAGGCAGACAGAGCACAGAAATGCCCACAAATACCTGTCTGACTGCCATCAGCTCCTGGTGTACCAGTGCCTTTTTTTCTTCCTCTGCCGATGGCGTGCAGCTGTGATGACTGCCGTGGAACAGAGGGAGATTGTTCCCGAGGCGACTGAACTGTTGCTATCTCACACTTTAACAGATTTTACTGTGAACCATACCTCAACAAAAAACAGCTTACTAGTTAACTGATAACTGTCCCATGAGGCTTACAGGTCCATGCATTTCTAGTTTACCAATAATCTCTAATATTTATAGTGTTAGGAGTATACCTGTGAGACTGTATATGCAATTTAGTTGCAACCTTAATCATGGCCCCCAGCTTTTGCCCCTCTGGCTTTGTGAGACGGTTAGTGCATCACCCCATGCAGTGTTCCCCCAGAGGACAGAGCAAGGATGTATGGGGTGGGCAGTGGTTGGTGTCCTTGGGCTTTGTAGCTTTTTTATTTTTAGTTTTCTTTTGATGTTTAACTTTAATTTGTTTCCTTTACCTAAAGATACATATTGTGAGATTGATCCACCTGGACCAAGTAGGATTCATCCCAAATCGCAAGGGAGTGTCAGGATTATATTGATCCAGCACACAGAATAGTATAACACCCTAGAACTAAAGGTAATGTCTTACCAGACTTTAGAATGGCAGGACTTAACGTACCCAAGAATAGTAAAAAAACTAGCCGAGGTCAGGGACACAGAACGAAACATAGCGATAAGGAAAAGCCAAAAGTCAAGGATACCAGAAACCAGGGAAATCAAAACAAAGCCAAAGTCACAAACCAGAAAAACATGATCAGGAACACACTCTCGGATAACCAGCTAGTGGAAACCACGACAGGGCACTGACCAAAAGGTAATTTGGGTTTAAATAACCCTCTTAAGGCTGTAATTGGATGTCTCTGACCCCAAAACGTGCGTGCGCGTCTAAGACATAACATCGCATGCACGTTGGCGCCATCTTTGATATGGGTGAAGGTGAGTCTCCTATTAAAACCGGAACCGCAGCAGCCGGCGTCTCTAGGAACGCCGTACTCTCTGGGGACCGGTGTTCTATCAAATTTCCCTACCCGTGAAAATACCCTACCCTCGTCACTTCCGATGAGGGGAATCAGCTGGACCCTGTGCTGCACATGCGTGCTAGCACTCCTGCTACTCCTCCACAGCAAGGTCCTGTAAGGTAAGTAAAAGTAGTTTTACACTTTCATTATAGTTAGTGCATTCACTAAGTTTAGGACATGAGACATTTAGGGTTAATGTTAGGGTTCAAATTAGGGTTAGGATTAGGGACTTGTTCATATTTAGTTACATTTCACATTAGGGGAATATCTATAAATAGTGATTTCTCACACTTTATTTTAACCCTTACCCCAAGGGTTAGGGTAAGAATAGAGTGTGAGAGAGGTTAAAATAACTTTCCTAACCCTAATTTGAACCCTCACTTAACCCTAAATGTCCCGTGTGGCTAAGCTTAGTGAATGCACTAACTATAATGAAAGTGTAACACTAGTTTTACTTACCTTCCAGGACCTTGCTGTGGAGGAGTAGTAGGAGTGCTAGCACGCATGTGCAGCACAGGATCCAGCTAATTCCCCTCACCGGAAGTGACAAGGGTAGGGGATTTTCACGAGGTAGGGGAATGATAGAACAGAAGTAGGTTGGGCAGCGGTTTGCCGCGACCAAGGTATGTATACGGTATCTCTGTCGGCGTAGCCGCTTAGTTTATGTGCGGCCATGCCGGCAGAAGAACGGGGAGCCATGACAGGGAGCTAATAACATCTGGAGATGCATAGACCTAACTTGATATGGCCATAGAAAATATATTTCACTAATGCTAATCTCTCATGAAGTGTTTGATCGGCTCCTATGGCAGTTCTTGTTTACGGTGCTCACTCCCTTTGGTTTTCACACTTACATCTTAACATTCCTTACAGCACTATATGACTCTCCCATGGGTGCCTTACTCTTACCAAACATTCCCTCACCATCATTTCCGGTAGCGAATGGATCATGCCAGAGGTGTCCATTATCGCCTCTCCTTTTTGCACAATGTTTTGAACCCCTTCTACATGCAATACAGTCCAGCCATACAATTGCTGGAGTTAAAAATGGGAGGATTTTAAAGTGGCAGCGTACACTGATGACATTCTACTTACTCAAACTGATACAGAGTTGTCCATAGCAGCAGCACTCGATCTAATGCAACAGTACTCCTTTGTCTCTGGGTACAAACTTAAGTAAATCTGAACTTCTCCCAGATGAAATTAATAGTTCCCAGCTCTCTCACCTAAATGAGAAATTTCTCTTCCGAATAAATACCTCGGACACCACATACCTAGGGGTTCAGATCCCATCAAATCTGAATACCTTATATGGTTCATTCCATACACCTGTCCTAAGAAAGGCATTAGCTGATTTGATATGTTGGAGAAACTTGGAGATTTCCTGGGTGTGTCGTGTCGCCTCCATTAAACTGAATCTTCTCCCTAGTTTTCTATACTATTTCAGACACTACCTTTCCCTATTAACTAGACAGATTTCAAAACTTTGTAGTCTGCCGTGGATGGATTCGTCTGGAGGTGCAGAAGACTTAGAGTTTGTAGAAAAACAATATATATCTTGAAACAAATGGGCCTGGGTTTACCCAACTTCATTCAATATTATTAAGCAGCCCAACTGGCACATACCCAACAATGGCACTTGCCACCTGACTGGAAAAGATGGGTTGAAGTAGAACATTTAATCTCTGGCCATGAATTTCCTTCTGTGTACATGTGGTTTCCCAGACAACATCGACTCTTGGTTTCCTCAACATCACCTATGATCATCAACTCCTTCGATTTGCGGGATTGGGTTAAAGACAAATATGAATTTTTAACCTTCCTATCACCCCTCACAACGATATTGTGGAACAAATTGTTCCCACATGGTTTTTTACCTGAACACAGATTTAAGGATAGAAACATAACAAGACTGATGCGTATCCCAACTGATGGGATTTGTAAATAGTTCTCATTCCCCTTTTCCCCCATAGTCATCCCTACACCTCCCTGGCCAATACTCATAACCCCCCTCCTTCTTCAAAACAGGCACAGTGGAACCATAGAGAACGTGATAGCTAACTCTCAGGATTATAGTCAAATCAGACCCACTACTCTTACTCCACAACTTTCACATAGGTTTGGGGCGGGGGGAGAGGGGGACTCCCCTCTACCAGTTTTTGCTCTGAGCAAAAACTGCTCTAATCTACATTGTACACAGGCTTCCTTTTATGTGGTGGTGAGAAAGTAATCATTACTTAACTAGAATTGTCAATTTTAGTAGATGTTTTCCTCTTTTTATTTTTGTTGATCTCTTGTTTATTTACTTGTATGAATGAAAAATAAAGACACTTATTGGTCTTTGTATCCATGTATTATACAAATCAGACATTTTTTCAACAAAACGAACAGTGACTCTATTTCCATTCATAGTGTTCAATAGGGCATTTTACACCGAAAAGGGTCTGGCTCGGAAAGGATGCAGACAACAAATCTGCAAGTGTTGTAAACTGTTTTGTAGATATACCCACAATAAAAAAAATCAGCAATGAGTTAGTGTAAGATTTAATTGGGGTATTGCTACTAAATTGTTTTTTTTTTTTAAAACATTTGACTATTGGAATGTCCCTTTCATTGAACCATAAAATACATCCTGCATTTTCCAGGTTGCCGGCAGAAATTGCTGAGAAAGCTCCTCCATAGATTTTACAGGTTTTTGTTAATTCCCAGGTGGGGATTGTGCTCTCGCCAATGTTAAGTGGTTACATAACTTCAATCTTGGAAGTTGTACAAACTTAATTTATCTAGTAGCAACCTTGCTTCTCTCAACTACAGCCGATGCCAAGTCTAATGGTCCAATAGCAATATTGATTTGGAAGAATGGTGTATGATGTTGAGATCTTCCATTAGTTTCATAAACACTTACCCACAATAATACATTAGCCTGGATTGAATGTCTTTATTCAGTATTAGGGGTCTTCATTTTGTAACATACCTAGAACCACCTCCACAGAATCTCCATGTGACTATCCAGTTATTTAGAGGCAACAGTCTAACTCAGTAAGAGTGCATGGATTGCTTTCAATCTTCAGTGTTGTTAGCAAAAAGAAAAAGGGCCAAGTATGCAGGAACTAACCCATGCTTACTTAATGTATTAAATAGACGATGCATTCAATTATGCAAAAAGACAAAATAAATATTAATACCTTTAAATTGCATTTCGAGTATCAAGAGCTGGAAGACTCCTTCCTGGCCATCGAGAGGCTTGACCAATCAGGAGTCTTTTAAAGCAGTTCTGACACCTTATACTTACCTTGCTTCAAACTGTTCCTCTTCTCTTCCTCACTCTTAAACTATTCTTTTTTTTTTCCTTCTGCCCTTAAAATACATAAAGCAAAATAGTGTCTACTTTGACTTACTGCATTGTAAACTTCACAAAAAGCAGAGCACAGCACTAACGTGGACTCCCAGCAGATAAGGCTGAAGAGGATCCAGCGAATTCAGATGGCCACGAGGGACACCTTCAGGTAAGTAATACTTACCTTCCCCTGCACTCTGTGAATATCGGAACTTATGTAAAGACCCTAAATGTTGACAGAGCTGCTTCAAATTGGTCTTTTGGATCTGATCATATCCCATAATCTTCTTTCTGGAGATGTAATCCATAGTCCTACACATCACATAGGATGAGTGGTAACACGCAATAAGCGGGTACCATCAATACATGACTGATATCAGTTTTGTCAACCAGGTATGTGCAAGGATTGACAGAGCAACAGAGCACAGTCTAAAAGTAACTGTTCAATGGTGATATCCCTACGGATCCTGGCTTTATGTTTACTGAAAAACCCTCTTGTGCATTGATGGATTTAAAGATACACTATAATCACCAAAACAACTTTAGTTTAATAGAGTGGTTTTGGTGTATAGACTATACCCCTGCAGTCTCACTGCTCTGCCATTTATGAGTTAAATTACTTTGTTAATGGTGCCTTAGCCATATCTCCCTACACATTTCCTGTTGTGAACTAATTTAGGGTTTCTTATATCCTGCTCTGTTAATAGCCTGCAGGAGCCTCTTGTGTGGAATTAAAATTCAATCAACAGAACAACAGAGACAAAAACTGTACACTGATTGTGCGGTCTCATCTGACTAAAATGAAACCAATTGGGTTTTTTTTCATGCAGGCTGTATCAGTCACAGCCAGGGGAGGTGGAACAGGGGCTGCAAAAAAACAGAAAGAAAACACCTAAATGGCAGAGATTAGAACAGTGAGGCTGCAGTGAAGTGATCTATACACTAAAACTGCTTTGTAAAGCCAAAGTTGCTTTGGTTCTTTGAGTATCCCTTTAAGTCTACTTCCAGTGTGTGCGCCCAGTAGAGTCACCATGTCATTGTGTGGTAACGCCAATCAAACAAGTTAACTATATACCCATTGTTATTCCTGGCTGCCAACATTTGATGAGCAGATATACAGAAGGTGGTTCCATGTTTTAACCAAAGGACTGTAGATTTCATCATTTACTTTTCAGTATTGTATTAGTTTGCTGCTATAGATCTCCTTGTTTATTTTACACCTTAGTGTTGGAAAATGATACATCAGTAAGCCAGTATGTTTTAATTTCAGCTACTATGGCCTTAAATTTGAAATTCTCTTTGAATTCACCTTGAAATCTCACTTCAGTAAATAACCCAGTATATTTTAGAAGACCTTTTGCACAAGAGATGCGTTGTGTGTATCTTTCAATACATTAGTCATTGATCAATCAACAAGTTGGTCCCAGTGACCTCACTCCCCAAATATCAAAGGAAGAATTCAATGCAAACCAAATCTGTCCATTAGATTTCAATGGGTCCAAAGTGACCAATCAGTCGGTTAAAGGTGAACTTTAATTCCCTGTGCACCAGTGCTGGATTGGCAGGGAAGATGTGGCTGTCACTCATTTAAAAAAAAAAAAAAAAAAAAGGGTTTCCTTCTATTCTACGTATAAGGTGAACATGGAAACACAAACATAGGCTAGATAGAACTCTGTATTACATGTATGCACACATAGACACATTGATTTAATATAGTTTGCCTAAGAATCTTTCCAAATGATTTATCTGCAGAACTCACCATTACATTCTATTAGGGAATGTTGTACATAAATCATTTGAAAAGTTTTTCGAACAGATTGTGACTGAAATGGAATCCTTCTTTACCTTGGTACTTGGGGAGGACTGCAGGTCAGCCTCCTTTCCACTGACTAATGGTCCTGGCATGGAATGCGGTTCTGTTTTGGGGAAACAGATACACGGGGGCTATTCAGACTGCTTTCCACCCTGGTTTAGGTTTGCATTATTATTATTATTGGTATTTATATAGCGCCAGCATATTCCGCAGCGCTTTACAATAAGAGGGGAATTTACCAAATGAGACAATAACAAAATATAACAGAAACAATAGATAGTTGAGGACCCCGCTCAAACGAGCTTACAGTCTAGAGCAGCGTCTCCCAACACTAATTGGGGTTCCGCCGAAAAATTTGGAAAAAAATGGCCACGGGTGGTGAGGGAAGAGTGAGCTCTGATCTCCCTGCTCAGCTCCCTCGCGCGCACAGCAGTGATGCCGGAGCCGGAATATGATGTCGCTCCGGCATCACCAGGAGGCGCGCGAGGGAGCTGGACAGAGAGATCAGAGTTCCCTCGCCGCCCGCCTCCACCGCTCACCTGTCTGTCCCTCGCCGCCCGCCAAGCTGCAGCCATCCCCACTGGACCACAGGGACTTCATGCCAGTAGCCCCACTGGACCCCAGGGACTTCATGCCAGTAGCCCCACTGGACCCCAGGGACTCCATGCCAGCACTCCTAAAGGTAGGGGCGCTGGATGGAGTAAAATGTAAAAAAATAAATAAAATGTATGTGTGTCTGTTAGGGAGTTTGTATGTGTTTGTGTGTCTGTCAAAGAGTGTATGTGTGTTTGTCAGTGAGAGTGAATGTGTGCTTGTCAGTGAGTGTATGTGTTTGGCAGTGAGAATGTATCTGTTCTTGTCAATGAGAGTGTATATGTGTTTGTATGTGTGTCTGTAAAAAAGTGTGTGTTTGTCAGTGAGAGTATATGTGTGCATGTCAAAGAGTGTCTGTGTGTGTGTGTATCTGTGTCAAGGTTTATGTATGTGTCACTGTGTGCATCTAAGTGTGTGTGTGTATGTGCCAGTATGTATCAGTGTGCTTGTATGTGCCTGTGTGTGTGTCAGTGTGTATCTGTGGGTTCAAGTGTGTGTATGTCACTGTGTGTGTGTGTGTATTTGTGAGTCAAGGTGTGTGTATCTGTGTGCCAGTGTGTGTGTGTGTGTATATCTGTGTGTCAGATACATATACACACTGACACAGAGACACACACACTGGCGCATGCAAACACAGATATACAAACCTTGACACACACCGGCACATGCAAACACAGATACACACACCTTGACACACAGGTACAGACATACACAGATACACACAGTGTGTTAAGGTGTGTGTATCTGTGTGCCACTATCTGCCAGTGTGTGTATCTGTGTGTCAGATTCATACACATTGGCACATACAAACACAGATACACACATCTTGATACACAGACACATAAAAAGATACACAGACTTTGAAACAGACGCACACACCTTGACACACAGATACATACATACATACACACACAGATACACACTGTGTGTCAAGGTGTGTGTATCTGTGTCAGTGTGTGTATCTGTGTGCCACTATCTGCCAATGTGTATCTGTGTGTCAGATTCATACACACTGGCACATACAAATACACAGACACATACAAACACAGATACACAGACTTTGAAACAGAGGCACACACCTTGACACACAGATAGATACATACATACATACATACATACACACACACACATACAGATACACACTGTGTGTCAAGGTGTGTGTATCTGTGTCAGTGTGTGTATCTGTGTGCCACTATCTGCCAGTGTGTATCTGTGTGTCAGATTCATACACACTGGCACATACAAACACAAATACACACACCTTGACACACAGATACACACACCTTGACACACAGATAGATACATACATACATACATACACACACACACACACACACACACTGTGTATCAAGGTGTGTGTGTCTGTCAGTGTGTGTATCTGTGTGCCACTATCTGCCAGTGTGTGTATCTGTGTGTCAGATTCATACACACTGGCACATACAAACACAAATACACACACCTTGACACACAAATACACACACAGTGTGTGTGTGTGTGTGTGTGTGTGTATCTGTGTGTCAGATATACAACTGGCACATACAAGCACAGATATACACACCTTGACACACACATTTAAAAAAAAAACAAAAAAAAACGCGCAAATGAAATTTTTTTTTGGGGGGTGGGGGGCGTTCCACGATGTTCGTACACTATGTCATAGGGTTCCACAGGAAAAAATAATTGGGAAACCCTGGTCTAGAGGATTGATTTGTATTACCACAATATGCATATTAGGAAAGTGCAAAAAAACTGTGTTTTCCATAATTTGAAAAGTTGTGATTGAATTATATATTTGGTGTAGGATTATGTTGATTATTTTTCAAGTTATGTATGTTTGTTTATATTGTTATGGTTTTCACCTCATGCTTAAGGACAAGTCAGCATAGGCTAGTCCTTGTTCAAAATAAGGTATAGTGTGCTAGTTCCATCTGGAACTGCATGTCCTGCTTTGTTTTTCGGGTATCCCAGTAACACAGTCTTCGGACCTGTTGACTGGCTGCTTGGTCCGTGGGACAAGTTAAAAAAGAGCTAGGCCTAAGTAACGTTTTACAGGCAGTAGCTGGTCATAGTGCAGGCAGATATGTGGATACATGCTGAAGAGACAAAGGCAGAGGTACCTGCCTGGATTGAGAGGGCTGCAGCCTGGTCAAGGGTAGAAGAAGTTCTCAGCAACCGAAGTCAAGCTTCAGTGACTGTGGGTAAAGCAATCCAGGATCCCTGAAACCAGCTAGGAAGCAGACTTGGAAGAGGTACTCGGTCGGAGTACAGAAGCTCCTTCACATTTGGTGGCAGCTGTGGGATCTGCTTCCTCCCTTATGGAGCAGTTCCAAACAACCTCCAGGACTAGCAGCTGGAGCCAAACTAATTGGTGGCGGTCGAGCCAGCACCCGTGTGGCGACCTCATCTGCTGAGAAGTTTCAAAGGCAAGTACAGGAGAGACTCTTCTTCTTTGGCCCACACCCTTCAGCTGAAGATGTTTGGGCGAAATCAGCTTCAGTAGATGCGCAACTCAGGAGGAAAAACAGACAGAGGTACCAATGGCTAGCTGTTCTGCGAGCCTGTGAAGTCAGTAACCGGTAACAAGCCCTGTGGGATGTGCCTGCCTTAGAGAAAGAATTCCTGCAATGGTAGGATGATATATGACAGTCACTTTGGGGTAAGGGTGCTAACACCCAGGCAATGCATACGGGACCATAGGGGACGATACCTTGCCTGGAAGGAGAGAGCTGCAGCCTGATTGAGGGTGGAAGAAGTACTCAGCGACCCTGTTCAAGCTTCGACGACTAGGGCTGAAGTGTTCCAGGTTCCCTTAAAGCAGCTAGTAGCAGACTTGGCGGAGGTACTCGGTCAGAGTACGGGTCCTCTGTTTATCCAAATAAATTAAATCAAGGCCATAGACTTGATTGCACATTTTACTTCTTACGCTTCTATAAACAATGACAAATATTTGAAAACATCTGGCATTGGCAATGGCTGCTGTTGAACCAAATGTAAAAGTAAGAGGTGAAAAGCCTGATCCAACCTGGTATATATGGGGTTATTTTTACACAAATGACCAAATATTTTTTTTGCTGAGAGTTTGAGCTGGAAAATTGTCACGGTTCTCACCGTGACATTCAGACGGACAGACGTGGTCGCCCCAGAAGTGTCCAACAGGGGATATGAACCTGAATTCTTCTGTGTCCTGGGCCTGCTGTTTTGCCTCTCAGTTACAATTCAGATTATGTATCAGCCTGAAGTCCGATCTTGCCTTATCTCCAGCACTAGGGGGCTGGACTTTTCCTGTGACTGCTCCTGTCTATCTGAGTCCACCTGAAGCAGGTGCCAAATCTGCCAGGTATAAAACATTGCCTCTCTCTGAGGGCAGTGTCAGTTCATTGACTCGGGTTCTACTGTTTGGTTCCTGTTATTATGTTCTTAATCCAGTGTTCTCCAGACGGCTCCTGACCTTGGTTTATCTTCATTTATCCTGACCTTTGGCATCCTCTGACTTTGGCTTCTCCTCGACAATCCTCCTGCTTTTGTCCTTGCCTGTACTGCAACTTGGAGCTAGATCATGCACAGCCCCCATGCACAGACTCACAGGCTAGGTGGCTTCTTATCTGGTCACCTTAGTCTGTGTTTATTTGCAAGGGTCCGGTGGAGTCCTGACATTATGAACTGACCGCAGAGATATACAAGCTGCTCACCTCCCTTGTTCAGCAAGTGACCAACCTGTTCCAGACTGTTCAGGAGGTGCAAAAGGATGTATTGGCATTTAAAGGAACAGTACACCCAACCCTGGAACCTGCCTATACAGAACCCTTTGCAGTAATGCCTGACAGGTTCAACGGTTCCCGTTCCTCATTCACAACGTTCAGGATGGATTGTGAGCTCATGTTTGCCCTTAAGCCCAGGACCTATTACAGCGACTTTGTCAAGGTCCGTTCTGCTGTTAATCTGCTTCCGGACTGATGAAGATATGGGCATACCAGAACTTGCAGGAGAAAAGTGCTATCTTGAACAACTGGGAGTCATTTATAACCGCTATGGACTCTCAGTGCCTTACCTCCAAGAAAGCTACTCCGAAGCCTGTTTCAGGTTCCCATAGATCTCAGGTACCCAGAAAAAAAATGACTGCAGCCTGTTTTAGTATGAGCCCACCTTCAGTGACTGGCCTTGTCACCCTGAATGTACCCAAGTAAGCTGTGAAACTCCAGTGGACAGGGAGGAACCCATGGAGATCAGATTCATCCGCACCAGATTGCCTCCTGAGGAAAGAAACCGTAGAAGAGTCCATTGCCTGTGTTTTTATTGTGAAGAAAGAGGGCACATCATCTCTCTCTGCCCAACTCGTCCACCTAGGCCTAAAACTCTTCTATTGGGTACCTTACGGACTCGTCCTGTCATCCCAGCAACACAGCATGGAAACTGCCAAGGTTGCTGCCAGCCCTGCCAATGCTGCCAGCACTAAGCTGTCAGTGTAACATCATTTCAATTATTAGCCCTTATGTGGCCACTATTAGAGTAAATTCCTGAATGTATTCTTGTGTTTCTGATCTATCCCAATTATTATTCTCTTGTTTCTTGTTATCTTTGGCTTGTACTACACTTGCACAGACGTCTGTAACCCCATACTAGGCTATCATTCTGTTAATGCTGAACTTTGGAATTCAGACTTTGGCTAGTTATATGTGTAAGCTGACTTTTATAATTCAGACATAGACCTCTTTTAATCATTTTATCATGCTTTTAGGCACCCTGTGTTTTACATCTTCTGAGGTTTTGCTACGCCTGACTTTCTAAGGACCAATACTATATCTTACTATCCCTCACGACCTTTTTATCATTCTTAGCAGCATCTGGCCTCTACTCCACAAGCAAAGGTTTAGCATAAATGCAAAATGGCAAATGGCTAGTACATGTAAACTTATTGACATTGTGGATTCCTCAGTACACTTCCTGTCTCAATTGTTCCAATCTATTCAGGACCAGTAAAAACTACAAATATGGCCAACATGGATACGAGTAACTGCCCCCGAAACAGAGTGCAAATAATTAATTGTCTGTTCTTCAGACTCAGGGAGCAACTAAGCACAGAGCCGTTCACTTATTTATCCAATGGCAATCTTGCAGGAGGCATTAAAAATATTGCCAACATTAGTTATAAAATATGCAGGTACCTAATCAAACTTGGATCTGTAATTTACATGTGAATTCTAGAGTCCCTTAGGGAACCATAAATGTCCACAACCATAACTAATAAAAAATATAGTTCTCGGTCTTAAGCAGGGCCAGATTAAGAGCCCAGTAGGCCTGGTGCTGACAATTATGACGGGCCTAATTACAGAATCATATCGACCAAAAACAGTAAGACACTCCCAAGCGTCATGTATCTGATGGAGATGGTGCTGGAGAGAAAGAAAACAGCAGCTATAAGGAAACACATACCTTAGGCTAATCTCTCTCTAATTTATGTTTTTATCTTTCAAGTAAATCCATAACCCCTAACAGCAGTGTCCAGTCAAGCAGGAAGTCAATGGGCATGGAAAAAGGGTGTGCTACTGACACAAATCACGTAACCTGCCAAAAGGGCGAACATGCCCAAAAAGAGGACATGTCTGCTCAAAGAATTAGAAGGCCAGCCTGGCATGAATGCATGTCAGGCTGCCTGCCAATCATGCAGCTGGCCAACGAAGGGCATACTATGCAGACAGCACCCTGAGCTTGGCATAAATGCATCTAATGATGCACTCACTCAATGCTTACTAAGGACTGTCCCCTAGCACTCGCTGGCCACTTGTCTCCTTACCTTCTTACTAGCAGGCAGAAGCTCCTGGTATATGGTCTGGGACAGAGACAAGCTGTATGTAGTGAGTGTAGAAGAAAGGGAACATGCCACAGTGTTAGAGAGACCAAATTCAGCATTACCTTAAAGGATAACTATAGGGTCAGGAACACAAACACCACCATCTAGCCCCCCTGGGCCCCTCATGCCTCCATAAATATAGCAAAAACCTACTATATTCAAGCCTGAAGCTGTAACTCTGCATGCTGTTAGACTCATAAAAACAAGCAGTCTGCTGACATCATTAGAAGTGGTGGCCTGATCCAATCACAGTGCTTCCCCTTAGGATTGGCTGAGAATGACAAAGAGGCAGATCAGGGTCAGAGCCAGCATGATTCAAACACAGCCCTGGCCAATCAGCATCTCCTTATATAGATGAATTTAATTAAAGAATCTCTATAAGGAAAGTTCAGTGTCTGCATGCAGAGGGAGGAGACACTGAATGTTTGGATGCATTTTAGGCAGCCGTGACCCAGGAAGGATCTCTAACAGTCATCTAAGGAGTGGCCAGTTAAGCTATCACTAGGATGTAATGTAAACACAGCCTTTTCTCTGAAAAGACCGTGCTTACAGCAAAAAGCCTGATGGTAATGATTCTACTCACCAGAACAAATTCAATAAGCTGTAGTTGTTCTGGTGACTATAGTGTCCCTTTAACTATATTCATTGTCAGCCAGTCCACACACGTTTTGTTCCAATACATCCCTCTTAAGTTTCCATACTTAAGTAAGAGTATGTGAAAAGTAGTTAGGGTTGCCACCTTTCTTGGAAAAACATACCGGCCTTACTAATTTGCATAATTAAATATGTGTGGGTGACATCACATGATGTAAATCACAAGGAGTGACATAAGAGAAAATGCCATAAAATCACCAAAAAACTACTTAGTTTAAATCTGCAGTATAGATGGATTCCTCCCAGTGCCCCCATGTCTCCTAGTGCCCTCATGACTCAGTGCCCCATGTGTCGATTACTCCAGGTCTCAGTGTTCCTATGTATCAGTGTCTCAGTGCCCCATGTCTCCCAGTGCCCCTAGTGTCATGTCCCCAGGTCTCCCAGTGATCCTATGTATCAGTGTCTCAATGCCCCATGTCTCTCTGTGTCCCCATGTATCCCAGGGTCACCATGTCACTAGGACACTAGGAAGACAGGGAGACCTGGGGACACGGGGAGACCTAGGGACATGGAGACACCAGTGACACTGGGAGACTAGGGGACTATGGCTGGGGCACATGGGGATAATGGGAAAATAGGGGACACTTGAAGACATGGGGACACAGACACCCTGAACAAAGATACTAGAGACACTGGCTGGGGGATATGGGGACATTGAGACATGGGGGCACTGGGAGACATGGGGACACTGAGACACCAGGGCCACAGACACTAGGGACACTAGCTTGGGGATATTTTAACACTTGAGGCACTGAGAGACATGGAGGCACTAGGAGACATGGGGACAGTGAGACACTGGGAGACTAGGGGTCACTGGGAGACTAGGGGGCACTGAGACACCAGGGACACTGGCTGGGAGACATGGGGACACTGTGTCCCCATGTGTCTGTGCCATAATGTTTCCCAGTGTCCCTTAGTGTCTCAGTGTATGTCTCCTTGCAGCCTTTCCCCCCCATCCCATACTTCCCTGAGCTCTAGGCTGTCTCTGCAGGGTGGGAGTTGCTGTCTGGACTCTCTGTAGCTGCACCCCTGCAGATCAGTGAGTATAGATAGGCAGGGAGGGATATGCTGGAACTTCCTATCCCTGCCTGTCTCCACATACAGCGACCCCTACTGGCCAGTGCTGGTATTGCATAGTAATCTCCATTTATACTGAGAAAAATACCAACATTTATATTGCCAGTATCACTGCAATATTGGCACCAGCCAGGCAGCCTCAAATACTGGCTGTGCCAATAAAATAAAAGCAGGTGGAATCCCTAAGAGTAGTGTGTGGAAAAAAAAATGTAAAAAAAAAAATATTTTTTTTTTTTTAAATCAATGGGCCTATTCCATGGGCCTGGGCCTGGAGCTGCAGCTCCATCAGCCCCTATGTTAATCCGGCCCTGGTCTTAAGTAACATGTAGTTGTAAAATATAGAGCCCTGTTTATAATCTCACAGGTTTCTGTTTGTTCTGTTGGCACCAGATTCATTGTTGTGCATGGAGGAGGGGGCTTTAAAACTCTTGTACCTCGAACAACTTGGGATCTACACTGAAAACAATTATAAACGCAACACTTTTTTTGCCCCCATTTTTCATGAGCTGAACTCAAAGATCTAAGACTTTTTCTACGTACACGAAAGGTCTATTTCTCTCAAATATTGTTCACAAATCTGTCTAAATCTGTGTTAGTGAGCACTTCTCCTTTGCGGAGATAATCCATCCACCTCACAGGTGTGGCATATCAAGATTCTAATTAGACAGCATGATTATTGCAAAGGTGTGCCTTAGGCTGGCCACAATAAAAGGCCCCTCTAACATGTGCAGTTTTATCCCACAGCACAATGCCACAGATGTTGCAAATTTTGCGGGAGCGTGCAATAGGTATGCTGACTGCAGGAATGTCCACCAGAGCTGTTGCCCGTGAAATGAATGTTAATTTCTCTACCATAAAGCATTTCAGAGAATTTGGCAGTACATTCAACCGGCCTCACAACCGCAGACCACGTGTAACCACACCAGCCCAGGACCTCAACATCCAGAATCTTCACCTCAAAGATCGTCTGAGACCAGTCGTTTGAGACCAACTGAAAACATCCCAGTTCTTGCATGGCCAGCATACTTACCGGACATGTCACCCATTGAGCATGTTTGGGATGTTCTGGATCGACAGTGTGTTCCAGGTCCTGCTAATATCCAGCAACTTTGCACAGCCATTAAAGAGGAATGGACCAACATTCCACAGGCCACAATCAACAACCTCATCAACTCTATGCGAAGGAGATGTGTTGCACTGCGTGAGGCAAATGGTGGTCACACCAGATACTGACTGGTTTTTGGACCCCCCCCCCCTCCAGACCCTCCCAATACAGTAAAACTGCACATTTTAGAGCGGCCTTTTACCGTGGTCACCATAAGGCACACCTGTGCAATAATCATGCTGTATAATCAGCATCTTGATATGTCACACCTGTGAGGTGGATGGATTATCTCGGCAAAGGAGAAGTGCTCACTAACACAGATTTAGACAGATTTGTGAACAATATTTGAGGGAAACAGGCCTTTTATGCACATAGAAAAAGTCTTAGATCTTTGAGTTCAGCTCATGAAAAATGGGGGCAAAAACAAAATTGTTGCGTTTATAATTTTGTTCAGTGTAAATACATCCCTGGCTTTTACATAAGACAAACATCTCCATCATCTAAATAAGCCACAATCCTTCTGAGAAAATGGAAACAAATACCAAACCCACTTTCTTTTCTTTCAGTATTACATAACAGTCTAAGAGTAATGCCATTTGTTAAGTGTAGAATAACAAAGGCTTACTTTAAGGATAGGAGACATCTTCTGGAAATTGGGAAGAAACATTAATCCAGAAACAAATACATACAAAAACTACCAATAATAGCAATAAAGAGCCCCAATTAAAAATAAAAAAAATACACTAACCCATGAATATGAGTAAATGAAATAACTTTAGAAATGTAACTGTAGAAACAGACTTGTTTTAAAAAATCCTGGAATCTGAGGTGGTTCAAAGTAATCCTTAAGTAATAATATTATATTAATTTAACCAAACTATAGTAAATTTGGATGTAATTATCATTTGATGATTGACAGTGTTTTAATGTGTAGATAGCCATCTTTGTTGATTTCATTAGTTACCTTCCTGATAAAAGCAAATACAAAAACAAGGCTGCAGAGAGGATGTGATGACAGCAGGCAATCATAATCTGCTATTTGCATATTTTTGTTAAACCCTGCTTACCACTGCGTCAGAAAAATGAAAAGTTTATATGAACTTTAATAATGATGCTGTTTTCCCATAATTCCTAAGGAAAACAAATTTTATCAAGGAAGCTTTTATTCAGCGTTATAAAAACAGAACTGCTAAACAGATTTCAAAATTATCAATGGATAGTGTTGACATTTTTTACAGTGCTGTACGATAGTGCATAAAAAATGTATGATGATAGACCAATCTGGAATAGATGTGCTGATCATTTATGCAAAAATGTGTAACAAATCCTTCTAACAAGAAAAGTGCTTGAAATGTATGGAAACCCCATTCCTTTACTATATTTCTAATGGGAACAGTGTCCCAGGAATCACACTGCTGAAATGCCTAACTTGTACAGTGTTTAGGTTTAAAGGGACACTCCACTGCCCAAATATATAGAAATGTAAAAATCACTATTTAGTAGAAATATCCCCAATGAAAACATTTAATTATGCATTTCTTTAATTGCGGGTATGTCTAAAACGGCTTGTAACACCTGCAGTTCTCATGTCTGCAGCCTTTGCAAAACTTACCTTGTAATCCAGCCCAGACATTCTGTGACGGTCCATTAACAGACTTCACAATGCAGCTCAATGAGAAGTGTGACGGAGCTCCCGTACTCCTAACGAGTACATCTGCCAAGCTCACTTTCTCGCTGCCACATGCGACTCTGAAGCACTTCAGGTCCAGTCGTCGAAGCTTGACTGGGGTTTCTCAGGAACTCTTCCACCCGACCAGGCTACAGTTCTCATCTTCCAGGCAAGTCTCGTCCCCTCTGCCTCTTTCCCAGGCAGGTATCCACACCTCTGCCTGTAATGTGATTAGCTCCTGCCTTTACAAAGGCACGTATGGTTCTAAGGCCTAGTTTTCTTTTTGACCCGTCTTGAGCGGCCAGCCAACAAGTCTAAAGACTCTGTTACTGGGATCTCTGAACAAACCCACACTTGACACACAGTTCTAAAAGAAACTAACATACAAGTAATGTTTGACAAGGACTAGCCTTTTGGGACTTGGCCTTAAACATGTGGTGACAAACATTTAAAATACAAATATATAGAACATTGGAGAACGAGCAATTATAATTAATACATGTACTATATAATGCAAGTAATATTTTCAAACACACTAAAAAGCAACAATATATACATTTAACTATGTACTTGGTTACCCTCATTAGCATACCAACATTATGTAATTTCTATTCAGTAGGTAGAGTGTGCTGCAGAGTTCTCAATTAGCAATGCATAGTTCAGGCTTCCCCAGACTCCGGCCCTGCAGATGTCGATGAATTACAACTCCTATGATTCTCAGCCTATTTCATTCATAGAATCATGGGAGTTGCAGTTCAGCAACATCTGGAGGGCCGGAGTTTGAGGAAGCCTGGCATTGTTTGTTTTTCATTTGCTATCATCACAAGCCCCTATCAGAGGCTCTTGGGACCAGGACCGTAGTCTATGGGCAAGAAGTTGATCTTCAAACCTCTCCAAAAGGTTATGGCATGGGAACTTCTGTCACAAGAAGTCTTTATAAACCAGGTGCTCTGTGCCTACCTGTTTAATTTAGCTCCAATGAGCTAAACAACCAGGAAGTAACAAGACTGGTTGTCTGATTGACATCCAGGGGCTGTAACAAAGTTAATTTATAAAAGTTCCAATTTCTTTTGAAATCAGAACATTTTGAAAAATGAAAAAAATTACACTTTTTTTTTTTTAAAACACACACTCTTCACACATAAAACACCTAATAAAGCTGAAGTACTTTAGGGGAATGGAGTATTTCTTTAAGGTTAGAAGGAGTTTTAAGGTAAGGGTAGTATTAATTGGGTTTTTTATTGTAAGGAGGGATAGTGGTAATGATGTGTTTAGGATTAGAGTGGGATATAAGGTTAGAAGTGGACTTAAGGTTGAGGTGTTCTAATGCTTATACAGGTATTTAGTATTAGAGTTACAAAGTGACACAGAGCTAGAGTAAATAAGTAAGGCCTAAGACCAGGGAATATCATTAATTTCCAATATGTGGATCATCATTATTCCCTTGGGAACCAATTTAGGGAGTTATTTGCAAAACTGCTAAATCTCTTTTCTTAATTTTGATCTTTCAGATGTTTAATAGATAACTCCCTAATTTGCTTTCAGTACATGGGATTTCCATATATTAGATACCAAATAAGGGAGCTCTCTGCTAAACAGCACCTCTGTATTCCTAACTCTCTACATTGCCTCAATGCTTTACTATACAGATCTCACTGATGCGGGATGTCCACGTGTTCCCTGATAGACAGCCACTGGAGGCAGTGTTAGTCTTGCAAATTAATTATTGCAGCGTCTCAAAAACTGCAATGATTTACACTGCAGGACTAAGTGGAACAGGGACATTGCACCCAGACTTTTTCAATGAGATGAAGTGGTCTGGGTGTCTATAGTGTCCCTTTAATTTGGTATCCTTAAATATGGCAGTCCCTTGTAAGGGTACAAATTTTATTTAGGGAGGTTTATACTAAACTGCTGAAAGAGCAAAATTAATAAAATCCCTTTTCTTAATTTTTTCTTTTAGTTGTTTAGTAGATAGCTCCATAATTATGGCAAATTGGCAATCCTACATAAGGATAGCAAATTATAGAGCTATCTAATAAACAGCTGAGTGGTCAAATTATAAAATAACTTTTTCTTATTTTTTTTCTTTGAGTTAGTAGGTAACTCTCTAATGGTATGTTTAAACATGTCAATAGAACATAAGGATAAAAAATTAGGAAGTTATCTACTAAACAGCTGAAGGATCAAATTTATGAAAAGCCCTTTTAATCATTTTGGCCTGCTTTGGGCCTGACCAGCGAGGTTTAGCTGATATCCACTAGGGACAAACATTGTTTTGTACAATGTCTATGTGCTACTTATGAATCCTTCTCTCCACCCACATAAAAAAAATATATATATAGTGAAAGGGTTAATGACCTTCCTGTGTGTCAGAATATGTGATGCATTGCTCATTGTTCTATTTGTTTCTTTGTAAATTTCAGTTCTGTTCAGGTCTACAAAGTAGCTGTTTAATCTCCCGGATGATGTTCTACTCTTTTCTTTTTTGTACGTTATTTATTCAAACAGGAGCTGTGTCAGTGTCAGATGAAGGAAGGGAGATGTCCTTGCTGTCAGGAGTGCTCGCTGTGTCTGGGCAGTGTGTGGGATCAGTGCTGTGACTGTGTGGGTAAGTAGGGTTGGTTGGATGAAATGGAATCCTCGCAGGAACCAACATACAGGCTGGTCTGCAGAAAACGGAGTCACAGATTCATGAGGAAGAGGCTCCCAAATGCATTGCACATCAAGGCTCCACCAGGACATCTCATATCAATATGAGGCCAAGCTGTCAAAGCTCTGAAGGCAAAAACAGCCTACTGATTGCAGCACAATGATCAATTTTCACTAGGTTTGGACACAGCCAGCCCATGGAACAAGTATATTGCCTGAGGGTACAGAATATGTGGACAGTGACAATGATTTATGATATACACGATGGGATCATCCAATTCTTCTACTGCCTAAATTAACATTAAAGGAACACTATAGGGTCAGAACACAAACATGTATTCCTGACCTATAGTGTTAAAAACACTATCTAGCCCCCCCTGCCCCACCACCACTAAATACAGTAAAATCTTAAATTTATTCCAGTCTGCTCCTGCTGGCTCTGCCCCGATCTGCCTGCTTCACTGACATTATCAGAAGTGATTCTCTCAGCCAATCAAAATGCTTTTCCGTAGGAAAGCATTGGATTGGCTAAGACTGTCAAGGAGGCAGATCAGGGGCAGACACAGCACAAGCCAAACACAGCCCTGCAGGGCAGCCATCAGAAATGTTGGGGCCCCTGACACAGCTCAAGGACTGGGCCCCCCGGTGCCTGCACCCGAGTCCGCCCAAAGTGCTGCCCCCCCCCACGAGTCCGCCCACAGGGATGCAGTGTCTGCAGGGCCGGTGCAAGGATTTTTGCCGCCGTAGGCATAAGTAAAGTTTGCCGCCCCCCCATCTGACATCACAATGCCCCACCCATATGATCTGCCATGTTAACTAACACCAGTGTTGCAGTGCCACCGTGTTTCCATTAAAAGGCCTGCAGGGACAGGCTATAGACACCAGAACCACTACATTAAGCTGCAGTGGTTCTGGGGACTATAGTGTCCCTTTAATGTGAGGTAAATTAGAGATTAGTGCCACGAATAATATACTAGATTGCCTACTTACAACCAGATGAGGATGATGGGGCTCTAGCTGCCGTCTGGCTCCACTGGTCTGGTGTAGAACAGGCTCTCTGGAGGCGGTTTGTAACTGTGGTCACAAAAATCAATGTTCTGGGAGAACGGGAAGCAGCTCCATTTTTTTGAGGGCCCTTTACACAGCTCAAGGTCTGGGTCCCAGGGTCCACCTTCATGTTCCACCAATGAGTTTGTTCACAGGGGGTGGAGTGTGTGTGTGGGGGATGTCCTCATGTGTGTAAGGAATGCATTGTGTGAATCTGTGTTTGTATGTGTAAGGGCTGCAGGGTGAGTTTGTGTATGTATGGGATGCAGTGTGTGCGTCTGTAAGGGATGCATTGAGTGTGTGTAAGGGGTGCATTGTGTGTTGCTTGTGTGTGTCAATTTCCTTCTTCTCCCCCTCCCTCCCTCTCTCCAATTTCCTTCTTTTCCCCCCTCTCCAATTTCCTTCTTCTCCCCCCCTCCAATTTCCTTCTTCTCCCCCTCCCTCTCCAATTTCCTTCTCCCCCTCCCTCTCATTTCCTTCCTCTCCCCCCCTCCCTCAAAATCCTTCCTCTCCCCCTCCCTCAAAATCCTTCCTCTCCCCTCCCTCAAATTCCTTCCTCTCTCCCCCCCTAAAATTTCCTTCCTCTCCCCCCTCCCAAATTTCCTTCCTCTCCCTCCCTCCCTCAAATTTCCTTCCTCCCTCCCTTCCCTCAAATTTCCTTCCTCCCTCCCCCCTCAAATTCCTTCCTCTCCCCCCCTCAAATTTCCTTCCTCTCCCTCCTCCCTCCCTCAAATTACCTTCCTCTTCCCTCCTCCTCAAAGGAAATTTCCTCCTCCTCTAAATTTGAGGGAGGGGGGAAAATTTGAGGGAGGGGGGAGAGGGAGAGGAAGGAAATTCTCCCCCCCTCAAATTCCCTCAGGAGGGGGGGGGGGGGGGAAATTTGGGAGGAAGGGAGGGAGAGGAAGGAAAGAACTGAGGGGAGGGTGGTTTTGACAGTCAGGGAGGACGCTCCGATTTTTGATTTAAAACTTACATTTCTTCACCCTCCTCGAGATATTCATTGACCGTTTGTTTTTAGTTCAGGACAGAATCTCCTAGAGCAGGCAGTGATTACTAAGAGAAGAATTATCTTTGCAGCACAGTATCTAGTAGATAACGATCTCGACAGTGCAAGGACTTAGCACTTTGGGGAGAATGAGGGAACGCTGGGGTTTACTTTGGAGTGTAGATTTTCTCTATTAACCCCCTCCCTCCTGTACTCTAGCAGTGTGCTACTATTCAAGTGTGGGAATTTTTTCTCCTTATCTATCTTAGTTATCATATCTCCTGGCTCTATACATAGGAGATCTGTCCTTATCAAGCTTTATACTTTGTTTATATTTGATACTATTTATTTATTTTTAGAATTGATTATTAAAAGTTATATTTTAATTCAGGGACTGCTGCTCTCTTTACTTGTAACCTGTAGGTGCACTATCACTATTATTAAGTGCATGCTCCAGCTCTACCTGTATTTTCTCTTTTGTAACTAATCTGGTAAATAGTACATTTTGGGCATGCTCTTCATATCTGAGAGTCAAATAGAAGCGTCAAATAGTACGCTTACAGCGCAGTTGTAAAAATTCTAATTTTCTGGGTGCTAAATAGTACATTTGGGGTGTGCACTTCATATCTGGTGTATGTGTGCAACACTGGCTAGGTACCACTTCTCAAGAAAGTCTAAAGACAAATAAATGTTGCCTATGGTGCAGGTAGTATAGAAGGCAAGACTGAGAAAAATCATTCGGGTTACGTTTGCCTGTTGACATGTTATACAAAAATATGTATTATAGACAAGTTAAAAACAAGACTGCAAGTCATACTATAACAAAATTAAACAAGTTTTAAAATATGTATGGGCCAACCAGTGGCTGTAAAAACTAAGTTTTACTGGTTACATTCATGACTACACACTCTAGTGAACAGGACCTTCATGTAGTGTGTTCTTTTTTTAAAATCATACAGCATCCTTTCATGTGCTTTTCAGATGTCATATTACTACATCGGTCACTTGTAATATTGTTTCACACCTACAACACTTGTTACACAGATCTAAGTGATAGAAAACAGATTGATATTTTCTACACTAGAAACTACCAGATAACAAGCTGCTATATTTAAACCAGTTATCAATAGCTAAGAGGTACTTAAACAATATTGTAATTCTGAGAGGTCAGTTTATAGGGAAAATTGTTGCCTGTATACAATTCTAAAACAATTTCCATATGTCCTTTGCAGACTTTACATGCTGGAAAAACACAGGTGCCAACTGCTGTGGCTTTCTGCAGTGTGCATACCAGCAAGGAGGGCAGGGTTGAGGAGTGGGTGGAAGATGATGTGGAGGATGATGAGGTCCTGGACCCCACATGGAATCAAGATCATGCGAGTGACGTGTGCAGTTTGGAGGAAGAGGCGCTAGTCGCACAGAGGCACCAGCACAGCATAAGAGGAAGCAGGGTGCAAAAACGGAGCGGCCATCCCCTAGCGCTCGTCGACATGTATTATCTTTAGAACTCCCACAGTTATCCAAATAACAGTTGAAGCGATAAAAAGAACCATAACAGATTTAACGAGCCATTCGCAGTTTCGCTGTCCGGTGACCGGGACTCAGACACTGTCTGGGCGGCGGTCGGATGACCAGGACCCAGTATGCCTGATGTAGAAGTTAGGAGTCACAGTGTGGAATGGATTAGCAGGGTCTGGTGCAGAGTAACCGCACGCCCCCTGGTGTTGAGCACCAGCATTTGTGTAGCCACATACCAAGACCCTGATGCAGCTTCAGTAAAAGGAGTACTGGATACCAGAAGCCATCACCAGACTGATCCGCAACTTGGAACAGGATGTGACATTCACTGTAGCAGCTGTGCGCGCTTTCGGCGTTCTCACCCTGCTGCTGCTTGCCTGTCTGTGCTGCAGCGTAACTTTGGCCTTCCCGCTCACTGCCTCATATGCGACGTGCCCACAAGGTGGAACTCCACCTTGCACATGCTGGAGAGACTGTTTGAGCAGCAGCAGGCGATAGTGGAGTTTCAGCTGCAGCACGCACGGGTCAGTGGTTCTGCACTAGACTTGCCCTCCAATTGATCAGAGTTAAAGGATTTCAAGTGGACTCATTACGATTACAGGGCCTCTAAAGAGTCCTGTATTGTTATTTGTCGTCACTACCTTCCCGCGTCAGGAGTGGGTCATTTGCGCGCCTGCAGCCTTCCTTGCATGTGGCAGCCGTTTGTCAGGGTCCCTGTATGGAATCGAACCCTGATTCCCCATTATCCGTGGTCACCATGGTAGGCGCAGTCAATGGCATCAAAACGTGATATGGATTGACATATGAATGCGTTGTCGCCTTCTCGTTGGGGAGCACATTGAAAAAGTGCTCTAGCATGACGAGCTGGGTGATTTCCTCCGGGAACTTGGCTTGATGGGAGTTGAGCCAGTTTTGGGTGGCCCTTGTGATGCCACAGTGTATACCCAGATATATCAGAGCTGCTGCAGAAAGTGCGGGCCGTCTGTGCGCGCTTTTGGCGTTCTCACCCTGCTGCTCGCCTGTCTGCCCTACAGCGTAACTTCAGCCCTCCCGCTTACCGTCTCATGAGACTGTGCGAGCAGCAGCAGGCGATAGTGGAGTTTCAGATGCAGCATGCACGGGTCAGTCGCTCTGCGGAACAGTTTTCTTTTTTTATATGTCCCAATATTTTGGGGGCTATCCCAATTAAAATAAAATAAAAATATATATATAAAAAACAGTGTTGGCTACCTCCACCTCCTCCACCGCCACGGTCACCGCCTCCTCAACCTCTGGGTCAGTTACTTAGTATAAACTATGTACACAATAGCAGAGGCTTGTGAAGGCCTTTTCTCCATGCATCAGGAGTTGAGCATTTCTCCATGCATCAGGACTGCAAGAAATGCACCGCAGGCCGCAAATGTTTCTTTTTTTATACAGTATGTCCCAATATTTTGGGGGCTACCCCAATTAAAATAAAAAACAGTGTTGGCTACCTCCTCCTCCTCCACTGCTGCTTCCACTTACACCGCCACGGTCACCGCTTCCTCAACCTATGGGTCACTTAGTATAAACTATGTACACAATAGCAGAGGCTTGTGAAGGCCTTTTCTCCATGCATCAGGAGTTGAGCTCAGTTTGAACAATGAAAGAGAATACTCTGCACTCCAACCCTCTCTCAAATGGATAATTCTGGTGATCCTCCTGACAGCCATGCTTTAATTTTGATTTATGTTCTTCCAAAGCTAAAATCAAAAGATTCCATCTAGTGCTATTTTATGGCTCAGCTGTATTTGTAATTTTTATGTTATTTTAAGGGATTTCCCTATCCACATTTGTTTGCAGGGCACTTGTCCTACTCTTACCCCCATTTTACTTCCTTTTGCAGCCCTCAAGCCTTTTCCAGTACTTTTTTAGAGGCATTTTTTGTGCCCAAAAGTTCGGGTCCCCATTGACTTCAATGGGGTTCAGGGTCAAGTTCGATCACGAACTCGGACATCCAGGTGTCCACTCAATTCTAGTTGCAGTGACTAAGGTGCACACATTTGGTGGCACTGCCCCAAATGTAATCCCTTAACAACCTTAACACATTCCCACAATGCTTTTAGGATGGCATGGAATGTTCTAATGTCTTGGTCTTATTGGGGATCCAGGCTAACAGATGAGCTGTATGCAGTGCTCAAAGTGAGCGCTGCATGCAGCTCCTCAAATGAGGATTTAAATCCCCAGTTTTAAAGTCTTTTGTGAGCATACACATGTACAATTTTTTAGATCCTTTTAAATCAATGCGGTGGACTGCAATCTCACGCAGCTGCTGTGATTCTGAGCCTGCCAGCACTCTGTGGGAAACTGAAAAGGTCCTGACACTCTCTCACTGCATGCCTATTTTACGATTCTGTTCACTGTTGGGTTTTTCCAGCTGCCCAGCATCGATTACAGGGAAAATATACCTGTCATGCTGCAAACAGCCACTAGATGGTATTTACAGACTAAGGTGTTAAAGTTAACTACCAACATTAATTTAAATCCTAGACATATGATTCATTTAAAAGAGCACTCCATTTCAAAAAGAAAAAAAAATCACTGTCTTGTAGATATACCCTCAATGAAAACATGCATGTATTTGACGAATATTGTCATTGAGGTTATATTTAGACTCAGCTTGCAAAAGCTGAAGATCGACTGTCTGCAGCCTTTGGAAGCCCTCCACTTTTTCAGACTTTCAGTTTATTCTGGGAAATAACCAGTCAGAGGCTTCTCATTCCCTGATTCATGGCGAGGAGAGGCATGGCGAGGAGTGCGCAGGATCAGAGGAGAGGTACTATTAGCCAGGCTTACTATGATTTCAGGGAGGGTCTGCTAGAGTATATACCTGCACAGCTGGAAGAGTTTGTGAGCGTTCAGGCATACAAGGGGGAAGTACTGAATAAATTCTGATTTATTTCATGCCTACTCCGGCACTTCCTCAGAGACCATCGATCCAGTAAATAAAATAATGTTTACACAATGTACAACTACACCAAGAACTATATTGTAACACTCACAAACTGACAGGATTACAAAAGGGTTCAGTTAGCTTGGTTATGTGACCCAATATCGCCACCTAGTGGTGGTACCAAAATAAAATGTGAGCAGGGTCCTAATCTGGAAGCAAATTAAACAGGTAAAAAACAGAAAAAGGTGAGTTAAAAAGGAAAAAATAGTATATGATTTATATAATACCTTACACCTAAATAACTAAAGTGATCTCCATGATAATTAAAGACTAAGCTATAGTAGTAAGCTATATGTTTTGTCACCTACTGATTAATATCATACTCATTTTGTTTAATTTATTTTATTTAAGTGTATTTAATTAATTGTACAACTTGTTTTCATCCTAGGTAGCATTGAAAACTCATACATAGAAATTTAGGATTTTTAAAAATATATAATAATTTGAGTATCGAGTAGGCTTCTCGTTTACTGAGCTTCCATTATATGTCTTCTCCCCATATTGGCAAAGAACACTTCTCCACACCCTGGAGGAAGGTAAACCATTGAAGGTCATCTCCTCCACATTTTAAAAGCAACCATTATTAGATTTATTCTTCTTTATAACTAACAGATTGTCATTGCATGCATATATTGTGCATTGCATTTGAGTTTAGAAATTAAACCGATACAAAATTTGAATCACAATTTATAGCAATTTAAAGGATATATACAGATCGCATCATCACTCCATTCCCTCCCTTCCTGAAACAATCCAGTTGATAGCCAAGAACAAAGCTTACAAATTGATGGCTAGCCAACACTCAGCCATTCATGACAACCTAAATAAAGCAGAGGAGAAACGGGGGTGAATATTACCCTAATTTCAGTAATCCCTATTGTAACGAATGCTGGTACTTCAGATACAAAGAATACAACAGGAAAACAGTGCTAATTAACAGACAATATGTGGATAGGCAGCAACCCAAACGAAGGAGACCCCTCAAATCCTTCAACAAATTGATAAAACCATACAAAAAATGGGGTAGGGCTGTGCCAGTAGAGAGATATGATAACGTAAAATAGTCCAGAAGAGTGTCACTAGAGAAGAAGTGCTTGATGGAATGTGGATAAGTAGACTTTTCAGTGGGGGTGGGTTCGTCCTAGTGTCTCAGGGTATTCATATATATATAGAAGAAAAAAGAGACAAGGGCTTCAGATACCCGTTCGTTTGCTTCCTCCTGAACTGCTAAGTATTTGGTGAATATAGCTCGCAGTTCGGCTGTTGAATTCATACATTCTCCAGAATAAAAATACAGCATACAAGTAAATCCAACAGGTAATCAGACGATTACCCAAACATCAGCCTAGACTAGATGAAGGGTACAACAGGAATGTTTTATTTAGGCTAGATGGCCGGCTTTTATGCAAGTCAAGGGTACAGTATACACGCCCACAGAAACTTCCACAGTACGCCCACTAAAATACTGAGTCAATGACTCGACATAAAACACAAAGTATGAAAAGTACATAATAATACACTTATATATTATAGGGACCCCCATAAATGTCATATCCCCAGATAGCCTGGATCTGAGCGCCCAAGTTGTCCAAATAACGCTGAGATCCCACGAATACCGCCGAATCGCCACCGGGCTAAAGTTTTGACCTACCGCTCACGAGACGCTTGCCCCAAATAGTTTCATAGTTTCAAGGGTATTGGTTGGCCAATTTTGGGAGTCCCAAACCGAACAAAACCACAAATGGTTCCCTTGGCTCATTGGTAGCGTTTGTTCACCGGTTCGTGCAAACAAACCTACCGAACAGCGCTCTCCTGGCTTGCCTGGGAAAAGAAGCAGGCGTCAAGTGTCCGACTTGAAGTTCCATACACTCGAAGACCAGGTCCCGCTACCTGTTTTTGTGCGACAAGATGACCACCGTTTTCTCCAGAACATGTTGTTCGGTTGCACAGGGAGAGCACTAATTCCTGTGGTTTTCTTGAACTTAATGAGCCAGGGTGGTGGTCGGTTTTTTGGTTGATTTATCTACTGAACCAAAAAAAATAATGAATGGGAACCAAAGTAGGTAGTTTTCTTCACACGTATGACAAGGCAACATCTGAGGATCATTGTATTCCAGCGGTTCCTGTATAACGGTGTGAATAGTTAATACTGCTGTATATAAATACGTTGAGATTGCTAACAAACAGCGTGTATGTAACATCACAGAATAAGATAACACAGTTTTGTATTGGTCTTCCTCCATTTTTATGGTATCTCAGGTTTGTGCAGTGAGGATAAGAAAGCCCGGAGGCATTCCGCTCGAAGGAGTTCTCTAGAGGAGCTCCCTGTGCCTGTGCCTTCTCTTTTCCGAGCTTTGAGTGGAGTACAGGAAGGGGATCCAAGCCTTGGGTGGAGCGCTCACTCATTGACAGTGTCCGAAGAGTTTACGCAGAAATCTCACATGGACCACATACTGCTTGGGGATGATTCAGGTGAGTGAAGAGATAAACCTGGCTCTAGGGCTAGGATGCCAGGCTCGTAAGTCCAGTTGTTTTCTTAAGTGGCCCATGAACCTGAAGATCCAATCTTGGATTTATATAAATATATTTACTGTGTTATAAGCAGAGCTTTATTTGTGTAATAATGGTCATAGTACTATGCTACACTATCTGTAGTTTTTTAAAGAGGTATTGGTGACAATGACTCTTCACCACAAATTAAACCCTGTTTTTATGTATTTTAGATACATCATAGGTACTTGTTACCTATGTGTTAAATTAAGTAAATGTGCAGGTGTCATAGCTACTAATATGACATAGAGCAATACACAGATTAAAGAGCTCCCAATACAGGTTAAGCAACCTTTGGCACTCCAGATGTTGTACACTACATCTTCCCTCTTTTGCCAGCATTATGGCTGTAAGAGCATTCTGGGAGATGTAGTCCACAACATCTGCAGGGCCAAAAGTCAGGTAGAGCATACACAATGTAATAGTCTGTAAGTGGTGGTTCCGTATCACCAGTAACACTAATTTTAATTCATCTTCTCAGTTGTGCCTTCTCCTCCATTGGTGAACATGTCTGGACTCTGCACGGTGCTGTACTTTAACACTTGTATGTCCATGAGACACTGCCATCAGTCCTGCGAATCCGTTGGATCCTCCAGATATCGCTGGTTCCATAATGGTTGCTGTCAGTGCATTGGACCTGACTGTTATGGATATGGAAGCAAAGAACCATTGTGCCTCCAGTGCCATCCTTAAGGCCTACTGTGAGAATGAATGTTCACCTATAATGAGAAAGGAAGACACTGTATAGAAGAGGATGGAATCGATTCCAGATGATGAATACTGGCAGTAATGGGCAGGGCAGAGCTTTTCATCATTTTGTGTATGGTTTCATCTCATAATGCACTTAATAGGAGACTTTAAAAAAAGGAATCATCAAAGCCCTAACTGACATTTTCTTACCATGTCTCCATGATGCCTGGACGATGAAAGGATGGTATTTGGGACCATGCCAGTATGATTAATTGGGATATAAGTAGTGTTTCCCTTATGATAATCTGCTTATGTATTCTTCACACATAATTTAACCACATCTTGAACTCCATGCCCAGAAGACACAAACCCAGTGTGAGATTTCCTACATTCGCTTTGCAATCTACTTACACATACACAGGAGACCTATCCCTTGGCTACATTTGATCTCCATCCAAGATGTGTTCCATATTCTATGATATAATAGTCTAGGTCAGTGTGTCTTGTTTTTTCCCCAACAAGTAACTCTGATAATTTCTGTATACAAGAAAACACCATTTTCATCTACATTAAAAGAGGAATAAACTGTAGTTGCATCATATGCACATCAGAAATGCCTTATTATTAACTTATGAAATTAATAAATAATGATTTAATTCACTTTATTACCTAGTAGCTAAGACTGACAATTACAAAGGTTTTGTTACACTAATGTACCCTGACCACAGGTAATCCCCAAATACATGCAGGATTATTCACTAATGTGTGAATTTCTTACAATTTACCTTACTTAATAATCCTTTTAGATGAGAGTATTATTTATAGACAGTAGAGAAATATTAAAGGGCCCAATTACTTTTTCTTGCTTGTTTCATTGTAACTATATGATGGCTCAAGGACTGATGTTGCACAAGAGGACAGCATACATTTTCAGGTCACTAATGTATAGCTTCCATTTAGACCAGCGGTTCCCAACCCAGTCCTCAAGTACCCCCCATCTGTCCAGGATTTAGGAATTACCCTGTGGTGTATAAGGTGTTTTTAGGGAAAAAAAAAAACACTTTACACACAACAAGGTAACCCCTAAATCCTGGACTGGTAGGGGGTACTTGAGGAATGGGTTGGGAACCCCTCATTTGGACTAACCGAACATCGACAGGGATTATTCAGGGATATTCAATAAACCAGTGTTTCCCAAACAAGTCTCCCAACAACAGTTCAGGATTTGTCGGGATCTCCATTGATAAAGAAATGGCAAATAAATAAATCCTGGCTGTTGCTGAGCCATGAGGACTGGTCTGGGAACCACTGCACTACACAGTGAATTGTCACTGTTTCAAAATAGTGAATAACCCGAAAAGGTTTGTTTTAACTCTTCTTTATCCACACATGGGTTAATTGAACAGGGAGTTGTTTAGTATTTATTACAGATTTGCAGAATGTAGGCCACAACTGCCAAAACTCTGGCCAACTTTTGTGACTGACATAACAAAAGGTTTATTCAGTAAACCAGGAATTATCAGTAAATACACATTTAATGCAGCAATAATCAAGGTGAAAAAATTGTTGATTTTGAGGTTTTCAGCTATTTCAGCCTTAGATTTGAAATTCCCTGGTTAATTTATGGCAATTCTCTGCTTATCAAATATCCTCATAGGGTTTTTTTTTTTTTAAGGTGTATATTCTAATTGTGTATAGCTCATTTTAAAGTCAACATTCTTTAAACTATAAAAGAAAAAAATAAATCTTACACTTTCTATTCATAAAGGTGCCCTTCTTATCTGCTGCAACCTGGCCTATTTGCTGCTGTTGGACACGCTGCTAGAATACAACATCCTCATATATAACTGTGTCATAATAGTAATTGTTTTGTTTTGAAAGTTACTTGATTGACTTTATTTCCATTTACTGTTATCACTAGTAATGTTTCATGTCCTTTGATAAACCTTAGTTTAAAGATTCTGTATATTTTCTGCTGTGCTCACTATTCATATATACACTTAACTTCACCTCTTCTTTTCAATATATATTTTGAAAGATGTCGTATCAACTAAACTCAACAGTTGTATTTGTGTATATAAAAAGCTTGTGTTTTTTTTTTTTTTAATAGACATCAGTGTTGTCTGAAAAATAATATATCTTCATAGGTGTACAATGCCAGAGTTTGTTTGGAAATTAGATATATTGGCCTAATTTATGTAATTAGTTTCTATTTCTATATAGTTTTATATATCCCTACTTGAATAGTTCTCTGTTCTTTTTATTTAAAGAGACACTGTAAGCACCAAAACAAACTTTAGTTTAATGAAGTAGTTTTGGAGTGTAGATTATTCCCCTGTTAAATTGTTTGCCCAAGGGACTTTTCTCTTGGCTGTGAAACACACAGCTTCCATTAAAAAAAAATAAAAAAAATCAGATCTTACGGTACAATGGTGGTGGTTAAGGATTAAAAACAATATTTATTCTGAAAGTGGTGCAAAATTGCAAAGTGGAATAAAGAAGAGAGAGCCTTAAAGGGACACTCTAGTTACCCAGACCATTTCATCTCAATCTTCAGGAGAACCATTGTGGAGGAGGTCATGCCTCCTCCATGACATCACAGGAGAAGTGAGCAGCAATGAGGAAAAAGGTAAGTAAATCATTAATTTTATTATTTCATGACAAACCGGGTGGGGGGGGGGACATTAAAGTGATACTTTAAGTGCCAGAAATACAAAGCTGAATTCTTGGCACTATAGCTTCATCTGCCTCCCCCCTCCCCCATGTTAAAAACCCTTGCGTTGGGGTTGTGGCTCCGCATCCTTGCACATCCTGCAACGAGTGGGCGCTAATGCGCATGCACGGCAAATTCTCGCACGCATTAGACCTCCCCATAGGAAAGAATTGAATCAATGCTTTCCTATGGGGAAAATTCTGACTCTGGATGTCATCATGCAGAGCGTGAAAACGTCTAGTATCAGTTACCGTACCAAATGTCCATTTAGAAACAGGAAGTGCCTCCAATTTGTGCAATTACATCTTTTCAGTGGCAATTGTTGTGAAACACCACTTTCGAACTGGTAATGTATTGGCTGCTGCTGCTATTTTGTAATTTTTCCATTTACATCCTATCCCATGCTGTCAGCTTATGGGACTATACATTAGGTTAACCTCATTATTCAGAGGGAGCTATTTGAGCTTAGGGACTGGGGAAAAAAAAAAAAAGTTATTTTACTTACCTTTTCTCCTTCACAGAATCTGTGCTCCCACATCCTAAGCCGAGATCATTGAGCTCGATAGTCTCAGCCAATCCAATGCTTTCCCATAAGAAAGCATTGGGAGGCTAGTGCGCCTTCAAGGCAAAAAGTGCAAAATCGGATTGGAATAGAATTTTACTGTGTCTGGTGTGTCTATAGTGGCCCTTAAAAGAGAAACTGTCACTTCCTCACTTTGGGCAAAACAAAATAGCTAACTGAACTGGAGCTGAAGGACCTTTCTGGACCCTAGTCGGAGGTCAGAGAATAAGTATGGGAGAGATGGCAGATGTATTGAAGGAGAAATGAAAACATCCCTGGCTGTCTGACTGATACCAAGGAAGGCATTTCTAATTCTAATGATAGAAGTGCTGATTTATGAAAGAAATCTGCACTTTTAGAAACTAGCTTTAAAGAAGAATACTCCATAGATATAAAACGTGGTAAAAGGGTGGGCCACTAATGTGAATCACATAACCAGAGTTTCCCAAAGGGGCGAACATGCTCAAAAAGAAAGCGTGTGTGAACGAAGAATTAGATGGTCAGTCTGGCGTGAATGCATGTCAGGCTGCCTGCCAATCGTGCAGGATGACCAACCAAGGCCATACTATGCAGACAGCACACTGAGCTTGGCATAAATTCGTCTAATGATGCGCTAGCTCTATGGACTGTCCCCTGGCACTCGCTGGTCCACACCCCTCCTAACCGTCTTGCTAGCAGGCAGAAGCTCCTGTTATACAATTTGGGACAGAGAAAAAGTGTAGGTAGTGAGTGCAGAAGAAAGGGAACACGTCACAGTGTAAGAGAGACTGAAACAGCAAAAGCATTTGCATAGTGCGCAAAGTCAGCTTTACATTAACTTTTTTCATTGTCAGACAGTCCACACCCTACATCCCTCTTAAGTTTCCAAACTTAAGCAAGAGCATGTGAAGAGTACAACATTTTATTTTTTATTATTAATTTTTTTTTAAAATCATGCCTTTTCCATAGGCATGGGCCTGGAGCTGCAGCTCCATCAGCCACGCGGTTATGTCTTGAGAACATTGTCACAGCAAATAGTATGGATACGAAGGATTAGTGAACATGCCTGATACTGAATATGTGTTGTGCAGTCATCTTTTCTGGGGCAGGCCTGCAAGTTCATCTAATTCACAGACTTGGAGGTAAGTGTGTTTATTACCCTGTTAACCCCTTCATGCTGGTACTCGTGCAAACACAATCCTCAGTATTGTGTATATATTGTTTTAACAATTGCAAATGAAATATTGTATTTTAATTTAAAGGGACACACCAGTGCCGGGCAGGTCCCCTCTCCCTCCCACCTCCGGTTGCTGAAGAGGTGAAAACCCCTTCAGGTCACTTACCTGAGACCCCGCCGATGTTCCTCACCGGTGGTTTCAGGTAGCCGCCGCTCCTCCCCTTCCTTACATCAGCCGCATCAGAGCTCTCCATAGAAAAGCATTAAAAATGCTTTTCAATGCTTTCCTATGGGGAATTGAGCGACGCTGGAGGTTCTCACACAGTGTGAGGACGTCCAGCGACGCTATAGCACAGGTTTTCTGTGCAATAGACCAGGAAGTGCCCTCTAGTAGCTGTCGAGGAGGAGTTAACCCTGCAAGGTAATTATTGCAGTTTATTGAAAACTGCAATAATTACACTTGCAGGGTTAAGGGTAGTGGGAGTTGGCACCCAGACCACTCCAATGGGCAGAAGTGGTCTGGGTGCCTGGAGTGTCCCTTTAATTTCATTTGCAATTGCTGACCATACTGCAGAGTTTGAGCTACCAATATAGCGTCGGCTCTGCTGCAATCATAGCAGCGGCACGGGTCAGTGGGAAAATCTATAGATCTCTCTGCCCTGGCCTGCACTTCTCGTAGTACGGGTCTGCACCTCCAGCTGAGTTCAGATGCTCACTCCAGATCAAAGACCGAAGAGAGCACAGACACACTGTTCCCCACACACAGCCACCCGTCAATCTCCACCCCACACAGAGTAACCCCCTCAACATGGACACCATCTCCAAAACACACACAGTCACTTCCACCAACCACACACCATTGTGGCAAAACTAAGGGCAGCAGTGCCCTGGGCGCCACATGAAGAGTCATAAAAAGGAAATTTGTGCTGATCAGAATAGGAGGTGGATCAGCAATAGCTGCAGAGGCAGATTCTTCAGCTATTGTAAGGCATGGTCTTAGCAACTAAGAACTAATGAAAAAAAAATATTAAATGCATACATTTCTTCAAATTTCATAAAGAAAAAAATGCATTTCTAGTGTCTTCCACAGTTAGCAGGTTTACTTCACATCCTTTTATGCTCTAGTGGGGTGGTGGATCAGTGAACGCAGGTCTGTAATGTTGCCCTACTGTAATTGAGCCCTGTTCTTTATAAACCATGTGCAAAAGGTTTCACACGATACTGAGCAGTACAGACTGATTAGAGTGTCCCTTTAAGAGCATTAAAGTTGAGTGCAATAAATGATGGAAGTTCTTATAAAATGATAAATCGTGAGGGATTTCCACGCAGTATACAGCACTCAGACTGAAACCAGCCTTGGTACAGGGAACTCCTGGCATCTCGGTTTTTCGATTATAAATGTACCCTGGTGATAAGGGCTTCTACAATGTCCGTCTTCAATGTATCCACTGTCACAGCTCTCATGCTCAATGTACAGCCATGTGTCGGTCCCAATGTGTATTATGATTTCATTGAGTGGCAACGCTCACTCCTCCCAGTAAGTCAGGGTCACATCCCATGGACCCAATCACACTGCACTCATACGGCCCTCCCTTCCTGTAAATGCTACCAATGAGCGAGCTCTCCATGCTGGAGAGAGTGCCAGGCAACGGCGAGGCCTAAGAGACTGCTCTAAAAGAAACCATACCAGCTGGGGACATTGTGAGAACGTCTGGAAAGAAGACTACAGTATAGTCAGATCTCCCGGCGCTCGCAGGGAGCGCTGCTCTACTCAGCAGAGAGTGTCACACGGAGCCCTGACTAGAGTGCCTTTTCCTGAATACCGAGACCCCTCCAAGAGACGCCCATGGACTGCTACCGGATCTGTAACGTGTAGACTCTTCCAGTGACGGGATGCATACTATAGAACGTTGGCATTCGTGGTAAGAGAACGTCGCGGTGATGTGAGCTGATTGTGTAACCCTGTGATCTCTGACATCTGTATCCCCCCACTTCCTCTGTCCCAATCACTGGGCAATCCTGGCCTTCCTGAATTTAAAGCTACACTGTTTACCCACATGGGTTGTTCACACGTTGTGTGCTGCGTTCATCCTCCAGAGCCTCTCAATCTTCCCTCCATCCAGTCAGTGTTGATTTCTGATTTATTCCTGCCCCTCCCTCCTATTTTTTTTTTCTTCTCTAACCCCAGCCCCTTCTCATATGTATTTATGTCCCACCCATCCTATGTAATTTCTTCAATTAGATCGTTGTCATATTTGTCTTACAGATTTGTTCCTACATGTTTTTCAAACTTTGTCCTGAAACTTGTTTCTCTCCAGGCATGCTCCTGCCTTGTGTCTGAATGCTAGTTTTACTTTCCCAGTTATTGGAAGGCCACACATTACGCTGTTTAAGGCAGACATGATCTATGCAACGACATGCTTGGCCAACACACATAAATACATGGTTTCACTATATACTACTGCAAACCTTTTAATATCTTCTTGGGTACCAGGAAAAGTCTTTGGTTAAAAAAGTATAAGTTAAACAATAATTCTTCTCGTTCTCATTCTAGATCACTAGAAGTGCAGATTCTATTTTCAAAAGTTAATTCTAGTCCCAACTACATTCTGATTTGGAAAAGTAATTGGTTTTATTTAAAACAAAGGTAAATAATGCCAATAATACACAATAAACTAGTAGTGCAGTTTGATGCATGTAAGTTTTGATTGATTAGTAAGGATGTTTATATTAAAAGGACACTAAGCACTAAAACCACAAATGTAGTGGTTTTTGTGCATTAATTGTTTTTCATCTTCTCCATCTGCACACCCAAATTTATACATCCCAAGATCCCATGTTTTTGAACTCAAATCTTTCTTCTTTTTATTCCATAATAAAAGAGCAGACAATTGACAATTTGTGTCTGAGCATTTAGCAAAGTTTCAAAACAGTAGAGCAGTAAATTAGCCTGAGTAAAGAAAATACTTTTTACAAAAACAAACAAACAAACAAAACCCCGTAGGCGTCAAAACAGCTTTAGCTCAATGAAGCAGTTATGGTGCATAGCATAAATCATACCCATGCAGTTTCACTGCTCAGTTCTTTGTCACTTAGGAGTTCAATCACTTTGCTGATGTAGCCCTAGTCACATTTCCCTGAAAGTGACTTGCACAGTCTTCTTAAACATTTCCTGTAAAGATAGCTCTAATGGTTTAACTAACTTTACTGCACATTCTGTTTAATTTAGAATTCTCTCCTGCTCTGTTAATATATTCTAGACCCTGCATGAGCCTTCTGTGTGTGTTTAAAGTTCAGTTTACAGAGCAGGAGATAAAAACGTTTAAAGTAAGTTACATCTGATTGAAAATGATACCATTTTTTTTTTTTTTTTTTTTTTTCATACAGGCTGTGTGAGTCACAGATAGTGAAGGTGTGGCTAGGGCTGCATAAACAGAAACAAAAGTGATTTAACTCCAAAATGGCAGAATATTGAGTAGAGAGACTGCATGTACATGATCTATGCACAAAATCTGCTTTATGGACCACTATAGGCACCCAGACCACTTCAGCTCAATGAAGTGGTCTGGGTGCCAGGCCCATCTTGGGTTAACCCTGCAGCTGTAAACATAGCAGTTTCAGAAAAACTGCTATGTTTACAATAGGGTTAATCCAGCCTCTAGTGGCTGTCTCATTGACAGTCACAAGAGGCGCTTCCGCGCTTCTCACTGTCATTTTCACAGTGAGAAGACGCTGCCGTCCATAGGAAAGCATTGAGAAATGCTTTCCTATGGACTGATTGAATGCGCGCTCGGCTCTTGCTGCGCATGCCATTCGGTGGATGACGTCGGCAGAGAGAGGAAAGTTCCCCAGCGCCGAGGGAGCTTGGTGCTGGAGAAAGGTAAGAGTTTAACCCCTTCCTCCCCCTTCAGCCCAGCTGTAGTGGACCCTAAGGGTGGGGTTTGTTTTCCTGGCACTTTAGTGGTCCTTTAATTAAGCTCAAGTTGTTATGATGCCTATTGTATCTATTTAAGCTGCATTTGTATTTTCCCTCACTTGACATCCATGCCAGCTAATTTGAGATGAGACTATTTATAAGAATCACATTTCATTGTAAAATAAAATGCTTTGTTTGTTTAGATCTGCTAAAACATATGAATGCTCAAAGAGGTCATGTATTTTTAAGATTCTTTTCTGACTTGTTGATAACCATACTGAAACACTACTACAAATACCTGGCCTTTCTGGACTTCCTTAAAAATAAGCATGCATTACAAATTTCTATTACAGTCAAAAATATATATTTTTTTTCTCTCTCTCTCTTGTGTTTTTTTTTGTTTTGTTTTTTAACAGCTCGAAATCTGAAAATTATCTGTAACAAAGATAAATGAAGAAATGCAAAAAAAATTATATTTCAAGGTAAGACTGTATTCCTATTACACTGCATATCATTTATAATGTAATTTGTTTTATTGCCACCCTTTATTAATATTGTTATACAGAAATCTATCCATAAGTGCCTCCTGAAGTTGTAGTGATAATGGCCATCACTGTAAAAAATAAATAAAATCAACACCCCCCTTAAACCGTATGTAGATACCAGGTAAGGTTAAAAATAGCTGCATTCCTTCTATTGGCAGTTAGAAAGCTGATTTGTCCCACACAGTGACTTGCTCCAGGATTGCGCTATAAACATGCACTTTTTGTCCTTTTTTCCAATAAATCTGCTGCACAATTAATGCTTGAGTGCCTGGAGTACAATTTTTTTGTTTGCACTATAAACATGACATGGTGGGGAAAATTTATCAAAGTGTTCTGTCCTAAAAAAATGTTGTTAAATGTGAGGAGTCAACAATGGAATGTGCATAGTGATTGCCCCTTTTTTAGTACTTAAGACAAAATTTTAGAAAACGTTTGCCTCAAGCTAATAAGTTTTATCGGCTCCTGAAAAGCCTTTGGATCGATTTGCTAGCTTTCCACTTTTATATTTGGCTGGGAACCAGCCTCCTTCAGAATTACACTGCAAGTGTAATTCTGAAAACTGCCAGTACATTGTGGCAGCATACCTTTATATACTGTGTTTAATAGTCAAATCAATTTCTAATAACAAAATTTGATATTGGCAATGGGTTACCTTGAGGTTAGGGGTAGGGTAGGGTTACACTTAGTGTTGGGATAGGGTTCGGTTAAAGGACCACTCTAGGCACCCAGACCACTTCAGCTTAATGAAGTGGTCTGGGTGCCAGGTCCAGCTAGGGTTAACCCATTCTTTCATAAACATAGCAGTTTCAGAGAAACTGCTATGTTTATGAATGGGTTAAGCCTTCCTCCTATTCCCTCTAGTGGCTGTCTCATTGACAGCCACTAGAGGCGCTTGCGTGCTTCTCACTGTGATTTTCACAGTGAGAGCACGCAAGCGTCCATAGGAAAGCATTGTAAATGCTTTCCTATGCGACGGGCTGAATGCGCGCGCAGCTCTTGCCGCGCGTGCGCATTCAGCCCAGGAGGAGGAGGAGAGCTCTCCGCCCAGCGCTGGAAAAAGGTAAGTTTTTAACCCTTTCCCCCTTCCAGATCCGGGCGGGAGGGGGTCCCTGAGGCTGGGGGCACCCTCAGGGCACTATAGTGCCAGGAAAACGAGTATGTTTTCCTGGCACTATAGTGGTCCTTTAAGGGTTAATGCTGGGTATGGCTTAATGCTGTTGAAGGGTTAAAGTTAAGGGTATGTTTGGTATAGCGTCTGTGTTGAGGTTGGTATAAGGTTAGCATTAACTATCAAAAATTAATTTAGATTATAAACATATTGGGAATTTAATAACCAGGACTGATATATAAATGTATTTTTAGTTCTTTTTAATTAGTTTTATTTCTTTTTTTTTAAATTTTATTGACATGTTAGGTATACGTATAGGATATTAAATGTACGCCCTTTCTGTCCTTTAAAAAACAACAACTATATAATATATACCTGGCACTTGAAGAGAAACCCTTACATTATGATGGAATAAAAATCTAGCTTAAAATCTGTTTTTTGTTTTTTTTTGTTCTAAACTTGCACAATTTCCTGCGTTAATTATAATATGCTACTATCTATTATAACATATTCCCTCAAAAAGTCTCGAGAGAAGTAAGACTTACCTGTTGGAGTGCTCATTATTCGCAGAGACATTGCAGGGTGAAGATGGATCTACTTTTATATTGTGGTGCTTGTTTGTTCTTTTGCTAATCAACTGTTTTTTGGGGAAATAAAACTCCTAATGGCAAGTACCATCTCCTCTGAAAAACAGCTTTCCAAACGTGCAGATGTCTTGTCTGCTGCCTGTGCAAGCCCTCCTCTTCTAAACCCACCTGGATTTTCTGTGACTGTCGAATCACAGATTTACCAATGCAGCTCCATGAGAAGTCTTTGTAAGGCAGATGCTCTGGGCAATTGCTGCCTCTTGAGTGCAGTGCAAATAAGCTAACCAAACCAGGAAGTAACAGAACCTGTTGTCAGCTTGAAAAGCCAAGAGGGTGTAACCAGTATAATTAATAAAAGTGTCAATTTCTATTAAAATCTGCTCTGTTTGCAAAATGAAAAAAAAATAGAACACACTCTTCACACAATGATTTGCAGCAAGCTAACATGCTTTAGGGGTCTGTAATGTACCTTTTAAGTCTATTTGTCTACTGTAAAAGTAGTAGAGAATCTATTTGCCTCTATAAATATGATAATGTAACTTCATGAATTGGTGATTGATCCCTATTTAACTCCCTCAAGCACTTCCATTTTAGCCCACTGGTTGGCTTCAATGATGGATAAGTATGATACAAGATAAAAAAGTGTGTGGGGTTATTCAATGAACAGTGAGTTGTGATGAATTGACAATATACAACATTGAGGCCAAGATTGCTTACACAATCTTATTTGTTTTTGTTTTAAACATAATTGAGACACTTTAAGTTGGAGTTTATGCCTTCATTTGGACCAGAAGCAGATGCGCGGAAGGTTTAACTTACCGTATTTTCCGGCGTATAAGACGACTGGGCGTATAAGACGACCCCCAACTTTTCCAGTTAAAATATAGAGTTTGGGATATACTCACCGTATAAGACTACCCCTCTTCCAATGCACACCAAATAAAAATTAGCCATGATGTACAGTGAGCAGACAGAGCTACACAGCAAGACATTAAATAATGATAATCTGAAATAGCATTTAAAGCCCTGGTATGTGCCAGGCTGTTTAGGTATATAATCCATGCCTGCTGGTCTAGCACACAGGAGGCTAATTGCGATATATTCTTTTTACTCCCCCCTCCATTCTTTTTAATGCCCCCTTTTTACCCCCCCCATTCTTTTTACTCCCCCTCTCCCCCCCCAATCCTCCCTACATTCTTCTCACCTCCCCTTCCCTGTGCATAGTGGGTGGCCGAGCTCCTCTTCGTCCTGTCAGTCCGGCCGGGTACCGCGCGGTACAGGAGATACCCGGCGTATAAGACGACCCCCCACTTTGGAGAAGATTTTCCAGTGTTAAAAAGTCATCTTATCCGCCAGAAAATACAGTGATTAACCCAAGTTTTTTTGTTTTCTCTATAACAAGATTACAGTGCTCTGGTAGGTACTGCAGAGCTGTACAATATTTGGCTAACCTTTGCATCTTGTTCAAACTCTCTGCTTAGTAAATAAAGCCTAGAGTGATAACCAGGTTTGAGATTTATTATATTCTTTTACAAAGTGTAGCAGTAGCTGCCATTTGATATCTAACCCTGTTTCATTCCTGTGTATGTTGCTTGTAAAGTCAACCTTTTGGCTTATTTGTGTTCATTTTTCTTTTCGCATTTAAAAAGGCTAAAGTTACAGGATTGCACGTTTCAGTGAAATTCATCCACTAAATGGGTGGATGTCAGAGTTAGAGATCTAAAGGCTATGTGGGCATAGTTGGTATACATAAATGATACATTTTGAGTCTCCTTCCTCCATATGTCTATGCATGTGGACATCTATCCCATCTGTGTGTTTATCCTGTCTTTGCAAAAAGTATTGATCTGTGTGAAACCAATAGTCAGAAGATGAGTAGGGGTTGGGGTGAAGAGATGAGTCTGTGTTAGTCTCCCAGAGGAGGTCAAATCCTAAAGTCTGTTCATCTAACATAATAGGCAAAAAGACAAAAGGACCCTGACAGTCTTGACTGGGTGGACATAATAGAGGTGGAGTTAACCTTTTGTTCTCCCATTAAAGAGATGGGGGAGGATATACAAGGGCAACACTCCCTGTGGTGTGTTTTCCTTTGCCTGCTCTGTGACTCCCTTCCCCCAAACAAAACATGCAGGGGAACCTGCTTCTTTTTTTTTTTTTATTTCTTTTTTCAACAGAAAATGTTGCTTAATGTAAACTAGGGCTCTGTTAGCAAAAGCAAGTAAGAATTCATATAAACTAAGAAAATAAAAATATAAGAGGGACAAATGACAAAATAAAAAAAAACATTTTTATGCATGTGCATTGTAACTAAGAGCCACTATTGCTGAACTTTGTTTACAGTGCTAGAGCAGCCAGTGTCAGCGCTTTGCACATACAGTACTGGGGATAATTTCATTAAAATGACACATGCATTAGGTGATCAGTAGTGTACAACATGTGGATATCCTACAGTGTTGTTTAATTGTGGCTTAGTATTTCCTATCAGAAAGACACCACTCCATCAAGCACATATTACATTTCAAAGACCAATAATATTTTGTGTTTATTTTGCCCTCTAGTGGTATAATAATGATAATGTATTTGAACACAAAATTAAACCTATGTATTATTGTCCTATGCACAGGCTAATTATTATTATTTATATAGTGCCAGCAAATTCCGTAGCGCTGTACAATGGGTGGACTAACAGACACGTAATTGTAACCAGACAAATGGACATATCGGAACAGAGGGGTTGAGGGCCATGCTCAATGAGCTTACATGCTAGAGGGAGTGGGGTATATTAGTTACACATAGAGTATAAGTAGGAGTAATGAAATAGGTTGCCAGAAAAGTATTCACTGAGAACTTATTTTTGACAGTTGCAGGAGAGGGTTCAATGGGGGGAGGGGAAGAATGGAAATCCGCTAACCATCAAATATGTATGTATGTATAAGATTTTATTTTATTTACAGGTATTTAGTTTTATTGCTCCCTCTCAGTATTTTTAGGGTAAGTGGGGTAGGTAGGTCTTTAATAGATCCCCCCCTCCTGCCTTATTGTCATTTAGGGCCCCCAACTGCCGCTCATGGGTTGAGGGGATCCTATGTCCCCTATTTAGTTGAATAGGACACAGTGTCCCTCCGCTAGTTATTTTAATAGGTGCCCCACCATGGAACACTTTTTATTGTAAAGGGGGGGGGGGGGGTCTTTTTAATTTTTTTAATATAGCGGTAAGCAGCCGCTGGCTGCTTACTGTTTAGTAGACGTGCCCCTACTTGTGGTATAACGAGTAGGGGCAGAAGGGAGATTTTAATCTCCCTTAATTATTAATACTAAGTAATCTTTACTTGGTGTTAGTAAATTAGGCTGAAAGACCAGGGAGAATTAGGAAACTACACTGAACAAAATTATAAACGCAACACTTTTGTTTTTGCCCCCATTTTTCATGAGCTGAACTCAAAGACTTTTTTCTATGTACACAAAAGGCCTATTTCTCTCAAATATTGTTCACATATCTTTCTGAATCAGTGTTAGTGAGCACTTCTCCTTTGCTGAGATAATCCATCCACTTTTACAGAAGTGGCATATCAAGATGCTGATTAGACAACATGATTATTGCAAAGGTGTGCCTTAGGCTGACCACAATAAAAGGACACTCTAACATGTGCAGGTTTATCCCACAGCATAATGCCACAGATGGTCACAAGTTTTGAGGGCGCGTGCAATTGGCATACTGACTGCAGGAATGTCATCCAGAGCTGTTGCCCGTGAATTTTGAAAAATGGGGGCAAAAACAAAAGTGTTGCATTTATAATTTTGTTCAGTGTAGTTTCCTACTAGGGAGAATTAGGGAGCTATTTACTAAGCGGCTACAAGATGCAGCCGCGGCACGAACGAATAGGATCGGAATTTCATTTGAATGAAATGCTGATCCGAACACTAAGTACCGAATTGCATCCTAACACGAAAAGATAAACTGTTCTCATTCTGTTAGGACGAAATTTGGTAGTATCACCGGCTTCCTGTCTATGTGACAGGACGTTCGGGAATACTGAAGGGAGGCACCGCGAGATCAGAGAGTAAAGGGTGAGTATTGTGAGAAAATGTATTTGACCCACAGAAAGTGGGTCAGAGCAGGTCAAGGATAGGTAAAAATACATAAGACAAAGTAGTCACTACTTTGTCTTATGTTTTAAAGAAAAGAAGAACAGATCCTGAGAGAGGAAGCGATTGGGACAAGGTAAGTTCGGTATGATGGTGCTTCTTTAAAATGTTTTAAACTGACATAAATGTGTGAACAGTACTGTTAATTGAAAACATTGAAACTTGTATAATTGTATCATGTACAGGAAATGTTTTCTGTGGAAAAACTCAATAAAATATGATTTACCAAAAAATAGAATAACATGGAGAGTGAGGGAGGGATCAATAATAACAGAAACTCACACACCATCCCTAAGTTAAACTGTTCTGTTTTTTCTGCACATTACGGCGCAGCCAAGAAAAGGGCAAAACATATCTGAAATATATGAAAAGCAATCTTAAAGGGAATGCAATCTGATTTGAAAAGCTGTTTCACTTTACTTTCTTTTTGAAACTTTATTATTTAAGAAAGATGTCTTGTGAAAATTGGAGGCGTGGGTAAGGGGAGACTTATACAAAAGATGTTAATGTGGAAGAAAAATACAGCGTGAATATGAGGCCAAAACGTATTAAACATTTAATTGTTTGGATAAAAGATTAATTTGCACGAATAAATCGGCTGATAATGTTCTGATTGTGACAGACAGAACTCATCTAGTCTATATAAAATATTTTGAATACCAATCACAAACTTTTTTTTTTTTTTGTCTCTGCAGATGATCCAGTGATTCTGGAAAGGGACAAGTTTCCCCTCCTTGAAAACTGTGGTCTCAAGTTCTCTTGGTACCGTGGATTGCTTTCTCTGTAAAAGTATACGGATTAAAGTGAATCATTCCCAAAAGTTGAAAATGTCTCCAACAACCACCAAGGATACAGGCATGTGCCCTGGAGGCACTTCGTTCCTTGTCTGCCTTCCACCTATTTCTGATAACATACAGCTGATCTGGACTCAGGCAGAGTTGACCAATGAATTAGATGATCACCCAGAGCTACTGCACACCTTTAGTTACTTCCCTTATCCCACTATGCCAGAAATTGCTTTACTCTGCTTGCGTTGTGGGCTACAGATGGAAAAGGTAAAGACTTGGTTTATGGTACAGAGGATCCGCTGTGGTATTAGCTGGTCATCAGAAGAGATTGAAGAGACACGCTCACGTCTCGTGTACAGTCAGGACCAGCTACACTTCAAACCTCTTGTTGCCATGGCAAAAAAATATATTTTTCAGAGCCCAGAGAAACCAGCAGCATGTGTTTCAACAGCTGAATCAAGGGAACAAGTCAACTCTGCTTTACGTTCACAAACCACATGTGATGCTCCGCCGGAGGCCAAGAAGATGAGAATGGACTATCCTACATTAGAGGTAGAGAAATCTAGGGTTAATATGTTTAACACAGAACGTAAAATTCCTAGCCCATCTAGAATCAATGATCATTCAGACACTTATGGACAGCATGTACCAGATTTATCTATTGGTGCAGACTCTCAATCGGAACTGAGGAGCACATCAAGAATTCCTGTTGCTGGTCACATTTTTGGAGTTAATGATACACAAGCTAGCCCAGCTACAGCAAGCTACCTATCTGATGAGGAACACTGCAAGAGAATGGAGAAACCATCTTGCACTACAGATGGTCTCATGTCAGCTCAAGGTTATGGATACCAAGAGCAAAACAGTGGAGGTTCAAAACGTCAGCGAAAGACCAAAGAACAGCTAGCAATTCTCAAATCATTTTTCTTAAAGTGCCAGTGGGCATGCCGTGAAGACTACAAAATGCTTGAGGAGATCAGTGGCCTTCCAAGGTCCGATATTATCCAGTGGTTTGGAGATACCCGTTATGCACTCAAACATGGACAGCTCAAGTGGTTCCGGGACAATGCTCAGGGGCGGCCCAGCTGGCTGGATGAACCTCAGCATCTAGTTACAAATGGAAAACCAGTTGACCCAAAACTTTCAGGAAGCCCGGTTTCGGGAAATGTAACACCAGTGGCTGATTTCAAAGACATAAAACTGTCCATTCAGCCCACAGGAGCTGTACCAATACAGGCACCGGCAGTTCAGGGTGGATATATCTCCAATAAATCTTCAGATTCAGTCACAGAAAAGGCTCCTGATAACATGGTTATTACATTGATATCTTCTTCAGGGACAGTGCACTCAGTCATGCAGCCTGGACAAGACATGCCAGGCACAATTCCTCCTTTTACAGACGGTTCAAGGACAGAAGGGCAAATTATTCCACCTGATCTGCAGACAACAGCAAAGACATCTTCTCCTACCCCATCTCCCATGCCAGCTACTTTCTCTCAGGTGGACTATGGTGTTTTGGAAAGATACTGGTCAGTTCACCACCACATCAAGGAAGAGGATTGCCAGTCATTGGCTGCAGAATCTGGGTTAAGTCGTGAGCAAGTGCTAGATTGGTTTTGTCGTAAAAGTGAACCAGCTGAAGTGGAGCTTTGCCTGGAAGAGGAAGGGGAAGAAGAAGAGGAGGATGAGGAGGGGGAGGAGGAGGAGGAGGAGGAAGAAGAAGAAGACGAAGACATGATAGAGGATTATGATAAACTAGAGGTAGAAGAGGAAGATGAGTATGATGTAGTTATCCAGGATTAGTTCATCTTTACAGATTCACCTTAAGCACCATAACCACCACAGCTCATTGTATTGATTATGGTGCTAGGAGACCAAAATGGTTTAACAGAAAACAGGGGAAAGACTCCTAGCACCTTTCCCACGACAATATCCTGTTGTGGTTAAGGTGCTTAGAGTGTGCCTTTTACTTATCTCAATATATTTTTATATATACAGTGCCACAGTAGAAGTTGTTTGGTAAGTGCAAATAATTACTTCCTATGCATAGGATATTTTTTAGTAAAACCATAAAATAAAAAAGGCAAAAGGAAATATGCCTTAAATGTAGTGTTTACTACTTGTGATAATAATAAGATTCTGCTTTATTTCTACCAAAATTACAGTTTAAGTCATGCATCTGATATAACTGAAATTCTCACAGAGGCTGTTCATCATTTCATGTGAAATGCACATTGAAATTAGCAAAGTAAGGTAAATGCTTATTTTATCAGTAAAGTAAACAGCCAAGAAGATCGCATCCCTTTCTGGAGAAATAATTTTACATGCAGGTGTGATAAACATTTACAATGATGTCACACAAATGTTAAAAAAGCAATGTTGCCACGGTTAATGCTGCAGATATTACTATCCCCCCCATAAATCGGCTGTATCCTAGACAATTACTGGTTGAGGTTTCAAATTTGAGTAGACATGGTTTATTGATGGCATCAGTGAAATGTGAGTACTAATTAATTCATACAAGCAAATTAATGCTGTAAAATACATGTAGATGCACTGCAGAACCTTAAATTAACAAATTATTTCTAGCAAGGCCGCTCAGGCACTCTTCCTTTTGAGGTTGATAAAATAGTACTATCAAAAGTGTGTATTATAAAAACCGTGTAAACTGCAATTTTGCAGCTTAAAGTAGCATTCTGAGCAGCCTGACCACTACAGCCTGCTGGCTGTAGTGATTATGGTGCTTAGATTTATCCTTTAAATATTTTGGAAGGACTTTAGAATTGCTTAGTACCAATGATTTTCATTGCAGTTTCAAAAACCACAAGGCCTAAATAGGACAGAAGATCCTATTCTGTAACACATGCACGACAACATAGTAGGAGGGTCCCAATTACCTCTAAATTAGTAAATTACCAATATTAAACGGAACTTAGTTTCAGTTGTGAACCAACCGGGATATTTGTTTATTTGAAAAATTATGCTACAACAATTAAAAAACAAACACAGATCTGTATAGTACACGAATTCCTCTTTCTGTATTCTGGATTGAATGTGTTTTACATCTGGTACATTCATAAGAATGTCACGTTTCAATATATCTTTTATTGACCTATATTACTTGACTTTTTTTGAAGAATGAAGCTACAGCTATAATTTCTCGCCACAAAACTCCAGGTGACTTCTATCTTCCATATCATTGCATTTAAAATTATTATTATTATTTTTTTTTTTTTTTGTTACACCATGCCCAACTTTAAAGTAAGTACCTTAGTTTCCAACCTGTGGCAGGGCTTATATACTCAAGCCCAGGAATGGTACAGATGTCTAAACGACTCAGACTGCTTGTGATATTGTTAAACCTATGGATGGGCAATCTTGGGCAGATGAGCAGCAGTGGACTTCGTCGTCCATTTCAACCAAAATCTTATCGATCTATAAAACAGTCATAGCATACACTAGCAAACATTATCTGATCCAACTTCCTTGTATTTTGCTTTTGTAATATTACTTCCTATTTGTCATTCAGACTGTTTTTATGTTTAATTTATATTAGATTAGTAAATGAAAGTTTATGGAAATGTAAATTGGGTTCCTTATGTACAGATTATGCTAAAGTTCAATATATTTGTTTTGGATTTGTATGTGAATGCTTATTTTGCAGCATTGTCTTAGACAGTGGAATATAACCACTTTTTATAAAAGAACACTTTGCTGTCACTATTTTAAATGGACACAACTTCATAAAGTACAAAAGCTATGTATTTGTATATAAAACCGTGCACGCAGGGGTGTGGATTTTTTTTTCTACTTGTAAAAGGGACTAAAGTGGTAGTCCAAGCTATTTGTCTGTCATACCAGTCTACCTGTCTCGATGCAAAAAACAATTTCAGATTGTGGCTGTTGCTTCACTAAACTAAGAATTCTCATGAATGAAATCCTAATGGAAAAACTGAGGAGGAAATTGCTTATCTGGAAAAAATTGTATAGTCTCAAATCCTGCCACCCCCTCCCATTTGGACTTTTGTGAATAACCCTGTGCCCTCCTGTAGGCTCTTCCTATGTTGTCCTTCCGATAGTGTAATGTGTGTTGGCACTGTGTACGGATGTTTTGTGTGTTGCCAGTTATTTGTGGACCAATGAGCCAAAAAGGTATTTTAGAGACAAGCCATTTACCATGTAGTCACTGATAGCGAATCTATGCCACATTGAGGTCTCTCTGCTGGCACACCAAAGGTTTGCGATGTCTCATGTACTCAGGGCTAGCGCTCCATCCGCTTGGCGCAGACCGTATTAATTCCTACCTTGCGGTTTCAGTGCTCAGTGAGAGGGAACCAGTGTGCTGCCACTTGGATTCCCAACATGTACTCTAACTGAGCACTGGACTGAAAGGAGAGGTTGATATTGTCTACACCAGACGGAGTGGCTAAACATGCTGGTCAACCAGAGATTTACCACTACACCCCACTGGACCACAAGGGAGTCATTACCTCCCACTGGAACAACCAGGTATTTATTATTAACCCCCATTAAACCATTTTGGAAAAATAGTCTCGTTTCTATTTTAAAAATTGTATTAATGCAGTTAAATTAAAATAACCACTCCGCTCATATATCATAAATTGCTTTACTTCTGTTTTCATGTTTAACGCTTTAGCTTGCTGAAATGCTTTATGCGCAAAGTGTGTATCCTCTTTTTTTCTATGTTAGAAAAAGTGCAGATTTCAATAGAAATTGGCACATTTATAATTTAACCTTGTTACACCTCCTTATTGTCAATCCGATAACGTGTCCTGTTACTTCATGTTTTTTTAGCTCGATGAAGCTCAACTCAAAAGGCAGGTAATTGCACACAGCCTTGCTGTTCTTTGAGCTGAATTGGAAAGTCTGTGATTGGACATCCACAGAAAGACTGGGCTGGGAAAGAAGTTGTGAAAAATGCAGCAAAACTTGACTGCATTCAATTTGGGTATATCTACTAAGTTTTTAATTTAAAAAAATGTGGATTTGATTTGCAATTTGGGTACTTGGACTCCTAAAGTTTCACCATCACTAATCTAGACTTACATTGCAGGACAGCAACTACAAAGTCCCGAGATCATCAAATATGCAGATACTCTCATTGATGTCTCATAATGAATATATTTCCTAGCATTCTAAAATTGTTTGTCTGTCTGTCATGTGTGTTGGTGTGGTGTTTGTTAGCTGTGTGTTGATGTGGTGTGTGCGTGTGTGTGCTGCCCCCCTTCCTCTATGTTGAAAGCTTAGCAGGAGGGTGCAAAACAGAATGCTCACATCCACACACATTGTGTGCTACGGTCCCTGGTAGTCAATTGGGAGTTAAAGTTCCTGGTGGTCAAGTGTTGGGAGCATTTGGTCTTCCCTTACGACAGGTGCAGACCACAGTAATCACTCCCTTGTGGTCCAGCATTCAGTAAGAGTACAGCCACCCACTTCCCAGCCTGCTCTCTGATTCTTTAGTACCAGACTGCAATGGAGCTTTTACTGTTATCTCCCCCCTTCACACCAAGGTGCAGACCACATGCTCTTTGCATCAGACCAAGCAATCCAGTTTCATTTCCAAACGTGGCTGCATGTCCCAGGTGTCAGGCGATAAAAATTCCACACCCCTGGTAAGTAGCCATCAACATAAAGTATACACAACAAAGGCATCTGTATCTATTACATTCAACTTACATTATTTTCAGTTGTGTAAACTGATACTGTACCAGTGTATTCAGGAAATCTAGTTTATTATATATTTCTTGTCAAAAGGAACCTATTTTATTTTTATAATATATTTTTAATAAAACCATCTTTTGTCAGACTGCTTTTTTCATACTCCTCTAGAGGTCACTAGATCACCATCATATTTCTTTTCCAATATTACATTGGGGAAGTAACGCACAGCCGAATACTTGCAGGGTTATTTACTAAAGTTCAAATAACCCTATTGCAAATGGGGCAAAAGTATTTGCTACAGGATGGTGCCATTGTCTGCAAAATCCAGACATTTGTCACAATATGTAACAATGTTGAATGGTCGGAGCAGACTCAAAATTAACCTGGATTTGACCAGATCAGAAGATAGACTGCTGAAATCTTTAGCCTGAACGAATTGCCAGCTGGCAGCACAAGCAGCCAGTGGGCAAATCGTAAATAAAAATCTCAGCAGTATGTTGATTAATCATGCTGCTAGGCAGCCACCATATTAATTAGTAAAACCCCAAAACCTCTGAAAATATCTGATTCCGATCCGGTCCCCTACCAGAGATATTCAACTCAAAACTGAGGAGAATTGTTAATAAAGTTGCACGTTATTGTAACCATAGAAAATAAATTGGAGAAGTCGATTAAGTAAACTTAATCTAAAAAAAAAACATTTTGAACCAAGCTTGAACCCTTCTTATTATAAATTGACCCAAATGTGAAACAATCTGGAGTATTACATTAAAGGACCACTCTAGGCACCCAGACCACTTCAGCTTAATGAAGTGGTCTGGGTGCCTGGTCCAGCTAGGGTTAACCCATTTTTTCATAAACATAGCAGTTTCAGAGAAACTGCTATGTTTATGAATGGGTTAAGCCTTCCCCAATTCCCTCTAGTGGCTGTCTCATTGACAGCCACTAGAGGCGCTTGCGTGCTTCTCACTGTGATTTTCACAGTGAGAGCATGCCAGCGTCCATAGGAAAGCATTATGAATGCTTTCCTATGTGACCGGCTGAATGCGCGCGCAGCTCTTGCCGCGCGTGCGCATTCAGCCGACGGGGAGGAGAGAAGGAGGATCGGAGGAGGAGAGCTCCCTGCCCAGCGCTGGAAAAAGGTAAGTTTTAACCCCTTTCCAGAGCCGGGCGGGAGGGGGACCCTGAGGGTGGGGGCACCCTCGGCACTATAGTGCCAGGAAAACGAGTATGTTTTCCTGGCACTACAGTGGTCCTTTAAGACTTAATTTCTAACCCTAAGGAACACGAATGTGCAAAATGTTTATATGTACTTCTTTATTGTAATGTGCTCTAGAGATTAGTGTTTGGTTCACATACCTAGGACCATGTTGAGCTGAGATATTGAGGTTTCTGTAAACATCTGTGTAACCAAAATTTGCAATGCACTATGACACAAAGATGGCCTCTGTGGTTAAACCAATTGAAATAAAACAAAAAAAACTGGTAGTTTTGTAATACCAATACATAGAGATAATGAATTAAAAAAAGTTGGGAATTTTAAAAACGGTTAAGCGAGCTATGCTGGATCTCTTGAGATGGATTAACCCCAGACCAACTGCCTCCTGCTGATTTTTGTAGGTTTGATTGGATTGGACGAATTCTGTCCAGAATTAGATGTAGTAAATATGAGAAATGCCATTACGGTTGGAAATTGACCATCTTCACTAGATTTATCCATACAGACAAAATCCAGTTTTCAGGAACTAGCCCTGTTAGTTTCTTCTGAAACCCCATGTATTCTTACCACAACACTAATCATGAAATAAAATCGTGAAAAAAATTAAGAAAAACTGATATTTCATAATTTTGCTCATAATAACTTCTACATAACTAGTAAATAACTCAATATAAATCCAATTATTAGTCCTGATTTTGGAAAGGCCTCATTAATTTTTGGAAGCAATAAGACAAATATAGTAAAAGATTTACAGTTTATGGACTAAACGTTTGCCAAATTTGGCAAGCAACATATGACTTTCATACCAGTTGCAGACTCCATAATCACTGCACAAAAGTATATATTTGTAGAAAGTAAATCCTTCAATGTACTTAATATAAGGATATGAAATAGTTAACTGTTTTTGTTTTATATGCTTTAAAATAATGTTTGAAAAAATTATGCTGACCTTGGCAGATGTATTCTGTAACATGCTTTGAGAGGCCTCCCTTCTACAGGATGTATGACCTCGCTCGACCTCAGGATGTTCCTGTCTCGTCTTTATTCAAATGCTTATCTTTTAATGTCAGACAAGTATGTACTATTAACTACAAGGAAACGATAAATCTCGCTGCTTGCGTGACAAACTGTGTATAAATGCTAGCCCTGAAAATATACCTACTGAGAACTTGTTAAGCACTCTTTCGTGTCTGTGTCTTAATTTGCTAAACAAGAACTCCCGTGAATTGATCTGGTGACTCGAGAATTGAGGGGAGTTGAGTCCAGAACAGCATTAACCCTTTCAGCTTGGTGTTAGAAGTGGGATCAGCAAAGCCATTGGGTAAGTAGCCTTTTTGTGTCTTATTGACGCTGATTGTCTATGACCCCCTTTGGTTCAGTAAGTCTGTATCCAGTACAGTAAGGTGTAAGGACTTTAGTTATATTGAGACTGTAAATAGGTCTCAGGTTTTTACTGGACAGTTGGTCTAGTATAGGGTTCTTGGTAACCCAGGTTAGTATCTAAGATAGATACAGGGTATCTCAGGTAAATATAGGTTTTGAGACTATAAATGAGTCTTCGGTTTATTAAGACTGTAGGTGTTCTAGGCAACACGGTTTATAGATCTAGAATAACCCAAACTTCTTGTTCCTCTGGTCACCCTGTGTCTGCTTTGTGTTTATTTTGCTTGTTAAGTAGAGACACACTATTGGTAAGTAGGTAGTGTCTCTACCCTGAGCCAGAAATATGGGAAATAATCAGTCTATTTCTTACCCTTTACCCCACCCAGGGGAGTCATGTCTAAATTATGTTACTAGAATAGGAGCACAAGGAGGATTTCTTACAATCCCCTTTGTGTCAAATTTAGCAGGATGGACAGAGACTATGAAGTCATCTGATCCTTTTCCCAGGTGTGGGGCTAATGATGATTTCCATATGAATATGATTCGAGGATTGTGTTTGGGAAGTCATGGCCGTGGTATGGTCCTGATCCAGATTGGGATAAGGAATATATGAAAGCAGGAGGTGACAATTGGTTGCAGATAGCCCCTCATTGGTTTCCTTGTAGTGTAACAGGAAAGGTTTTAAAGGGAGCTAAGAAAGACCTGGCTAAGAGAAAGGGAACTGTTGACAGTAAAACCATCTGCTTTCCCTTAGAAGCCCCTCCTGAAAATCCATATCCACCACCAATTGTGCCCCCTACCCAGTCAGCCCCCGGCCATGCCCAACCACAACCCCCACCTCCCTATAAAGCAATGTATCCTGCTGTACCTAATGCCCCCTCAGATGATGATATAGAAGATATTTGTATTGCTGCAGCTGTTAATTCACAATCACAGCAATTACAGGAATCATCATCTACACCAGATTCTGATATAGAATATCCACCACCACCTCCCGGTACAATTAAATTAACAGTACAAACGGGAGTTAAACTTAAAAGTGGCAAGGTGATGATGATGTAGAGATGCCAGAATTAGAAGGTGCTGATCTTACTGCCCCGTTCATGACTGTTGGTAATCAGTTAATAATGAAACCCATTAACCCCGGAGTACTCAAGGACATTATTCAAGGTGCCCCAAACCCCCGTACTAATCCCTCTGCATGCCTAATTTATCTGAAAAGAATGTGCTTAGGACAGAACATGACACAGATAGACATACAGTTAATTATAAATGGAATATTAGGGTATGACTCAGATTCTGGTTGGGATTGGTCTAGGGTACCCTCTATCAGTGAGACAGACAACGGTACTGGAGTTGGAGAGGCTGGTAGTGATGGTGTTTATGAGCTTAGTACTTCAGCAGGATGTGCTAAAATGTGGGACGAGGTGGAAGCTGAAATATTAAGATTATGGAAGAATAAGCAGTCTATATCCACTGCTTTGGCATGTAAGCAAGGTGCAAAGGAAGAGATTGGTATTTTTGTAAAGAGATTTTACAAGTGTTGGAAGGATGAGGCAGGTTTGAAGTCTGGAGATGATATGGATCTCCTTAAAATACAGTCATGCCTTGGTAATATGTTGCCACAGTATTCTTTGCTTGTGAAACAGTTGATTTCAGACTGGGCCAATTTGGGTGGCTCAGATTTTCTTACTAAGGTTATAGAGAAGGAAAATGCAGGTTGTTTTGACTTAAGAAAAGATCCAGGAAGTAAGGTTGCTTATTATGCTCAGGGATTGCAACACTGTCCACCTACACAGGCCTGAGAGAGAGGATGGGATGAAGCACATAGAGCCCGTGGAAGGGGTGGTCAAAGATGGGCAAGGGGATGGAGACAGGGAAATCAGGGTTATAGGAGCAGGGGTAACCAAGGAGGAATAGACCGGAACACTTGTTTCAACTGTGGCCAGCATGGCCACTGGAGGAATGAGTGTCCACACCTCAGGAAACCCCAGCTGCCCCAACAACCCCACAATTCTCAAAATACACCACTGGCCAGCACTTCCCTCTCCCTCCTCGCTCCAGCAAACCCAAACTGCACTAGGGCCATTCACAGGTACCACTGACCAGCACACCCATCACATCCCATGGCCCCAATAGTGCTGCCTTGAAGGTGACACTCCAACTTTTCCACTTTTGTCCTCTACTAATGATGATCAGCCATTTTGCATTCTGGTCATAGAAGGTAGATCCTTGCCATTTTTGGTAGATACTGGAGCTACGTGTTCCAGTCTCTGTGACACCTATTATCAGGGGACAAGGGAAAAGTCTACACCTTCATTGGGTATTAATAGAGTGTCAACACCCACTTTTGTCACACCACCACTGTGTTTTCTGTCCTCTTAATAGTTCTTCTACCGTGCACCCTTTTCGTCTAATACCTAAATATCCTGTTAGTTTGCTGGGAAGGGATCTTCTAGGTATTCTGGGAGCTACCATTACTTGCACACCCTCTGGTGGTATTGATGTGTCTATGTTGTGTTCTGAAACTATTGATTTGTCTGATGTTCCTTCTTCTGTGTGGGCTTCATCTAAGCTAGATGTAGGATTTGTCAACTGCACCCCTTACAAAGCCAAACTAAAACCAGATGTAACTCCTATCTACCTTAAACAGTACTCCCTGTCAGAATCCAAGGTTGAGGGAGTTCGCCCCATGATCCAATCTTTTCTAGAGCAGGAAATACTAAAGCCAGTAGTCTCCCCGTATAATACACCTATTAATCCAGTTCCTAAAGGTAATGGTTATCGCTTAGTTCAGGACTTTAGAGCCCTGAATAGTTTAATTGTGCCCATTGACCCTGATGTGACATCCCTCATTACAGCCATTCCACATGATGCCACTTGCTTCACTGTCATTTATTTAAGTAATGCATTTTTTTCTATACCAATTGATCAAGCGACACAGCTACTTATGGCTTTTACTTTTGAAGGCTGTCAGCATACCTGGACACGCTTACCCCAAGGCTATGAGGATTCCCCAGCCGTTTATTCGCTGGTACTCCAACATACTCTAAAAACATGGACCCCCGGTCATGGTTCCGTCCTTTTGCAATATGTTGATGATTTGTTGTTATGTAGCCCTAGCTATGATGCAAGCACTGTGGATACTGTCAGTTTGCTCAAACACTTAGCAACTGTGGGTCACAAGGTTGCAAAACACAAAATGCAATTGTGTAAATCAAAGGTTGATTACTTAGGTTTTGTTCTGGCTTCAGGCACCAGACAATTGAGTACAAAACGTATTGAGGTCATTCAGAGGTTTCCTAAACCCACTACTCGGAAGGAGTTGCTCACCTTCCTCAGCATGATTAATTACTGCCGCCAATGGATCCCTGAATGCTCCCATTATGACTCAATCGTAAGGGAGGCTGTACGTTCTGACAGCCCTGAAAATGTCTGCTGGTCACTAGACATGCTAGCTGCGTATATTGCCCTCAAAGTTGATATTGTGCAAGCCCCGGCTTTAGGACTACCTGTTTATTGTAAACCATTTCATTTGTATGCTCGGTGTGGTGTATCACCAAACTCTATAAATTATTATGTACGCATACACATATAAACTCTGGTCCGTCTACTTTAACAAATATTTATTCAGAGACAAAACAACAACAACATACAAATAATGACACACAATCTAACTAACTATACCAACAACAACCTAACTAACAATAACAACTACATCTTATAAAATCCCACTCACAGTTCACCATGATAGAAATTAGGCCATGTCTGCTTAAAGGACTGCTCAGTAGCACAGCCAAGAAGGAACAGAGAGGAATGGAGATAGGGGGAAGTGGTTATCTCTTTCCTGACTAGTAAAGGTATTGAATTACCAATTAACATTTCAAAAGGGTAAAGCTTATCCCACTGTAAGAGCTTGGTCACATGATCCCTGGTCACCATATTAGTTTGATGACAGAATGTCACCACATTCCCTCACTTTTTTTTTCTCTTATGTTGAGCACATTTAAAAGTGAGAGAATATAGTCAAACAGGGGTTGCATCACCCCACATTCCCCCAATTTCAATTGTTTTCAGTTGTTCCGTTTTTAAATTAACCACTGCCCAAGTGGGTTGGTAAGAACCCTGGTAGTTGTTCATTAATATTATATGGTAATGTGTTCATGTGAAGTAGTAATATCTAGACGCAATCAACCCCATACAGTAATTATCACTAGTTTATGACACAATATGATGTTTAATTTCGCCTGGGACTGGAATCTGAAGACTGTGACTGATCTGTGTGCTTGATAGCTGTGATTTTAGAATGAACTCTCCTTGAATATTGTCTTTGCCAATCCATTACAAAGCTTGAGGTTTGTAGGTTTAATGACACATGCAAGTTCATGAGTGTAGGGTAAACTCTTTCTGTGACCACCTTGAAATGACACAAATTCCTGCTTCTTGCTGTTCCTTTACCCCCATTCTGGGCTGTGTTAATAGTTTGACTTGGTAATCTCAGCACTTCTTCATCTGTATAGTATCCATTTTCGGGATAATAGTTTGACGTGTAATCCCAGCACCTCTTCATCTGAATAGTAATCATTTTCAGTATAATAGTTTGTTTTGGTAATCCCAACACTTCTTCATCTGTATAGTATCTATTTTCAGGATAATAGTTTGACGTGTAATCCCAGCACCTCTTCATCTGAATAGTAATCATTTTCAGGATAATAGTTTGTCTTGGTAATCCCAGCACTTCTTCATCTGTATAGTAAACTGTGACAGGACATGTCAGTTACCTTTGCCTCTCTGGGCCTTCCAATTAAAATGTTCTTTGAATCAAACACAGACAATGAAATATGTACAACAGTAATCAGCATATTGTCTTGTGTCAAAGGCTTAACTAGTTTTGTCTAATAAAATCTATTTGGTTGTGGTGTCTTAAGGCTATGTTTACATTTTAGAGGTATTTAAAAGACCCACAAATGTCTCCTGAAATTTTGATTAATTTAGACATTTACTCCACACCTGATGGAGAGTTGAACACAAAACCATATTAGTTATTTTATAATTTACTGATGAATACATGCAATAATCACAAAATGTACATAGTTTAAACCGAACATTATTATACATGAACGTGAGTGGGAAAGATGTAAGGGTGAAAAATGTATTCGCAATTGAACGTAGGTGCAAATTCTCATACCCATAACTATTTAACCCCCTGCGGATAGCTAAATAGAACAAATAGCATACATTTTCACTTTATTATTTATGCCATCTTCACTCAAAGCAATCTAATTTCCCTATATTCTTAAAATTCCCAACCATATAACAATCTAACATAGGCACCTTTACCTCAAATACAAACTGTTCATTCTCTATTAAACACACAGTGTAAAAATTTAAATTTTAGCCTGGCTAAACAATAGCCACCACACTGTATTAGCCCCAATACCTTTATCATGTAAACACAATGCTCCTACCCAGAATTCAATGGTTCAAACAGACAAAAGATAACCCACCAAAAAAAAAACAGTTTGCTATTTAAACTTAGAATGCAGGGAAGCCACAAAATGTACAAAATGTAACATCTAAAAACAATTACAATATATTCAGTTTAGTTCTAGTTAGATGCAACAGGAGAGAGAGACAATACAGCACATGGGCTATTAAAAATGGCCGAAACATCAATAGTACCAATGCAGTGCAACTATTCAATCTTCCCCTTTAACCCCTTAAGGACGGAGCCAAATGTACACGTTGTGAACAAAACAAAATGTAAACAAAACCTGGCATTTGCGCTACATGTCTGTCCAACCGTAATACACCTCTTTCATAGTAAATGCACCCACCCTTATTATATATATCATTTTATTCAGGGGAAACAGGGCTTTCATTTAATATCAAATATTTAGCTATGAAACATAATTTAATATGAAAAAATGGGAGAAAATACGATTTTATTGGATTTTTTTAGTTCTACATGACAATTAAACGGTCAGTGTCATAATACTGTTTGCTTTTACTGCAATAAAATACACATATTTGTATTCAGCAAAGTCTCACGTGTAAAACAGTACCCCCTATGTACAGGTTTTATGGCGTTTTGGAAGTTACAGGGTCAAATATAGCACGTTACATTTGAAATTGAAATTCGCCAGATTGGTTACGTTGCCTTTGAGACTGTATAGTAGCCCGGGAATGAAATTTACACCCATAATGGCATACCATTTGCAATAGTAGACAACCCAAGGTATTGCAAATGGGGTATGTCCAGTCTTTTTTAGTAGCCATTTGGTCACAAACACTGGCCAAAGTTAGCGTTAGTATTTGTTTGTGTGTGAAAATGCAAAAAATGCCAATTTTGGCCAGTGTTTGTGACTAAGTGGCTACTAAAAAAGACTGGACATACCCCGTTTGCAATACCTTGGGTTGTCTACTATTGCAAATGGTATGCCATCATAGGGGTAATTTTCATTCTTGGGCTACCATAGGGTCTCAAAAGCACCGTAACCAATCTGGCAAATTTTAAAGTGAAAAAAATGAAACGCAAGTCTTATATTTGACGCTGTAACTTTTGAAAACACCATAAAACCTGTACATGAGGGGTACTGTTGTACTCGGGAGACTTCACTGAACACAAATATTTGTGTCTCAAAACAGTAAAAAGTATCATAGCAATAATATTGTCCGTTTAATGCTGTTTGTGCGTGAAAAATGCAAAAAACGTCACTTTTACTGGCGATATCATCGTTGTAATACATTTTACTGTTTTGAAACACTAATATTTGTGTTCAGCGAAGTCTCCCGAGTAGAACAGTACCCCCCATGTACAGGTTTTATGGTGTCTCGGAAAGTTATAGGGTTAAATATAGTGCTAGCAAATTAAATTCCCTTTACTTTCGGCATGGGTTGTCATGCAGGTCCTGCTAATTGTAATTAATTAAGATACCTAATTATGTAAAAATATTACATAAATATATATGTAGAATCAATATATGTATATATATACGTATGTGTATATATATGTATATATCTATATAATTTTTTAAAAATATTTTTATTTATATATAGGTATATATATAGTGATATATACGTATATATTTATGTGTATAAATATATATATTATTTCGTTCTATGTGTATTTTGATATATATATATATATATTAATTTCACAATACAGTTAGAACGAAATAACACACATCTATATATTTTTTAATTATTTATTTTTAATTATTTTTGTAATTTTATTTTTTAACGTATTTACATTTTAATTTTTTTTATAATATATATAAATATATATATAACAATAATTATATATATATTTAATCAGTATCAGTGTACGTGTAATTTGATATTAATATATATATATAATTATATATATATTAATAGTAAAATACACCTAGACGGTGTACATGTGTGTATGTATATGTGTATATATATACTTTGATCATATATATATAATATATATATATGATCTAAGTATATATTATTTATTTTTTTACACTATTTATTTATTTTATTTTATTTTCAGCCAGCAGGGGGACCACCTGTCATTACAGGCAGCCCCCTGCTGGCAATACAGAAGCCAGCTATCCCCGGCCATGTGATTGTGGGGTCCTCGCTAGGACCCCACTCTCACACGGCCGGGGGGCTTCCTGGAGGACGGTCGTGCCGCGGGGGGCTCCCTGGGAGTCCCCCCCACCGCGATCGCCGGCGTGGGACCGCCGGCGACCGGGTAAGTACAGAAAGACCGGAGGGCGTACTATTACGCCCGGCGGCGTTTAGAGCCGCCTATTAGAGGACGTAATAGTACGCCCTCCGGTCTTAAGGGGTTAATCACCAATACTTTAAAACTGTGTATAAACAAAATTAAACTATAAATGCTACAATTTGCAACAAAATACGTTCTGTCAGTCATAATGCACAAACATTATGCTCCTATCCTGAATTCAATGATTCAAACAGACAAAAGATAACAACAAAAAACGTTTGCTATTTTAACTTAGAATGCAGTGAAGCCCCACAATTTAACACCTAAGAAAACAATTAAAATAGATTAAGTTTCATTCTAGTTAGTTGCAACAAGAGAGACAATACAGCACATGGGCAATTAAAAATGGCCAAAACATCAAAGGTTCCAATGCTATTCAATTTTCCCCTTTTATCACCAATACTTTAAAACTGTACAGAAACAAAGTTAAACCTATAAATGCTACAATTTGCATCAAAATATGGTCTGTCAGTCACAATACACAAATTCAAAACAGTCAACCAAACAAATGTGTATATTTGTTTCAACAAAATGAATCCTATGCTATATAGTCTCTTTCTCTTAGATTATGTATCAATATGGTAGTTATTGCGCCTCACAAACATTTGTTGTAGAAGTCTAAAATTCGTGGTCGCCAAATGTGGTGTATCACCAAACTCTATAAATTATTATGTACGCATACACATATAAACTCTGGTCCGTCTACTTTAACAAATATTTATTCAGAGACAAAACAACAACAACATACAAATAATGACACACAATCTAACTAACTATACCAACAACAACCTAACTAACAATAACAACTACATCTTATAAAATCCCACTCACAGTTCACCATGATAGAAATTAGGCCATGTCTGCTTAAAGGACTGCTCAGTAGCACAGCCAAGAAGGAACAGAGAGGAATGGAGATAGGGGGAAGTGGTTATCTCTTTCCTGACTAGTAAAGGTATTGAATTACCAATTAACATTTCAAAAGGGTAAAGCTTATCCCACTGTAAGAGCTTGGTCACATGATCCCTGGTCACCATATTAGTTTGATGACAGAATGTCACCACACTCGGGACAACTGTAAAACCATGGCCGCGGTCTGTGCACAAGCCGCGGTCTGTCCCATAGCATTCTTTTCCAAAGTAGTTCCAGCTCCGGTACAGGGTATGCCGGCGTGTCTCAGAGCATTGGCAGCATGTGCAATGGCTGTTGAGACTGCTACTACTATCACACTAGGGCATCCTACAATACTCCATACCAGTCACCAGGTCACTCAGCTTATAAAAAATCTCACCACACAACACATGACAGCCCAGCGCTTAAGTGGTTATGAGATTCTTCTTCTTAATACCCAGAATCTGTCTATAGTCCTGTTAATTCTGGTCCTATGTCTGTTTTGCATGCTATTTTCACTTCTGCATCTGACTCTGTGTCTATACCATCTGAGCCTCATAATTGCATTGAACAAATACATATTGGCACATCTCCCAGAGCAGACCTCTCCTCCACAGCACTCAGTGGCCCGGATGTGACCACTGTCTTTGTGGATGGCTCTTGCTCCAGACCAAATGACGGTACTTACCTCACAGGCTATGCCGTGGTACAGTTACCTGATAAAATCATTGAAGCTGACACTATTTTCCAGCCGTCTGCACAAGCTGCAGAACTCATTGCTCTCACACGTGCCTGTCAGCTTTTCTCAGGACAGAGAATGAACATTTACACAGACTCATGATATGCTCATGGGGTAGTGCATGATTTTGGTGTGATTTGGAAACAAAGAGGCTTTGTAGGAGCCGATGGAAAAGCCATTTCACACACAAATCTCATCCAATCACTCCTAGATGCTATCCTACTCCCATCTGAAGTAGCTGTTATCTACTGCAAGGCACACACTCTGGGTAGTGATGACATTTCCAGAGGTAATGCCTTGACTGACAAAGTGACAAAAGAAATTGCAGCCAAGACTCTTTACTATGAAATGTTTCCTGCTATGCTCACACCTCCCACATGCCCTACTGACAGTTTGCTTTTGCAGCTCCAAGCCTTTGCAACGCAATCTGACTTTGATTTTTGGATTAAACAAGGTTTAGAGAAAGATCAGCATGATCTTTTCTCTAAAGAGGGGAAGATAGGCATAACTGAAGCCAGCTGTTTTATCTTCATCAGTCAGGCACATGGTCCTGGCCACAAAAGCATAGCAAGTACCATCCAATTCCTCATGAATTCATTTTATATTAGGAATCTCAGGCAGCATGTACAGTCTTTTGTAAGATCGTGTGAACCATGTATGAGAACACGTCCTAATATTCCACATTTGCCCCCTCCAGCTGCTCCTTTTACACACTTACAGATTGATTTTACTCATGTACCAAAAATTGGTAAGCAACAGCAATACTTACTGGTCATAGCTGATCAGTTTAGTAGATGGCCCGAGGCCTTTGTGACATCTAGGGAAGATGCTAGGACTGTAGTGAAGATTCTTGCTACTGAAATTATTCCCAGGTATGGCTGCCCACTGCAGATTAACTCTGATAATGGCCTGGCTTTTGCCTGTAAGGTTACCCAGGAACTTGCTAAATTCTTGCAAGTTACCTGGAAGTTTCATATACCCTATCATCCACAGAGTTCAGGAGTAGTTGAAAGGATGAATAGGACCATTAAGGAGAAGCTTATGAACACTACTGCAGGAACATGGGTAAATTGGACAAAATATCTTCCAGCTATTTTAGCTGAGATAAGAATGACTCCTCACAAGGTGACTAAATTATCTCCATTTGAGATTCTGATGGGACGACCTTTTCCCACACCCTGGGCCAGGGAACCGCTTGTTATTATGTCTGGGGATTTACAGCTAATACAAGAACAATATGTACAGGAATTTATGGAAGGTAAAAGGAATGGTTAAAAAACCAAAACCGATCTATAGGTGGAGCGCTCCAAGTGAGTTGACTCACCCCACTCTTGGTCTATGTAAGATGACCTGTACGTGGGGATGAAATAAACAATAATATGGTGTAGTATATTATAAGTAATACTGGAGAAAGTGATGAGGAATATAGAACCACTCACATGGTTTGGGGTCACACGGAACCTTTATGTAGACAAGGATCTCTTTGTACCTTTAACGGATGGAAACCAAATATAGTGCAGTATATCGATATAGGTGTAATTGCCAAGAAAATGCTGAAAGTTGCTCACCTGATTCAGAGCCTAAATCCTGGCTCTGAATATATAAATGTATGTGTCAGAAAGGGGACACAAAACCCTTTTAGATGAATAGCAGGAACACAGGATGCTGGTATCCACAGTGGATTATAAGGTAAACAATTTATTGTAAAATATAAGGTATATATAACAAAAATAAAAACTATATAAAAATACAGTAATAAAAAGAAAGTCCTTAATCCTGTTGATCCTCCGAGACGCGTTTCGCCCAGCGGCTTTTTCAATCGGTATCATCATCTGTGTTCCGGTTTTCCTTTTATATCTTCAATTCACGCTTGATAGAAGACTTCCTTAATTGCGGATGGTTGGCGGCTGTGTCGCGTAACGTCATTTCCGCTTGCATCATCATCCAGAGCGGTCGCATTTCTATTAGTTCATACATATGTAAGTCTTTGGTCGCCATCTTATTTAAGGGCGAGATGCGATCTCTGTATGCACATAAAGAGTCTCTCACGTAGAGACATCATAGAAGATGAGGGCAAACGAATATAAATAGAAAATTCATGAGACATTGATACATAATGCGGTTTATAACAATATTTAAATAAACTTATTTCATATAACAATATAATTTGTATTTTTATCTTTTCGTTAACAATTATATTAAAAATACGACACTTCAATGTTTATAAAATTTAGGCATAAGACAAATCACCCTTATATCTTAATTTTCTGACATATAGTATTGTTAAATACCTATTAAGTGTCTTTGTTTTTAAAAAGGGGATTTCACCTGGGGAATCACTAGTAAAAACGAAATACACTTCATCCTATGAATATAATGTATATGTAGTCCTAAAACAGAATGTTTAAATGTGTATAAATCTCTCTTAAAGGGATAGACAGTATTTAATCTATATGTCATAGATAAGGTAGACTATTTAAAATCTAATATGCATATATATCTATATCTCGAGATAATGATAGCCTACAATAACAGGCCGTTTCTACATTCCTCTTAAAGAGATAGAGTTTGTTAAATAAAATAAAACTAAAAGAAGCTAATTCCTGCATTGATATACATATGTATCGATCTATGTATCTTATAGATAATGATATTAATGTGGCCCATGCCTATCTCTCCACACTTAAAATACCATTATAGTGACAGATAAAATGTATAAACATATATTGTGGGATTAATTATAATAGTATATGTTGAAATACATAGTCTTGAAAAATCCTTATTTCTTGTACGGAAAATATATTTCTATCATCACATGCCAGTGAATAAAAGATAAAAAACAAATTCCTGTCAGGTTACCTGTAAATTATGCCTCTGAGGAGGTCAGTCTCTCTTCATAGGGGCTCCCCTCCCCAAGCATTTCGGCATTTTCTGGCCGTTTTTCCGCCGGCCGCGCTAGCTCCTCCCCCTTTTTTGACGCGACGGCTAGCATCAACGTCATGACGTCATCATTACGTGAAGCGCCGGGAACCGCAATCCCGGACCTTTTGGGGGCGTGGTCTCAATTAAGGTGACAGGGTATTTAAGGGAAACTTTTACTACTGCTCATTGCCCTGTCGTGGTTCTAGCTTGCTAGTCACTCAGCGCGTTCTCTCTCTTTGTGTTTTCGGTTTTGACCTTGCTTGTACCTTGTCCTGCTGCTCTCTCCTCTCCTTTGACTCAGCTTCTTCCTCGCTTACCTGTCCTCCGGCTCCCTCGACCTCGGCTTACCTTTTGACCATTCTTGTTTTGTCTATACGTTAGTCCGGCCATTCTAAGGTCCGGTATACGTACCTCCTTCTGTCCGCACTCTGCGTATTGGATCCCTGTCCCGATCCTGACATTACGACAGGGCCTGGACGGATTGCTATCATCGAAGGAAAAATTAGTTCCCAAGTTTATCAAGACATTTTGCAGGAGAACTTAAGGCCATCTGTCTACCAGCTGAAGCTCAACAGAAAATGGGTGTTGCAACAGGACAATGACCTGTATGCTGTATTCTGTATTAATATAGAGCTCTGTGATACACTCTTTCACATTGTAACTGTATGCTGTATTAATATAGAGCTCTGTGATACACTCATTCACACTGTAACTGTATGCTGTATTAGTATAGAACTCTGTGATACACTCATTCACATTGTAACTGTAGTCTTTACTATAGAGCTCTGTGTTACACTGTCAGGATCGGGACAGGGATCCAATACGCAGAGTGCGGACAGAAGGAGGTACGTATACCGGACCTTAGAATGGCCGGACTAACGTATAGACAAAACAAGAATGGTCAAAAGGTAAGCCGAGGTCGAGGGAGCCAGAGGACAGGTAAGCGAGGAACAAGCCGAGTCAAAGGAGAGGAGAGAGCAGCAGGACAAGGTACAAGCAAGGTCAAAACCGAAAACACAAAGAGAGAGAACGCGCTGAGTGACTAGCAAGCTAGAACCACGACAGGGCAATGAGCAGTAGTAAAAGTTTCCCTTAAATACCCTGTCACCTTAATTGAGACCACGCCCCCAAAAGGTCCGGGATTGCGGTTCCCGGCGCTTCACGTAATGATGACGTCATGACGTCGATGCTAGCTGTCGCGTCAAAAAAGGGGGAGGAGCTAGCGTGGCCGGCAGAAAAACGGCCAGAAAATGCCGAAATGCTTGGGGAGGGGAGCCCCTATGAAGAGAGACTGACCTCCTCAGAGGCATAATTTACAGGTAACCTGACAATTCCATCACAGGAAATGACAAAGTTCGAAGTCATTGTTCAGTCCGTGAGGTAACATAGTATTTAAGTTGAAAATCCACCTAATTTCCATTTGGCCCAAAGATTGTATTAGGTCCCCACCTCTCCAGTTTTGAGTAAATTTTTGTATCCCCATAAATTGGGCGAATTCAGGATTCTTGTGATGGAATTTTAAGAAATGGAGAGAAAGACTGTGTTTTTCAAAACCATTTTTGATGTTTCTAATGTGTTCTTGTATACGTACATGAAGGGGACGGATAGTCCGTCCCACGTATACAAGACCACAAGGACACGTGATGGTATATATTACCTTCTTAGAGTAACATGTAATTAATTCATTTATTTTAAACCTCTGTTCCAGATGTGTAAAGGATGTTATATGTCTTTTTTTATTATTAGTGTTTTTGCAAGCTGTGCAGTTACCACAGCCAAAGAAACCTTTCGTATTATTCAGAAAGTTAAGCTCTTTTTTTGTTTTAATGTGATTATGTACTAAAGTTCTATTTAAACTCGGAACCCCTCTATAGACTACAGTGGGTCTATCTGGGAGTATGGAGTTTAATATATGGTCATTTTTGAGAATATGCCAATATCTATTCAGAATTCTTTTAACTTGTTTGCTTTTACAATTAAAATCGCATATAAATACAGGATCTTTTTTGTTTAGGTCGTCATTCTTCTCCTTATATGTTAATAGTGACGACCTTTCTTTCGATTTCACTTCTACATATGCTTTACTTAATAATGGTTCTTCATATCCTTTATCCCTGAAATTTTGTAGAATAGTAGATGCTTGATCTTGAAAGGTTTGATCGTTAGTGCAATTGCGTTTTACTCTAAGCAGTTGGGCCTTTGGGGCATTCAGAAGCCAAGGGGAAAAATGGCAACTATTCTGATGTATATAGCTGTTGACGTCTGTTTTCTTAAAAAAAGTGTTAGTTTTTAATAATCCATCTTCTACATATATATTTAAATCTAGGAAATGTACCTGAGGTTTACTGAAGTTGGTAGTTAGCTTTATTCCCCAATCGTTAGATTCCAGGTGGGATAGAAAAGTTAGAAGTGACTCTTCATCTCCTCTCCAAATAAAAAATAGATCATCAATGTATCTGCGATAGGTCACGAGGTTCGACTCCCATCTATCATCACTATAGATGAATTGATGTTCCCAATGGGACATAAAAAGATTAGCATAGCTGGGAGCGAACCTCGTGCCCATCGCAGTACCACACAGTTGGAGATAAAAATTATCCCCAAACCAAAAATAGTTATTACGGAGTATCCAATCTATGCCACTGATTATAAAGTCTATCTGTTCTTGATGAAATTTTTGTGAACGTTCTAGAAATGTTTTAGTTGCTAGACATCCCCTTTCGTGGGAAATTATAGTGTATAAAGATGTTACATCGGACGTCACTAAATAAAAGTCATCCTGCCATTCAATGTTTGTGAGGACCTGTAGAATACTAATGGTATCTTTTAAATAACTAGGGCATTGTTGTACAATGGATTGTAAATTTCTATCGATATATTGTGATAGTCGACTTGAGATGGATCCTATCCCAGATATTATGGGTCTCCCTGGTGGATTTGTTTTATCTTTATGTATTTTCGTGAGGTAGTAAAATACCGGTATCTTAGGATGTATGATATTAAGAAAATTATATTCCTTTTTATTTAATATATTTTTTATTTTCCCTTTCTCTATCAATACATTATAACTTGTTTTGATTTCCTCTGTAGGATCTTTATTAAGTGTTATATATGTATTTGTGTCTCCCAAAATTCTATTGGCTTCCTTCATATAGTCCATATATTCTAACAGGACTATCCCGCCCCCCTTGTCAGCAGGTTTGATGACAAGGGTGTTGTCATTTTTAAAATCTTTTAGAGCAATCCTCTCTTTAAAGGTTAAGTTTTGTTCATATTTGTTTAATCCTTTTATCCTTTTTATATCTTGCATAACCATTCTCTCAAAGGTAATCATCTCTTCTGAGATGCAGCATTTGGGAAAGAATTTTGATGGTTCTTTTAAATCAGTATGGATAAATTCTGATTGTTCTACTAGATTAGGTTGTTCTGGATGTTTCATAAAAAACTTTTTAAGACACAATTTCCTTTTAAACCGATTCATATCTATAAACATATCAAACTTATCTATACCTTTTGAGGGGGCGAATTTAAGTCCTTTTGTTAGTAATGTGTTCTGTGATGGAGTTAAGGTTCTCTGTGTTAGATTGAATATTCCCCCATTATTAGATGGTGTTAATATTTGTTTTTTCTGTCTTTTCTGTACGTGAGTTCTTCCTCTATTTCCCCGTCTTCTGGGCTTCTTTGTCTTTTGTTTAATGGTTTTAGAGAGAGTGGAATCTCTTTGTGTCTGTCTCTCATATACGATTTCTGAAAATCCTCTCCTCGTGGTGGTCTAACTGTATAATTGGATCTACTTAATGGAGGGTGTGTAGGGGACTTATTTCTAAATGTGTGTTGCATATTAGGTTCAATGGTTGAATATCTTTGTCTTATTCTATTGCCTTCTCTATTTGAGTGTTGAGGGGATATATTTTGTTTCACCATTGTTGCATAGGAGGGTCGATATTCTTTTAATTGTTTGTGTGTCCTAGATGGGGGAGATTTTTGGTCTGTTGGTCTGTAGTTTCTTTTTTTTTGACAATCTTTATTTATTATTTTGTCTTTTCATTTTTTTTTTCTCGTAGACAATACAATTACACTCTTAGATAAAGGCCTATAACATCGGGCCTATAGAGTCATTGTTATCAAAACAATACAGCGAAATGGTGGCATCTAAGCAAAAACACATCGAAAACCATAACCGTAAACACCCCCCCGAACCCCAAGGATGGCCAGTCTCTCAGTACCCCTTCGGGTGTCACGTGAGGCGAGTAGAGAGTAGGACATGGTGATCGCAGCTATCCCGTTGGCGTCGTAAAGCTGTGATACCTATCCACCACGTGTGCCTACCGCTACATCCCCATGGGCTAATTGTTGCGCCCGCTCATGTTCCCTAACCCCGTTAGCCCTCCTCTACTGCCCGCCCGGTGTACCAGTGTGCTTAATATATATTTGAACATCAGAATGGCCTCCGGCCCAACAGCTCCCCTCCCACCCCCGTATTGCTGGATGCCCCTATAGAGCAATTCGGGCGTCTAATGCCTGGGTAATCGATTTGGCTGCGTACCCCCCTACAGAGCCCCGACCCCATGAAGGCGCAACCGACCTCCTGCCCACGGGCCAAATACCTTCCTTGGTGTGGGCCTCTCACCCATCCCTACCAAGATCTATAACCACATAGCCTCATCCCCCTCCAAGTGCACGTCCGTCTTATTGCCTGCCCTAGCCTTATATCTCCCACCCTGCGCTTCAAGTTGATCCGTGAGCTTGGTTAGGGAGTCGGAGAGTGCATAAACCTATACCCGTGCGATCCCCCCCGATTGTCAACCGTCGGGGCGTTAGGACGGGAAAGGGAGGAGGATAGTCATAGCTGTGCTGTCAGGTAAGTGCCATCCCCAAGGTAGTTCGGAGTCCGTGTAGTTGTCAGTCTGTCAAGGGAGAAAGAAGTTGCGCCGGCGCAGGGGCGCCCCCCCCCCCCGGGCCGGTCCCCCACCCGCGGCCCCCCTCGCAGTGTACTCCATCCAAGGAAACCATGTAAGGGCACATTTATCCGAACGTCCCTGCAGAGACGCCGTCATCAGTTCCATGTTGTAAATCGCTTCGACTCGGTCCACCCACTGGCGAAGGGACGGGGCAATCGGTTTTCTCCATAGCGTGGGGATAAGCGATTTTGCCGCCGTGAGTAGATGGATAACGAGGCCCTTTTTGTAGATAGTCACTGGCGTGCTCGTGTGATTCAGCAGCATCGGCAGCGGCTGGAAAGGTATGTCTACCCCCGTTATGTCCTTAATTGCTTGGTGTACCTCTCGCCAGAAAGGCTCAATGCCTGGGCATGCCCACCATATATGAATCCCAGTGCCCTCCGCAGCGCCGCACCTCCAGCACTCACCCGAGAGAGTCTCGTGAACATGACGAAGAATATCCGGGGTTCTGTGCCATCGCGTCAGTATCTTATAATTGCATTCCTGAAACTTTGAGCTAATGGTCCCCTTGTGCGTCAGTAGGAAAAATTTTTGCCACTCCGTATCCGTCAGCTCGATCCCTGTTTCCCGTTCCCAGCGTAACTTGAAGCCTAAGGGGCTGTGGTCTCCGCAGTTCTGCAGCATGGAATATAGGTGTGAGATGCCGTGGGGGATATGCTGTCTGGATACGCAGAGTTGCTCGAAGTAAGACAGTGCGCGGTGAAGGTGAGCCGTCCCAGCGAGGGAGGCTACATATGTCTTGAGCTGGTAGTAGCGATATCTGTCTAGGGTGCTCGGTTCTCGATCTTGGAGGAGCTCCGCAAGCGGTTTAAGGGCCGGTCCGTTACACCACTGGTGCAGGTAAGTCCAGTCCTCTGCTCCAAAGGACTGCAGGTCTCCCGGGGAAAGTCCCCCCGCCAATCTTGGATTATGTGTCACGGGTGTAAGCGGGTTTGGAGACGACGTAAGTTTTTTAGAGTAGCGAATGCTACACCACACTTTCAGTGTAGCATCTATCAACGGGTTACCTGTTTGCAGATCCTGGAACGTGGCCCCTCCCAGCCATAGTTGGGCAGGGATTTTGCCTCCTCTAGTCTGTAACTTCTCCATATCTACCCATTGTTTACCACTCGGGGCTGCATGCCAGTCCACTAGACGGTAAAGGTGCGATGCCCGGTAGTACGTAAGGGCTGAGGGTAAGCCCATACCGCCCTCACTGCGGGGGCGTTCCAGGATCTCCTGCCGTACCCGAACAGGTTTCTGGTTCCACACAAACTGTCGAAAGGAGGATGATAATGTCTGGAAGAAGCTCCGCGGGACCGAGATCGGGAGCGTCTGAAACAGGTACAGTATGCGGGGCATGACGTTCATTTTGATGGCGCTGATACGACCAAACCAAGATGTATTGCGGGGCCCAACGCCTCATGTCCTGTTGCAGAGTTGACAGTAGAGGGGCAAAATTCATAGAATAGATTTGGGTTAGGTCACACGGTAACCAAACACCTAAGTACCGCAATTTGGTCGGGCAGATCTTGAAGGGGAAGTGCGCCTGAACATGTCTCCGGAGGGAAGGGCTCCGGGAAAGAGGCATCAATTCCGATTTTTCTATGTTGAGTTTCAGATTGGAGACTGAGCTATAGGCTCGAAAGGCTTCCAGTAGGTTCGGCAGTGAAATCCTTGGCTGCTCCAGGAGGAAGAGCATGTCATCCGCATAAGCGGCCACCCGATGCTCTCCCCCCCCCCAACCGGCACCCCGTTATACCCCCATCCCGTCTGACCGCCTCCAGGAAAGGTTCCAGGGTGAGGGCAAACAGGAGGGGGGACAGGGGGCATCCCTGCCGAGTGCCGTTGCTAATGTTGAACGAGCCCGTGAGCGCACCATTAACTCTGATTTGCGCAGTCGGCTTGGAGTACAGTGCCGCCACCCACAACCGCAACCCAGGTCCAAAGCCCATATGCTCCAGAGTCTCCAGCATATATGTCCAATCAACTCTATCGAATGCCTTCTCGGCGTCGGTGGAAAGCAGCACCATCTCCCTACTAGTGGTGCGAGCTAGGTGGATAGAGTTGAGGGCCCGAATGGTATTATACCGGGCCTCCCGACCCGGAATAAACCCTACCTGATCTGAGTGGACGAGATCCGGCAGAGACCTAGCCATCCGGAGAGCCAGGGCTTTAGCAAACAGCTTAATGTCCGCGTTGAGCAAGGATATCGGCCTATAACTAGCACACTCCACGGGGTTCTTGCCCTCCTTAAGGAGGATCGTGACTGTTGCCCTCAGTGAATCCTCATGGAACCGACCCTCGTCCCGCAAAGAGTTTAGCCCCATCACCAGGCGGGGCAGGAGGTCATCCCGGAAAGCACGTAGGTAGGAGGTTGGTAAGCCGTCCGGGCCTGGCGCCCGATGAGCCTTGGTCGCCTTCAAAGCTCCCGAGAGTTCCTCTAACGTCAAAGGAGCCTCAAGATCTGCCATCTGCTCCTGGGAGAGTCTGCGTGCGACGTGGTTCTGTAGGTATTCCGCTATCCTGACCTTGTGCCGGCTGTCCTCCGACGCCGAGCGGCCCCGTGTCTGATCATACAACGCCGCATAGTACTCCTGGAACGCACCCAGGATACCATTTGAGAGGCGCGTAATGTCCTTCCCGCCCGTGCGTATTTTGTGGACATGTTGCAACCTGCGCTTCTCCCGAAGCATCCTCGCCAGGAGCTTCCCACACTTATTTGAATGTTCGTAATAGTATCTAGCGGCCCTCCTCGCGGTAAACATCACCCCCTGCGACAGAATAGTTTTCAGTTCTCTACGTACCTCCACAAGTTTAAGATATGTGCCCTCGTCCAAAGACTCTTTATGGGTCCCCTCCAGCTCTGCGATGCGTGCTGTCAGGCTCGCAATGCGGGCCAGTCTGTCCTTTTTGCGCCTGGTACTCTCCGCGATGAAGAAGCCCCGAATGACGCATTTATGCTCCTCCCAAAGCCTTAGGGGAGACAAGTCCGGGTCCTCATTGGTGGTAAAGTAGTCCACCAGAGCGCGGGCCGCCGCCTGCGTAAGTGCCTTATCGTCCAGCATGGTTTCGTTAAGCTTCCACTGACGCTCACTGGGCTTGAATAGCGGGGAGCTGGTATGAACCAGGACTGGTGCATGATCCGAGTGGTCCTGGATGCCTATGCGCGAGCCCTGCAGGAGGTTTAGAAATTCTTGAGCCAGGAAGATATAGTCGATGCGGCTGTACCGTGCGTGCGCTGCGGAGTAATGGGTGTAGTCCCGCTCGTCTGGATTGCAAGCCCTCCAGCAATCCACCAGCCCTATCTTGTGCAGAGAGCGTTGGACCTGCCTGATGCATGGTGCCGGGAGCGCGGTTGCACCCCTGGAGGTATCAAGCAATAAGTCCAGCGGTATTTTGAGATCCCCCGCCAGGACCAATAGGCCCTCCCTAAATTTTTCCAGTTTGGCTAACGTCCGGGAGAGAAAGGTATGCTGCCCCTTATTTGGGCAGTATACACTTGCGAATGTATAGGCATGATCCGCTATGGTACCCTTTATAAATAGGTACCTCCCCCCCGGATCCGCCTGGGACGCTACGTGTTGGAAAGGCGTCGTCTGGGCGAATAGGATGGCTACACCCGCTCTTTTGGCAGTGGGGTGATTAGCGGAAAATCCTTGCAGGAACCGCCGAGTCTCCAATTTGGGGGCATCTCCCCCCTTGAAGTGCGTCTCTTGCAGGAACGCAACGGATGCCTCCGCCGCCCACAGCTGCCTCAATAGATGCGATCGTTTTTCGGGCGTATTGAGCCCCTGTATATTATTGGACCAATAGGTCATCCGTGCCGGGACAAAGCCCCGGCCGGGAGCCATCACCGCGACGGAAGGGCGCCCCCGCAGTGGCACAAGTGGTACTGTGGAGCGTTGGGAGCAGTAGGAAAGTCAAGTCAAGTACACAAGGTCGTGAGAAAACCTCCCCCCACCCTCTGGGAGCAACGTCGACCCTTAGCCGGGGATAGGTTACCCGTTCGAGGGACCCCCGGCTCTATTTACAAAAAAGGGTCTGTCTCAGTGAAGATCAAAAGGGCCCCTGACTGTATTGGCGTTCCCACTAGGTGTAGTAGTCAGAACCGCCCCTGCTTCCATCGGCTCCCACCCTGTGTGTCAGGTATGCGTGTATCCAGCAACTAGTGTATAGGTATCGTGAGGAAAATCAAATGAGACCACTCCCCCCCCCGAAGCCTCAGCCCATCCCCCCTCTATGTGTAAGCCCACAGCCATAGGGTGCCGGTGGCCTTTCCGAAATCCCCCCTCATCTCCCTCCTGCAACATCCAGGGGTGGCTACCGGCAGGAGGGGCCCACCCCAGCTTGGCTGCTGAACCCACCACGAAGCTCCGGCCCCCCCTTCACTCCAGCTGGTCCCCACACCCTCCCTCCACCTCTCTGGACCCGCCTCCTCTCCCTCCCGATACCCCCCCCTCCGCTCTTGTCCCCACACCCCCCGACCACCGTGATATCATCCACTCCCTGCTAACCCGTGCAGACAGGCTACGCAAAGACCCACTCCTCGGCTCCCATCAGTCCCCCCCACTCCCCCCCAGATGGGAAATGGAGCGGGAGATGGGAAAAAAAAAGGGGGGAGTAAAAGAAAAATAGATAAAAGGTACTAATAACGGGGGGGGGGAAAGAAGGAGACCGCTGCGTATGTCCCAAGCCAGCCCCGGCGTCCCCAAGTATCCCCACGGTCCGCCGGGCTCCCCCGGTCTACAACATCCCCTGGGCCCAGACCAGACCAGCCTGCCCGCCCCACTTATGCTGGATCCCACCAGGTAACCCCAGCCCTAAAGCTACCAAACCCGCAGAGCCCTTCCCACCCCACCTAAATGCTAACTCACCCACATGCAGCTAACAGTCCTCCACTAAACATACCCCTCCAGAGCTGTCCGGCGGCCACGACCAAGTCACCTAGGGTCCCAGCAGGTACAGGTCTGCGGGATCCCGGCATACCGGGCCAACCGCTGCTATTCTTCAGGGCCATTTGGCCCCCCTCTGCGTCGTTGGGGCTCCTGATCCGGGTGCAGGTTGTGTGCCATCTCTGATGGGCCCACTGCTCTCGCCGGCGGACCCTCCAGGATCCAGTTCGGGATGGTGACATGGGGAAGGCCAGCATTGCGGAGAAAACGAGGAATGTCATTCGGCCATTTTAGAACATGCCACATGTTGTCCACTCGGGCCTGAAGACTGAAGGGAAAGCCCCACTTGTACGGGATCCTCCTCTCCTGTAGTAGCCGGGTAAGCGGCCTCAGGGCCCTCCTGGCGTCCAGGGTGGTCTGCGACAAGTCCTGGAACAGGGACACCGGGGAATCCATGTAGCTGAGGTCGGGTCGGGAGCGCGCTGCTTTCATCAGCTCCTCCTTGAGCGGAAAAGACACCAGGGCGCAGATCAGGTCTCTGGGGAGGCCATCCCGTCTGGGTGCCCGGAGAGCCCTGTGAGCCCTCACGATGCCAAAGTCCTCCGGAGCCGCCTCACCCAGCAGGTGTGTGAACAGGCCGGTGAGTATCTCCTGCGGGCTCTCCCCCTCCGCCTCCGGCAACCCCCGGACCCGAATGTTATTCCGCCGGCCCCTATTGTCAAGGTCCTCGACCTGACGGCGGAGGTCCAGAAGCAGGTTCCCCTGCCGAGTGGTGGCCAGATCCACCGCCTGCTGCCGGTGAGCATTCTGTATGCGATCAGCGTCTAGGGCGTCCACGCGGTGCTCCAAGGCTGTCAGGTCTGCTCTCACCGCCGCGATCTCCTCCCTGATCACTGCCCTCAGCTCAGCAACCATCTCTGATTTGTCCCGCCTAGTGAGCATGCTAGAAGAGATTGCCGCTATATCCATCGATATTTGTGATAGGGCCGCCGGGTCTACTGTGCCGCGGGATGAGCCGGCAATGCTGGAACCCGGAGAGGCGGGAACTGACGAGGCTGTGTCGTCCTGCAGCCCTCTAGGCCCCGTAATGAAATCGTCCATCGGGCCGGATTGGGACCGAGACAGAGCCCCCCCAGGCTGCCCAGAGCTGAGTGTTCTCTTGGTTTTCCCCATTTTGCTGAGTAGGATAACGGCTGGAGGCAAATTAACTGAGGCTTTACAGGGTGAGCTGTGTAATGTCCTATATCTGTAAGACAGAATAAATGCAAATAGCGTAGAGAGTCTGCACAAATAATAATAGAAGTAGAAATAAAATCGTTGAACTCACAAGGTTGGAGTCATACCATCATATGACTCTAGCGGTATGTTCCTTTGGACCATTAGGGGGTTGTCCAGACCCTTCTATCGTTGGTTACTGGATACTCCTCTTTAGTGGTCCTTTTTATGTCCCCCAAGGAATTCTCAGTATGTTGCTTATTCTTAAAATAGGTATTTCTTTATTTCCAATATAAAATGTTAACAAAAATTAACAGTAAACAAAAATACTATACCAATAAATATTGGATATAGATAAAGTAGGTTAGAGTGTCCAAAACGCGTTTCGCCTGATGTACAGGCTTCCTCAGTTGGCTCTGTGTTGTTTCCTTTCTATTAAAAGAATTTCCAGCTGATTTTGCCGCTTTTATGTGATACTTCCGGGTTTCGGCTTCTTGGAACGCAACGTGCGTTCCGGCGTCGGTATTTACTTCCGGGTTCCGGCCGCCGGAACGCAACGTGCGTTCCATAACTGTCTCTCGTTTCAACATTACGTTGAGATGGAACGCACATGCGTTCGGATTAGTCAGCTGTTGATTTCATCTATCGGAGCTTCTCTGTCCAGCAGAGCTATAGAGCATCCTTCTTTTGTACTTCATAAAAATACCAAATCATGTATGGGAATTATATATATAAACATAAAGAGGGTTATATATATCAAATCTTTCAGTTTTATCAAACATACCTATGTATACCTTGTGAAGAAAAAACATATATAAAAAATATATCATAAATAATACCAATAATATTTGTATTGATAATATTTAATGAAAAAATGAATGATATTATACTTAAACTAATAAAGAATGGGCTATTAAATCCAATAAGCTATAGTATAAAAAATGATAAAGGGCTAATCTCTTAGTGAAAATACCAAAGGTCTATAAGATCACAATGTGCTTCTAATAAGATAGGTAAGAAATAAAAAATATATAAAATTATTTTATAATAAAAACTGTGAACAATACTAAAAAAAAATTTTTTTTTAAATTTAATGCATAAAATGGCATAGTTCAAAATCATTATTAAGTCCATATGGAATCATAGTATTAAAATTAAATATGAATTTCATTTCTTCCTTGCCTATTTTGTTAACATAATCCCCACCTCTCCAGTCTTTCTTTACTAATTTCAGCGCACAAAAGAACATCCCTTCAGGGTTTTGTTGGTGAACTTGTTTAAAATGGTGTGAGACACTGTGCGTTTCTACTCCATTTTTAATATTTCGTATATGTTCTGCTATTCTTATATTTAGTTTTCGAATCGTACGCCCTACATATAGTAGATTGCATGGGCATTTTAGGATGTAGATAACTCCCTTTGAATGGCATGTTAAGTGATCTTTTATTTTAAATTTTTTATTAATAACTGGTTCTAAGTCTATAAGATGTCTTTTCTTACTTATAGTGTTTTTACATGCTAAACATTGTCCACATCCATAAAAGCCATTGCTCATATTGAAAAAAGAAGAAGGAGAGTGTCTTATTTTCTGTTCTTTATTACTGCTTTGCACGAGAGTATTCTTTAAATTCCTTGCGCCTCTAAAAATTATTTTCGGTTTTTCTGGTAATAATGATTTTAAAATCGGGTCATCCTTCAATATGTGCCAATGTTTTGTTATGGCCTTATTAATATTCCTATTATTGCCATTGTAATTACATATGAAGGGAATATTTTGGTTCCAGTTTAGATCTTTTTTTCTTTGTTTGTATTTTAAAAGATCTGCTCTATGGGTTTTTTGAACTTCATTTAAAGCTACTTGGAGAGGTTCTTCCTCATATCCTTTTTCCAGAAATTGTGTTTTGATCCTATTTGCCTGTTCTAGAAAATCTTGTTCGTTTGTGCAATTTCTTCTAGGAATTGTCCCTTGGGAGCATTGGTCAACCATGGGGTATGATGGCAGCTTTCTCTTCTGATGTAGCTATTGGTGTCTACTTCTTTAAAATGATTTTTGGTAACAATTCTATTGTGTATAATAAAAATTTCTAAATCTAAAAAATTGATTTGTCGCGTACTAATCTGTGCTGTCAAAATGATGTTCCACTGATTATTGTTAAGATTACTGATAAAAGACAATAAGTCTTCATGTGACGCTGTCCAAATAAAAAATATATCATCTATGTACCGGCGATAGTTTACCAAGTTCGCACCCCCTATATGGCTCTGGTAAATAAACTGTTCTTCCCAGTACGCCATAAATAAGTTAGCGTAACTGGGGGCGAACTTGGTACCCATCGCCGTACCTCTTATTTGCAAGTAGTACACTTCATTAAACCAGAAAAAATTGTTGGTTAAAACTAATTGTATTCCTTCTAAAATATATAAAATTTGATCTTCTTTAAAATTTTGTTTCTTTAAAAAATATTGCACTGCTTCTAGACCTTTCTCATGTGGTATTATACTATAGAGGGATGTCACATCACATGTTACTAGTAGGTTTCCCTCTTTCCAAGGAGTAGTTTCTAAAATTTGTAAAATATGAATTTTATCTTTTAAATAGGCCGGATTTTGAATAACTAGTGGTTGTAAGAGATGATCTAAATATTCCGAGACCTTGGCTGAAATGGAATTTATGCCAGATATTATTGGTCTTCCTGGTGGGTTTTCTTTATTTTTATGTATCTTAGGGAGATGATAATAAACTGGCATGATAGGGTGGGGGGTGGTCAAATACGTTGCTTCTTGTGATGGCAGGATACCTTTTTCTAATCCTTTACTTATATAGTTATCAAACTTTCTTTTTACATCTTCAGTTGGATTTTTCTCTAGTATTTTATATGTGTCTTTATCCGAAAGTATTCTTTCCGCTTCTTGCAGATATTTATCTTTCGCAATTATCACAACACCACCTCCCTTATCTGCCGGTTTAATTATTATGTCTTTATTTTCTTGTAGAGCCTTTACTGCTTCCCTTTCTTTCCTAGACATATTTTGATGATATTTATTTAGAGGTTTCATATTTTTCACTTCTTTCATAACCATTAGTTCAAAGGCCTTTATTTCATCTGATATGAGATGTTTTGGAAAAAAGTTGGATTTCACCCGTAAATCTGTATGTGTATATTCAGAAGATGTTTCTTCACTTATTGTGTCCTCTTTATTGTAAAAAAAATTTTTTAGGCATAATTGTCTGATAAATTTGTTTATATCAATATAAAAATCAAATTTGTTAATATCTGCAGTAGGTGCAAATTTTAGACCCTTTTGTAAAATTGCCATTTGGTCTATATGTAATGGGTTCTCTGTTAAATTAAAAATGCCTTCAGTTGTTATCTTTTCCCTCGTTTTTCCCTGTGTCTGTTTTCCTCTCTTTCTATTTCTCTTTCTTGTGTAACAAGAGCACATTGTGATCTTATAGACCTTTGGTATTTTCACTAAGAGATTAGCCCTTTATCATTTTTTATACTATAGCTTATTGGATTTAATAGCCCATTCTTTATTAGTTTAAGTATAATATCATTCATTTTTTCATTAAATATTATCAATACAAATATTATTGGTATTATTTATGATATATTTTTTATATATGTTTTTTCTTCACAAGGTATACATAGGTATGTTTGATAAAACTGAAAGATTTGATATATATAACCCTCTTTATGTTTATATATATAATTCCCATACATGATTTGGTATTTTTATGAAGTACAAAAGAAGGATGCTCTATAGCTCTGCTGGACAGAGAAGCTCCGATAGATGAAATCAACAGCTGACTAATCCGAACGCATGTGCGTTCCATCTCAACGTAATGTTGAAACGAGAGACAGTTATGGAACGCACGTTGCGTTCCGGCGGCCGGAACCCGGAAGTAAATACCGACGCCGGAACGCACGTTGCGTTCCAAGAAGCCGAAACCCGGAAGTATCACATAAAAGCGGCAAAATCAGCTGGAAATTCTTTTAATAGAAAGGAAACAACACAGAGCCAACTGAGGAAGCCTGTACATCAGGCGAAACGCGTTTTGGACACTCTAACCTACTTTATCTATATCCAATATTTATTGGTATAGTATTTTTGTTTACTGTTAATTTTTGTTAACATTTTATATTGGAAATAAAGAAATACCTATTTTAAGAATAAGCAACATACTGAGAATTCCTTGGGGGACACAAAAAGGACCACTAAAGAGGAGTATCCAGTAACCAACGATAGAAGGGTCTGGACAACCCCCTAATGGTCCAAAGGAACATACCGCTAGAGTCATATGATGGTATGACTCCAACCTTGTGAGTTCAACGATTTTATTTCTACTTCTATTATTATTTGTGCAGACTCTCTACGCTATTTGCATTTATTCTGTCTTACAGATATAGGACATTACACAGCTCCACCTATTACTTCGTATGTATTGTATTTGTTTTTATAGTGGTGTAAGGGGTACCACTTTATAGGTGTTTAAAGAGCTACCACATTTTTTATCACTGTGTACTTCTTTGTTTTCATATATTTACAGGGTGAGGCCTAGGAGCACAGGCACCGTGCGTCTTACTCCATCAGTGGTCAGGCCACGCCCCCCGGTCTGTAGTTTCTTATTCTTTTAGGTGAGGTATAGTGGGTAGGTTTTAAAGCATTTATTCTTTGATATTTTTTCGGGGTTTTGTAATTTTCTTTACTCCTATAATTGTCCTTATATACACTTTGTCGAGATATGTGGTTCTTATTATAAGATCTCACTTGTTTTTTCGAATAGTCGATAACATCTCTCTGATATTTTCTCTTTTTTATATCAATTACTTTATTCTCTAATCTTTCAAGATTAGTTTGTAATTCTCTGGTTGTGGATTCGTATATTTCAGATGAGGTGTTAAGGATTAGAATACTTTGTAGTTTATTTATTTCCATATCTAGTTGGATTAAGG